AGAAACGTCTAAAACTTGGCTAGATCAGTGAAACAAAGGATTTTCTGGTCTTTTTTTTTTGTTGTTGTCATCTCGTCATCCCTCATCGAATCGTAAGCCGGTAATTCGCAGAACAGGGCCTCGTAATACAAGTCGTATTCGTCTCGCGGCAAATCAGTCGGATGCTGGCAATAAAAAGGGGAGTCGCCATCTTCAATAAATTCGTTCTACTCCACGATGATCTCTACTCCGGAGTTGGTGCGGAGCTCATCACTTCCGCGGGCTTGGTGGCCATTCTGACGGCGAAATCCGGTGCCCTTGTCCGGGGTCGGGCCACGGGGCTGGCGGACGGGCATGCGCTCCTGTTGGCTGTCGTATCCCATACCCATGCCACGGTTGCTACCAATGGCGCCAGCGTTAGATTGTTGATCCTGTTCCCAGGAGAACATGCCTCTCAGGCGACGGGGGCTCGAGTTGGGGCCACCAATACCAGTGCCGAGGGAAAGACCTCCCAGGCTGTTGACCAGCAGGTCATCACGTTGCATACCAAGAGAAGAGCCAGACTGGGCAGGGGTGAGAGTGGGGGTGTTGGAAGTACCAGTGGGCGCACCCTCATATTGAAGGCGGGCGCCATTGGACTGCAACGCGGCGGGGAAGCTAGCGGAGGAAGGCACGGGCGAAGGAGTGTAAGATCGCAGGTCCGCAAAGGACTTGGCAGCCCGCAGGTTCTGGCCGTTGGAAAAGTTGCCAGGAGAATCCATCACACCCAAAAAGCCCGAGTTTTGTGCACGCAACGTGTTGAAAGCACCAGGTCCAGCCTCTTGGCGCGCCTCGCTAAAGTCGATGGTCGCCGCCCGGTTAAGGCCACGACGGCCACTATCCGACTGACCAGAGGGCGGAATTGAGGAGGTCGGGGGGCTAACGTTGGCGCCTGCGGCGATCTTGAAGACCTGAACCTGGCGCTGTTCGCCGCTGCCACGTGAAGCATGGCCCAAGCCCATGTTGTGGGCCAGAGTGTGAACCGTACGACGCTGGGAGGGAGTGAGGTTGTGGGGGAAGATCACAGAATCGCGAACGGTATCTTCCTTGAATAGGAGTAGTTGGGAGTAATATGAAAGGGTCTGGGTATCGTTCAAGTCCACATCTGTATAGAAATTTCATTGTTAGCGACAGGTCAAATTTTCAACCTTAAGAAACAAAAACAAGTGTGACGCACCAATCTTTTGTCCACGCTGGGACACGGGCGACGGGGAGGTTGCCGGGATGTGCGAGGTGAGTGAAGACATAGAGCTCTGCGTCTGGAGCTGAGGGCCACCTCCCATCGGGCGGTGCTGTTCTTCCAGCTGGCCACGGCGTTCCCGCTTCTCGCGCTCGATCCGTTCCCGCTCCTGCAGGGGAAGCATCTTCTTGTACTCGACTCGCAGTTTCCGACCCTGTAGCTCAAAGTGGTTGAGCACCTCGATCACAGTTGCTGTCTCCTCGGCAGAAGTGAAGTTGGCAAAAGCCAGACCACGGAATACACCGTTATCAAAGTGGTAGTTGAATGCGTATGGCAGGGGGAGATTGAGTTCTGTCATCAACTGCACCAGCTGCTCCTTCTTCACGGCAAAGGGAATATTTTTGATGACAATCGCGGTAGGGATCAATTCGTCGTCGTCGGCCGATGAGGCCGAGGGTTCCGGTCGCATAGCGCTACTCTGAATGGGACCAGGGCCCAGGTTCGAAAATGCTTGGGGCATGTTTGGTTGTTGATCTAGCCATGTCTTTAAGAAAGGTTAGCTTTTTTTTCGGAATTTTTTACCCTCTGGGAAGATAGGGGAATGCATCGAATAGGATGAAACATACAGTGGGAAGGCCAGTACGTCCACGGGCGTTAGGCTTCAAACTAGCGGAAGCCGAGCGAATTCCTCCGAGAGTTTGAGCATTGGCAAAACCGTTGGGGTTCCAAGTCTGTGAGCCGGAGATATCATATCCGTAGTTGTTCTGTAGGGATGGATTCAAACGTTCAAGTCGAGCGGACTCATAACGCATCTGATCTTGTTCATACATGTTGGTTGGCATGGGGCCATATGCGTCGAACTGTCGAGATGGTTGACGGTGTAGAGGTTGTTGATGCCTCTGGGACCCAGGGGAACGCGCAGAATGATCGTGATACATGTCTTGAAATGAAAATCCAAACCAGTTTTAAAAAAAATGACACTACTCCACCATGAGAGCGACACAAAGTTGATAAAGAAACCGTCGAGGGACGGGATTGTGCGGATGTTTTGGGGAAAAGGGAAAACTTTGGACTAAAAGCCGATCGGAGGGAGATTCTGGGCGGAGAACAAAAAAAAAAATAGAAAAAAAAAGAGAGAAAAAAAAAGGGCAAAATATCCTCAAATATCACACGAATTAGATTCGTTTTTATTTCAAGGGGGGTTTTTTTTTGCTTTTCTTTTCTCTCGTTTTTTTTTTTCTGTTGGTCTTGAAAAGGTTCGTATAAAAAAAAGGTCAGAGAGTTGACAGATTTCAAGATCAAAATCCAAAAGATTTCAAGGAAAAGCGGTCCACAAATTCGCCAAGAAAGGGAGTAAGGAGGTACTATGTAGAGAAGAGAGAGAGAGAGGAGAGAAGAAGAAAGGTAGAATGATGATTGAATATATAAATATTTATAGTAGAAAAGGAGAAAAAAAAATAGTACTTATAGCTTATATCATTTTATAACATTTATATCATTTTACATTTATATCACATATAACATTTATAGTAACTTCTTTAATATCTTCCCCCCCCTGGACTGGTGGACTCATATATCCAATGAGATTATACTATTTAATATTTAACTGCATAAGTATAGATGCTTGAAATTTATACTTTATCTTTCTCTCCTTTACCTATTCCCTAGAAATCTGAATTTCCCTAGAAGTGAATAGCTCCCTTCTATATTACTATGTTGTACAGAGTACGGAATAGTTCCTAATGGCTTAGCCTTTTACCAAGACGCCAGTGCCTCGTTAGGCTCGTCACTAGGCAATTTAGAGGACCCCGCCGTAGTGGACACTACTTATAGCTTCTCATCCCTGAACAAATTTGGAGTTTATTATTTTTGCACGAGTTCGGGTTGCCTGACGTATAGAAAGAGGGTTCGCACCCTGCCTCGTGCTTAGCAAGGGGCCCTGCACACTGTATGTGATTCTCTATATTTGATACACCACCAGTTTAGACATGCATAGGGAGTATTGAACATGAACTCCGCTCCATTTTAATTACTATATTCCCATCTTCAGGGGGGGGGGGAAGATTTTCTATAATTACTTACTCCTGAAGTTAGTCCCCCCCTATTTCCTTTCGCCCCATTCCCCCAAGGCAAGTTCGTGCCTCGCCACCTTACGAATACGTCAAATTGTTTTAAATAGCCCTGGAAATTACCCTAAAAGATTCGGCTCAACCGGATAAGGCACGTTATTCCCCCATCGGCTTTTACTAAATTGGCGGTACTCCGTACATGAAAGGTATATTGCGCCAGTCCCACTCCATGAAATTGGAACTTTCGTCTGGTCTCCACGATCCGCGCATCCCCCGTTTCTAGCGTATGCATCGAAGCTCCTCAGAGGTTCCTGTGGCCCAGCTAGAACCCGCTAGATGCTGGTTAGAACGTATTTAGATTGTCTGGTGGAGCTCACAAGAGCTCCCGGCTCATGGTTACTACTCCGGACAATCGCACCCGGGATTCACTCTTCCGTTATCCCTAAAGACGCTAGAAAAGTCTACGGAAGTTTTCGCTCTGGGGTTTAATTCATTTCGGTTGCCATACCCGTAATAGGTATGGGAGATGTCGCGCGGATGATATATTGGGCACATGACACTTCCCATCTCTCCGCCTAACCTGCGTCAGCTGGGAGTTTGTGACCAAAAAGCAAAGGGAAAAATAGTGGATTGATCTACAGAGGGTCGGGTCGGGTCGTGAGCACATGGGCGATGTTTCAGAAGAAATTGGTGGTTTTGATGGCGACTCCCTAGCGCCAGGGAGGTATCAAGTACTCTGTACGGAGTAACGAGACCTAGAAGGCTATCAGTTGGGATAAGGGTAAACAGACAGACTTCATATCTCCACAACTGGAATAATCAAAAAGCCCAGGAATTGGATAGGTGTTGAATTGCAAGGAATATCACTGGAAAGTCTCCGAGATACCAGGATCTGCGAGACAAGGGACCAAAGCGATAGATGCCACGGCTGATAAGGTCCAGGCTAGAAATGAGACATATTTCCACCAATCCATCCAACTAAGTCAAATTGTCCACATGAGCGCTGGAGCCCTGGAGTTTATAAATCATTACCCAAGATAGGCCAGAGCCCTGGAGGTACTCCAGGGCTACATGTAGTTGAGCGTGCCCAGGTGGAAACGAAATGCATTTAAGACCTGGGAAATCAGGCCAATAATGTTGGAATCTGACGCACATTAGTTAATGTCGATCGTACTCAATTGTTAGATATTAGTCTGATTCAAGTAATCGTTTCACCCGTTTTGACTCATTTGAAACGTTACATTTTAGACTTGCATGCACTAACTATGTAACTATTCAATCCTTCCAAGGTTAAATCCGCTTCAAGTCATGTATACAAATATGTACATTTTTACGGAGTACTTGATATTATATATATTATTGCTCTTGAAATATTCTAAGAAAGAAAGTCTCTTAAAAAGCGAGATGTTAGACAATACGCGTCAAGACCCACATGGAAAGATGTTGTCGCCGGATTGAGATGTGAACAGTAGTTGATGATTATTTCACTTAAATGGTGAATGATGATTCCACTTGGAAAGAAAAGTTTGGAAATATATATATATATATATATATAAGTCTGAATCTGTGCAATGTCATCTACTCCATAGGAGCGGAGAATATACGATGTACGTGTAACTCGTCTGGCAGCATTTGAGTGGACACTAATTGCTTTTAAAGTGGCTCTTTTTTTTCGCTTCGACGATCTACAAAAGGACTTCGACTTTTGTGTTCTACTCTTCGCATGCTGGACAATGCGGACTCCATCGCGAGTGGCGATAATTGCGTTTGCACTAATTATAACCATATTTTCGGTGAAATCACACCTCGATTCCATCTTGTGGGATGATCGAACTAGTTCTGGCCTCTATGTCCTAGGCGATACATATATCGAGCTGGTCTCCGCACATACTACACCCACTTCAAATACCAAACCCCGGAAATTCTTCCCCACGACCCGACCAACTTCTCCAGTGAAATCCAATAATCGTGAACCCAAGCGCGTTCCCGTTGATGTCCCTGGTGCTGAATGGGCGGGGGAGTTATTATTCGGATCGCCTGAATTCTACGAATCAGAAAGCTTACTCGACGATCCCAAAATACTTGCTCCGGTAGAGTATAATGATGTCACGGCACCTTCATCTACTGCTCCTCCTCGTCCAAAGGTCACTCCGAAATCGGATCGGGTAATTGTTATGGGGAAGATGTCGTACGAGGATACCAATTGGCTTGAAGATCAACTACCAGAGTATGTCCCCAGAAACCACTAACAAACTATGCCAATACTAATCCAAGACTCAAAATTTTAGATGGCAACACGCAGTATATCACGTCGATGACCCCGAAGCAGATCTACCAGTCGAACAAAACAAAGGCAAAGAAAGCAGTGCCTACCTGCAATACATTTTGGACAACTACGACAGATTGCCCCAGTATATGGTCTTCCTCCACGCTCATCAATTTAGCGGCCACGTCGAAGAAGTCTTGGAGAATGATGATGCGTTGACCGTTGGAAGAGACAATGCCTTGACTGTTCGAAGACTGCAACTCGACTACCTCCGACAAGTTGGATATCTCAACCTGCGTTGCCAATGGAGTCCTGGATGTCCGGATGAAGTCCAGCCATTCCGGCAAATGGCTGGTCGCACGACCGAGCTTGCCTTTGCGGGTGCTTGGATCCGTATCTTTAACAACACAAATGTGCCTGAGATTGTTGCTACACCTTGCTGTGCTCAGTTTGCTGTGACCAAGGAGCAGGTCCTCCAACGTCCGCGGAGCGATTATGAGTCGTATCATCATTGGCTTATGACAACCGAGTTAGATGATGATACGAGTGGTCGTGTCTTTGAATATCTATGGCACATTATTTTTGGGCAGGATCCCGTATTGTAAGTTATCTAACACTGTCCGGGGAATTGGTGCTAATGAGTGTGAACAGTTGTCCTGAAATAACGCAGTGTTTCAAGGATGTGTATGCCATGGATTATAAGGAGCCAGCTGCGGATTTCTTCGATGATTACTTCTGGCCCGATGGGTTTGATGAAACGGTGGATGAAATACCTGTGGTTGAATCACCCGTACATAAAACGCCTGTACATGCGACACCTACACATATGTAGTGCATGAAATACCTATGGACGAGATATGATTGTATTTATCTAATTTACATAGAGTTTACTGGACTTGAATTGATGTTTGATTTCTTCTTAGGTCTGTTATTATATATTTTTCACACCTGCTGGTGATTCCGGCTAGTTACTAGTAGATCCTGACCGAGTATACTCGACCATAACTACTTATGTATGTATCTCCCACTCGAATCATTTCCAAAAATACGAAATTGTCAATTGCATGTACTATAGACTATCTCAAAAATGAACACAACTCATCAATATCATCTGCAAATTCAAAGGGAAACATTGAACATATTCATAAAACCATGGGGCATGTCATCGATCATCTTTGACGGAGATCCGAATCCGACTTGGAATCTTACAGCCAAGCAAATGCCATCAGTCCCATGACACCTGCCATGGATGCAGCTCCGGGAACTGACATTCCAGCTGCAGCATCAGGAGTAGCAGTGGGAGAAGATGCAGAACCCGCCGAAGTACTGGAGGTAGACGAAGTCGAATCCTGGCTGGTGGTTCCGGTGGTAGAAGATTGGGTTGTGGTGGCGCTGTTTGAACCAGTGGTGCTAGTAGTTGTGCCAGTCAGAGTAGTGGCAGATGCAGAGTTGTAGGTAGTCGTGCTCAGCTGGCAAGCGCGGACAAGGCTCAGGGCCTCTAATCAATGCATTAGATTTACTCTTCATCTTCATACTGTATTCATATTATACATACCGTTATCATCATCGTCGTTATCATTGTCGTCGTCATAGTCATCATGGTCATCACGATCGTCGCCATAGTCATTACGGTCGTCATTGGTGATCTTGTTGTTGCGCCTGTCGGTTTGGTACTGGGTGATACAAGCGGAGCAGAGGGGGATCTGAGTTTTGGCAGCGTCCCAATCACAAATGCATTGGATCTCAGCTGAATCCCGTTCATGCCTAGCATCACAACTGTTGGCGATTCCAACGACGGCGCTACAGGCAGGCCAGCAGCGATTGGGGACATCATCATGGTCCAACTTAGATGCGATGGCGATGCTACTGGCAAGTAGGAGGCCATAAATGGAGAGCTGCTGAGAACGCATGATTATTGATGTAGATTGGATTGTCGAAAGTGTTTTCTTTGTTTGTGATTGAAATCAACCGTGGGACTTGGGAGATATTTATGTTGAAGTTATAACTCTGTTCTACATGTAGATTGATCTTCTTTGTCAACATTCCTGCATCATGTCAGGGTTCAATCCAAAAAATAAAAAAACTGAGCCCCCGAAAAGTGGGATGCAAGTGGATGTATCCCTGTCAATGCACCGATCAGCGGAATACCGCCAATGTTAGTTGTGCAAAAGCAGCTGCCTGGTTTATGCGATCAGCCAAGACTTCGCCAAGAGACCGAATGGAACATCTATATTGCTAATAATATCTTGCATTGGACCTTTTGTCTCCTATATTCTGTATATTTTCTATGTACTGTGGCTATGTTTGATCCTAGCTGTATATTGTAAGCTAGCAAATGTAAAAGTTCTACCTGTCATTCCCCAAGAGTATTTGAGCTTCTCCGTAGATCCTGTCTAAGCCACGATGTGGGGCCGACATTGACATTCTTTATGCGGAATCCTCTCGTACTCTCTCAGTCTCTTTGTACTCTCGTACTTCGTACTCTCTCTACTCCGTACACATCTCAAAATTCACTTCTTTCCCATATGCGGGTTGCCGATAGCCGAATTCAGTCTATCTACTATATATAAATAGCTTGATCGCCAGGCTTCAAGATTCTTTTTTAAGTTTACGAATTAATGCTTGTCGTTCTCTATTAACACTATTCGCTAATGATTTTAGAACTGAGATACAAAGTGACTTGACAAGTCCTAACTAATGCGATTATATTTTCCCACAATTTGAGTAAAAATAGTAAAAATAGTGGACTTATTCTAGTCTCCCGTGAGATATTATTTTTATATCTGGGCAGCTATAGAGATGTCTTCGGAAAGTGTGACATCGGGAGGGCTCCAGGGCTTCTACCGGAGTACTATGTACTTAGTAAGAACTTGGAAGTTCCCGAGGTCATGTCCGGGACCGCAATCATAACATCATTTAGAACGTTTCCAAGTTGCACATACTTCTGCTCTATCTACAACCTACACTCAAATCGAGTCATTTACGATCTTCTTCATCTACAAACACGGATGACTCGGATTAGCAAAATGTGGGAAAAGTACTGCCTGCGTCCAACCCAGGGCAATGTCTCCACCCTCCCAGTTTTCATCTACGGCACAGCCTGGAAGAAAGACCGCAGCGCTGATCTCGTTTATAATGCAATCAAAGCTGGTTTCCGGGGTGTGGATACGGCGGCCCAACCCCGCCATTACCAAGAGCAACTCGTTGGGGATGGCATCCGCAGGGCAATTGCCGATGGGATCGTCGGTCGTACCGACTTATACGTGAGTGCGAAGGACTATTTTTAATTTTAACTTTTTCTGAAGATTATTTAGCTAACCAGAATTAGGTGCAAACCAAATATAGTCCTGTCTCTGCACAGAATCCGGCTGATATGCCCTATGACCCGTCAGCGACAGTGACGGATCAGGTCCATGCATCTATCAAATCATCATTGCATAATCTTCGCTCAAAAGTTGACCCGGAATCTGTGCATGAGACTTACATTGACACCGTCATCATCCATTCGCCACTGTCAACTTTAGCCCAGACCCTGGAGGCCTGGCACGCCCTTGAGACTTATGTCCCCCACCATATCCGGAATCTAGGTATCTCCAATTGTACCTTGGGTATACTCCGCGAATTGGTTATTTCACCCCAGACAACCGTGAAACCATCAGTGGTACAGAATAGATTCTACGAGGATACTCTGTTTGATGTCCCCTTGCGCGCGTTCTGCCGCAAGAATCAGATCATATATCAGAGCTTTTGGACTTTAACAGCCAACCCAGACCTTGTGCGCTCTGAGCCAGTGCAGCAACTTGCTCAACATGTTAACATAACCCCAGCTGCTGCTTTCTATACGCTAGTTATGGGCTTGAAGGATGTGGCGGTGCTGAATGGGACCAAGAATGAATCGCGCATGAAGGAGGACCTGTCTGCCCCTAAACTAGTTGAGGACTTCACACAGAAGAAACCTGAGTTATGGCAACAGATTCTGACGGACTTCCGTGGTTTAATAGGGGAATCTGCATAGTTCCAAGAAGTTGAGCTGTGTTAATGCTTGGGGGAAAGTCAAGTACTGCCTAATCAACCCAGTATCTTGGAGCCTGAACCATTCTCCGATGTGACATAGTAATTTGGAGATTAGTGAAGCCATTTTGCAGGCTGGACTGGATGCATGATAGCTCTGACTGAAATTGGTGACGAGCGCGGGCATACATCCCTCCCCAGATAATTGTTGATGATATTGATGATGATAATCTCAACTAACCTGATCTATCGCACTTACCATAGATACTGCCATGTAGGGATTTCTCAGTCTAGCCATATAGACGACATCCAGAAACAAAGACTATGAAGGCAATGATGGGCGTCGAGCCCATATGAAGTGCTAAAACCACGTGAAAACGCATCCTAGTGTCCCCTAGGCCCCCTGCTTCCTCGGTGTCCTCGAAACACAGGTTCTATAGGCTGTAGCCCGTAGATAGGTGGGAGATTTTAGGGGCGACAAACGTGCGAATGTCTAACGTACTGCAAATGGCAGCGCCACGGCGACCTAGCGGCTAAAATTAAACAGTAACACTACCTCAAAAAGGCAATTCACCAGTTTACAGTTGAAACATTTATAGATCTGTCTTGGACTGTTGATGTCGATGATAAGGACGATCACATGGCAATATGAAGTCCAACCTTGGGAGTGCCCGTCACCACCTTGCTGACTCAGGCAACGCCTCCGGGGCCCCAACGAATTGATCTCGCCGCCGAGTGGCATAGGCTCACTTTATTCATCATATTAGCAGCTACTTAGGTAGGAGTATATTCATTTGACTCTCTCCACTTTCGTTCCCTTTAGAGATAATACTTGGGCTCATTCACCGCCCAGACACTTTCTGCTGGAGTCTCCCGCCTTACTCTGGATGTTGGACAATTCACGCGCCCATTGAGCGTCATCTGTCTAGTAATCACTGCTGGTCCTTGATCTGCCTGTTGTCGATTCTTGTGATCTTTCACCTACCTCGGTGTTGATATCGATAGATTCGCGCGAGTGGCCATCCACTTTTTTTTTTCTCGGTTCCCTGGTCAAAGCCTTCTTGACACAAAATTAGGCGACTTGGATGAACAACTTCCTGCATACTGAGTTCGCATCTGGTTTCTTTGTCTCCTAGGCAAATTTCCTGCGGTAAACTCAGTCTCTTATTCAGTGACCGAAAAAAAATCGAGATACAATTCTATACCGAACTCCTCCGCGATAAGATCCAACGCCTTTGCGCCTATTCCCAATGAGTTCGCAAGGAATGACCCGCAAGAGGCCTGCGCCAGGAACAGTACCTCCTGTCCATCCTCAAATGAACCCCGTACCAAACTTTCCGGCCACCGCGAACCCCGGCTCTCAGCTTTCGAACGATCAATTCTTACAATGGGGTCAGAACCCCCCCGCTAATGCCATCAATGCACCTGCCTTCTCCGACCCCTCTTACAATCCTGCAGGGTTTGTGCCACCCTCAGATGTGTCTGCACCGGCTGCAACGGCATCTAACCAACTCGCCCGCCGACAAGCGAACCAGATGGTTAGCCGAAACCGTGGCTACGAGCAACCTCCTGCTTCATATGTGGAAAACAGCGGAAACAATGGAAACGGAGAGAGCGGCGCATGGGGGGAGTCTCTAGAAGAGCTCTATCGGCGAGCTTTGACTGCCAAAAGAGATTCACAGGCAAAACGAAAGCAAATCCCGCCCTTTGTACAGAAACTGAGCAGGTATGATACATCTATCGCTTTCTTTTATTATCAATTATGGGCTAACTGAGAATCGCAGTTTCTTGGACGAATCCAAGAATACCGAACTGATTCGATGGTCCGACGATGGCAACTCCTTCGTCGTGCTAGACGAAGACGAGTTTGCTAGAACGTTGATCCCCGAGCTCTTTAAACACAATAACTACGCCTCATTCGTCCGACAACTAAATATGTACGGGTTTCACAAGAAGGTCGGACTTTCCGATAATTCAATGCGTGCCAGCGAACGGAAAAACAAGAGCCCTAGCGAATATGCCAACCCTTACTTTAAACGAGGCCACCCGGATTTGCTATGGCTGATTCAGAAGCCAAAGAACGCTGGAGGCGGTGGACATGCGAGCAAACCTAGCAAGGGCGGTACGCGTGTGAAGACGGAGGATATTGAGGATAATGACATGGACGATTATGCCGAGGAGGGTGCACCGGCTCCTCGTGATAACCGTGCTCCCCGACCACAGCAATTGTCACTAGTCACGGATAGCTCTGTACCCAGTGATCAGCTTTCTGGGGTATATCGCGAACTCCAGGCGATTCGTCAACAGCAGTCAATCATCTCAACCACAATCACGAGGCTGCGGAAAGAACACGAGCAACTCTATGCGCAGGCAGCCAACTTCCAAGAGCAACACACTCGCCATGAGAACTCCATAAATGCTATTCTAACATTCCTTGCAACCGTGTACAACCGCAGCTTGCAGGGAGAGGGTGGCCCACAAAACCTTGCAAATTCTTTTGCGGGGGCCATTTCACAGGACCAAGGAAATATTGTGGATGTTGATGATGATTACCTTAACAATGCTTTGGGGTCAATGACTAGCCCGAATTCCCAGAGAACAATGAAGAAGCAGCCGCTGCTTTTGAAAGCTCCACCCACAGCGGATGCGTATACTCGGACTTCCACGGTTTCCCCATCGACCGGCGGCTCCTATGATACTCGGTCTCGTGGTCATACTCGGCAACCTAGCGCCAGCCAACACGGCCATGTGGAGGAGGTCTTTGACCATAGCCCCCGTCCCAGTGTTCCAACCGTTGCTCCGGGACAGCCGGCAGATGAGACTATCCCTCAACGGGACATTATGTCTGTAATTCAAAACTCCAATGCACGCAACGGGCTCTCAACGAACTTCTCTGAGTTTCCCAATGTGCTCTCCTCCCTTGAAAATCATGGTGGTAATGTTCCCCTCACGGCAAATCAACGCGCCGATATGCTTCGACTCATGGCCAACGAAACAAATTCTTCAGAACCGAACACTGGCGTATCACCCAACAATGCGCTCATCTCGCCGACTCCACCACCCATGCCGCATAACTACTCGGGCAGGCTAGCCAGCACCCGGCAAGAAATCGACAATTTAGTCAAAATGCAAGCCGAGCAAGATCGTTCCGTCCAGAACTTGACTAGTCTTCTCCAGCCGCTGAGTCCAAATGGTACCATCCCTGGTATCGAGGGCGCTGATGGCAACGTGCCCCCTCCACCGCTCGATCTCGACCAAATATTCAACAACGACTACTTCACCGATATTGGAGATGCAGGTTCCGATTTGAAGAAACAGGCCGAGAATCCAATGAGCCACTTGGGCACAGGTCAGAATACACACGATCCTGTGGGGACCACCCAAGGCGATGACGGAGACACCAACGACCTGTTCGATTTCGATCACATCCCTGCCGAACCTGACCTCTTTGAGACCCCTCACCATGGGCCGAGTGATCCCACCTACCACTATGGCTTTGACGGCGTCGGCTACGATGAATCCGGGCGCGTGATCGAGCAACTGACGGATAGTGAAGCAACCAGTCCCGCAACCACGGAGCATCCAGGCGAGCCTATGGATGACGGTGGCAGTGCGACAAAACGACGCAGAAAGGCTTGAATCTTCACAAGGAATACCAGATGGAGCAGATTCATGGGCACGGCTTAGGGGTTGAAAACAAAACTTTTCGGCGTACCATTAGGCGTTTTCTTTTTTTTTCTTTTCTGTTGATATGGGGGGTTATTCACGTGCCTGGGGGAATTCGACTGTAAAAAAAACCTATGATGATCCGTGAATGGTCCAACTGTTTAATGAGATACCTTTGCTTTACTTTGACAGATATAATATGTAGCTATTATAGTATTTCTGATTCTTTGATACCCTTGTTATTACCAGTAAGATACTCTCCAAGTCCAGAGCCTCTATGTTGTAGAAGTCACTTGGGAGAAGTGGATACCGAAGTCCACGGTTACTTGTAGATCACCCGAGATCCGTGATCTACCCGACATACTCCATATGGACAAGCCCTATACATGTATCAACCGGAAGAGAGGCTGCCTACGGATAAAGATCTATTGAGACTTTCAGTGCCAGTCACTCGACGCCGAGAGGAATCTAATGCTTGAGAAGAATGGCAAAGACCATAATTTTGCTTGGCGCAATATCATCACCAACACAGGTTGGCTCTATACGATCTAGGAGCGATGCACTTGAGCATTTGTCATATCAACTATCAAACTCATTGCATAAGTCAAAACTGACTCGGTGAACCCTCGCAGTGGTAACATACTATTAGAAGATATCCTCATTATTTTTGTGACGTGAGGCATCGGTCACTTGATTCATTGTCTCATGATCGGGAACCACGTCGAACCCGTTCATATTCATTGTCCGGATAGTCTGCAGATCCAGCGGGCCATCATTTCCGGGCTCTTAGTTGCTTCAAAAGAGCAACTGCATCCGACAGATCTAGATCCGCCATTCCATCCCGCTGCGCAGCATATATCCTCCTCAATTTGCGCTCTAGAGCCCATTCGATCGGAGCCGCCAGAATCTCGAGGTCTTCTCCTATAAACAGGGTGATATCCTGTTTCCCTGATAGTTTAAACAAGGCCTCTTGGGCTTTCTTCGTGACTAAAATCGCCATTGCTTCGTTGATCCAGCCATTCGGAAAGTGTAGTTTTCTCTACCACAGAAATGATAGCTTCACGGGAGCATTCTTTATCACCTTGTCCTCGGCAAATGCCGGATCAATCAAATAATCGACATCGCCCATACTCTCGCGATTTTTGAGATACAACACCGCAAGGAACCCACCTGCACTGATCAGTCGGATGGGCGCGAGTGCAATGAGCCAATCGTTCCGACCCATTGCACTGTCAATTTCTGAAAGGCCTTGTTTTGATAGAGTTAGTTCTAATGGCAGATTCTGTATAGTAGACCTTTTAATGAGTAGCTAGGGTTAGACGATGAGATTTAGATTTAATATATTTGCTGTCAGGAACCTAACAAGGTTGGAACCCCGTGTATTCCGTATGCTGTGTTGCATTCAGTCATCATTGGTAGAATCATACAGGACATTATGTAGGGATGCTGATACAAAAGAACAAGACGGGCATAGCAACCAATCCCAGGTGTCAATGCACATGTGCGTGTCCTAGAAACTGGCTTTTTGAGACTCTGGCACTTACCCACAGGCCATGTAGCGCCTGGCTAAAGATATCCGACGAGTCAGACGTCAGTATATATATATATACAGGGTTGGAATATTGATAGGAAAGAAGTGACATTCATTAAAAAAAATAAGAACATTTAGCGCCCTTTATCCCATTCCAAATCACCAATTCGCTCCCGTTTACGTTCGCGCTCTCTATCACGCTGAAATCCCTTCTTTCGTCCAACCACCTCTTTCTCTTTTTCACGAGGATCAATCACCATGAGTGAGTCTGCCTCGCCTCCGTGTTCGCGTTTCCAGTTCAAGTCTTTGCCTAGCGTATCTTTCCCAAACCGGAGTTCGTGCGAGAGCCAATCTCCCTCTTTCTGTTCGGGGTCTTCTGCCTCTGCCTCCGGGTTGTCCCATGCCTGGCAGGATTGGCAGTTTGCAATGAAGTGTAAGTCGCAGAGTTGGGCCTCTTCATCTTCTTCTTCGTTTTGTTTTTCGGTGTTTTTGTTCGTGTGACTTTTCGTATGTGATGTTGTGGTGGTTGGTTCGGGTTTAGCACCTTCGAGCTTGGCTTTGAAGGCATTGAAGAGCTGCAATGCTTCTCGCTCAGCGGCGCTACTAGGCCCTGTCCCATTACGACTGGAGCCATTTGCTGACCCTGGAGGTGGCCGTTTCCGTCCTCGAATTGAGGTTTCGGGAATCATGGCTTCGAGAGCGGATTTCTTTCGGCCTGTGTCCTTAGGACCGACGTCGACGTCGCGGCGCATGGATGTCATCAAAGCGGCAATCTGAGCGTTTGTCCGCGACAGCTTGGACTCCTTCGCGGGTTGGGCGTCCGGGGTCGGAGACCGAACAGGCGACTCCGGGTCAGGCAGGGGGAGTTGTGTTTCAGGATCTGGTGTCTTTGGACGCTTCTTACGCTCTGTAGGCGGTGATCGATCCGGAGATGGCGACCGGGGCCGTTTGCGCGGTTGTGATGGGGCTTCTACTCGGGGTTTGGGTTGTGATGTTTCAGCTTTCGTGACTGGCGCATCCACGACCAAATTGGTATTGAATTTTGGCTTCGCTGGGCGCATGGGCATTTCTTCGTCTCCGTCGTCTCCAAAGCTCAGAAGCGTCTTCCCGCCTTTCGGTGCCTTCTTCTTTTTCTTGGGCGCGCCCTTCTCTGCCTTCCCAGCAGTTGATACTGTCTGTCTGTCCTTTAACTTGCCCTCCAATGGCCCTAGTTCTCCAACCTCGCAGGACGTCACCTTGACTGGATAAACAGGACGCTCAGTGCCCGCGATGCGCTCGGCGTCTGCAATCTTCAACACATTGTAGATGCTGTCGCCCTCCAGTCTCCCAAAAATTGTACATTTTCCATTCATCTCACGCTCCGTATTCGCGAGTGTGATGAAAAATTGACTGCCGTATGTCCCGTCCTCGCTCTTGGCCATTCCTAGCAAGCCACGTCGATTGAAACGTAACCGACTATGAAGCTCATCGCGTAGAACCACCCGCTCGTCTGGGTCCCGAGCTTCAGGGTCAAATTCGAATTCTGGGTATTCATAGATGGAGGTACCGCCGGAGCCAGTGCCCGTGGGATCACCGCCCTGGATCACAAAATCGGGGGCTACCCGATGGAAGATTGTGCCAGCATAATAGTTGTCCTTGCAGTGCTGAAGGAAGTTCTTGCAGGTGAGAGGGGTCTGGTTTGCGAAGAGCGCGATCTGGATAGGGCCAACCGTCGTGTTGAGCGTAGCCGACGCAGTGGGATTGGGCTCGCTGGTGTATTGGGAGGACATTATGGGGGAGTAAGCTACCGGCTTACTGCGCGTGCCACAATTGTGGTAGAGCGAAGATTTGGAGTGTATTTGGGGATACGGACACCCCTCTTGAGTGTTGCGATCCAATGGGTTGGGTTCTCCGATCAAAAGCTCGAAGGGAACGTCATGTCACGTGACATCGATCCAGCCCTTATTACTTGGTGTCCCAAAACCATTGTTTAGAAGGGTTAGATGAAAATGAATGAGCATCATTTCTTTGAATTCAACACTACGTGACACAGTTTGACAATCCTGACAATTCTCGCAATCTCGTAAACGCACTCAAAGCACCTGTAACAGATATGAGGTTGCGCGTTGGGCATGGGATTTTGTCGCATTTGGGAATAATCAATCGCAGTGGGGGCTAAGAAAATTTCCAGTATATTGTGTACACGCTGAGTGCTTTTACCAGGATTGATGCTTGGCGGCAGTGGATGCTGGTAGGCGGTTGAATGAGTCAACGAAGATCAACTCCCTCAGCTCACCGAATTGTCTCTGCAAGATCTTGTTTTGTGAGGAGATATTTCGCGCTGACAAGAGTTTGTCGGTTGCAGAATCAAGATGTGAGTCGGCCATTGGCAGGTCAACCTTCCAAGGGAGCACATGTTGACTGGACATGATCCAGAAAATGGAGGCTTAGGAATATCGTTGGAGTGTTGATAAAGATCGAGACATAAACAGTCGCGTGTGTGGCGCATGAGGGAGTATTCCAGTATTGTCGCGTGGGGTGAGATTACTGATCATCTTCCGGATGTGTCGAGCATGGGGTGTTTCTTGATGGAGCCTAGCGGAAGATCACCACCGAGCAACCTTCCTTCGGCTCTAGCAAGGTAGATTCACACCAATTGCTCCTCTGCCCGAGAATGTGAGACAATCATGTGCATCTGCATCTGATCCTGTTCCTGGTGCTGCTCCGGCTCCGAGACCCTGGAATGGAGTCCTAACTTACACCGTAGACGGCGCAAGGTGCGTTCAGAGATACCATAACCTTCTTGATGCAATATATCGAGCATAGCCTTATCGGTCAGCCTGTCCTGTATGAAAAGCATCTTGATGCGCGCATGCAATGCCTCATCGCCTGTGGTCGTCTGGTGTCGCTTTCGGATGCCCCACTGGCGAAGGCGGGACTGGATGGTTCGTTCCTTGACTTGGATATTATAACAACTTTCGAGTGTGCGGCTAATGGAGTCGCTACTGATGCCGTGGTGGAAGAGAGTTATGATCACATCCCGGTAGGGATCTAAATTGATTTGTTGGCGAGGCATTTTGGGATTGAGAAGAGATGAGAGAGAAAAGAAGAGGTTGAGAAGTTGGAAAGTTGTTCAAGGCGGTGAATCTTCCGGATGGCCACTATATGTTTCCGATGAAGTGATACTGAAAATATTACGCTCATCGGCTTACACAGGGACTAAACCTGCGAATTGAAGAGAATTAGATAGACAGGATCAGATAGAATGTCTGGAACATCCCGATATCGTAGCAACATACACGCAATATGCCAATTAAGCCTAGATGCCATGTTAACTCGTATAGTAGTGGTATAGTAAAATCAGATTCGAATTATTATTGCATTCATAGATTCATTATACGTCAAGACTCCTACCAAAACAATAGCCCCTTACTCAGGATTCACCCATCTGTCTGATCTTTTGAAACCAACCTAAACTTTTTTCTCCTCCACACCAGCAAGTGAGCTCATTGTTTCATGGCTTGCCTTGTTCCGCTTTGCAATGCGAAATCCACCAAGCAGGAAGAAAATGGCCTGCAGGCCAAGGATCACTGCGAGGGTAACCATAGCACCAATGACACCTGCCACAACGAGCGACATTCCCGAGCCATTAGTGCTGGAGGTGCTAACAGAGCCAGAGCCGCTGCTGCGGTCCGAACTGGCGCACTTGCCATCCGTGTTGCCACACATGGTACACCACTCCTCATCCGAAGTAACGGCGATCTCCTTGGTCTTCGAGGCAAAGTCGTCCCAGGAGAGAAGTTTGCTTGACTGTCCGTACAGTGGGTATACAGTAGGCTCAGATGATCCCGTGATGGTACCATTGTGGAACATGAAGCGCACGCTGAGGTCGGACTTGTCTGGGAAGTCGGTACCACTGGCGTTTGTCACCAGTTCGAACACCATCGATGAGGCGTAGTCTGGGATTCCAGTGAAGTCGACGGATGCAGCAGGCATCTGCATAAGACCGAAGAGAGCGAAGATGGTACCGTAAGAGCCAAATCCAATGTTCAGCTTGGACTTGCCCTTGGTAGCAATGGTCTCATTCAGTCCGGCCAGGATTTCGCCCGCCAGGACGGCACCGTCGATGGCGCGCACTTTATCGGAGGAGTTGTAAGCCAGGTTAAATTCATGGGTTCCAGCTAGAGCAATCAGCTGGTGGTAAACCTCGTCGGTCAGGTCTGACTTGTGAGGGAATTGACTGGTAGAGTTATGAATTTTGCCGACATTCAAGTAGTCGAAGATGGTATAGGCGTTTTTAAAAGTCATATCAGACGAGACAAATGCCCCATCAAGCATTGGTGAAAGCGATTGGTAGAACTCCTTGGTTGAGGATAGCAGTGAAGTGTACATTTCGGAAGAAAAGTAGTTGTCACTGCTCACAGTTGCCTTCTGGCATCCACTGGATCCCTGTAACCAGGTGGAATCCTCGGCGTTCTTGCTTGTAGTGGCTGGTGTCAGCTGAATGAGCTGATAGCCATTCAATGGAGACTCGACCGAGCTTCCATTGCCCAGAGTCTGGGAAGCCACTTTTCCCACGGGAGGATATACACCCTGTAGGAAGCCAGTGGCCGAGTTTTGCAGTACAGCATCCGAGGGAGCAGAGGCACTGATCTGTTTTGGGTTGACGATATCGGCACTAATGCCCTCGATCTGCTTAGGAGAGTCTGAGGAGATGTATCGCTCATTATAAAAAGAACCCGAATCAAAGACCTCCCGGTAGCCCAAATCAGTCAGTTGGGTACTACCAAAGATCTTTGGGGTGCGATCTCCATGGCGTGCAAAAATATATGCACCCAGCACACGTTCGGCATCAACAACAGACAAAGATGCCAGCAAAATGCCCTGAATAGCGTACCGCATATTGAAATAAGGAATCAATTGAAATGCAGCAAAGCCGGTAAATTCCTCTCTGAGGGGGGGGGGGTGGGCGGGGGTTTATTTAGATGTCAAAAGTGAGGCGGACAAGAAACATTGACTCTTCCCCCTCTTTCCCCTCGGTGTAAAAAAAACTTACGGATAAGCTGCACTTATTATGAGATTAGTCTAATAGTAGTTTAGTGAACAAATTTTACTAAATTATATTGGTCAGATATCTCAAATATATCCAAATATCTCCAAATATCAAGGATATCAAAGGATATCACAAATTAGCTAATCGAAAACATCTCCGCGGTATACCGCGGAGCTGCGATAGCGGCGAACGGCGAGCGGAGAAATGGTAGAACGGAACTGCCCAGGTTTACTTCCAAATTGAAGATGGTCATTGTATTTTAGATCCTTTCGCCTAGACTCCTCCCAAGATCATTACATTTATATGAATCAAGAGAATGTTTGCATACTTATACGGTAACACCCTTATCACCCATTAACTCACACCCATTTCGCACCACGCCGACTAGACCTCCAGTCTGAATAGCTTCCGAACCTCCTCCAGAAAGTCGCCATTCAATCTCGGCCAGTCCCTCGAGCCATGTGATACGTGTTTGAGCGGGGACTTCAAGCTGTTGGAGTTGGTCTGCTAGTGCGGAGAGGATATCGGCCAAAGCCAGACCCTTGCTAGATTTCAGAGTTTGCACCGTATTCAGACAGGAAGTGACGTCGCTGGTAGAGAGGATGGTGCTCATGATTTCTTGGATATCAGAGGGGTGAGGGGCGGCAATGCAGTCGTAAATTGTCGCATTGGTGACAGTCTCGGGTTCGGGACGAGGGGCTTTAGGGGCGTCTCTCATCGGTAGTGGGATACCTAACGGATAAAGGTTAGTCAATGAAGCCGGGTGTAAGTAGGGGGGGGGAAGGGCATGAGCTTACTGCTGGCAAAGCATGCCTGAAGCACATTTAGGGCTCGTCGCATATCACCTCTGCTCAAAGTCACTAGACTATCGACCGCATCGGGCTGTATCTTGACACCCTCCTTCTCAATCACTTTGTCGACTAAGGTCCGAATATCGACTTCCTTCAATGGACTAAACCGGAATCTGGTACACCGGGATAGGAGCGCTGGGGATAGCTTATGTGTGTAGTTGGCAATAACGCAGAATCGGGTATTGGCTGTGTAACGCTCCATGATACGACGGAGGGCCATTTGTGCGGTCGAAGTCATCGCATCGGCTTCGTCCAGAATGATAAGCTTGTAACCTGCCAGAGGAGAGCCGGCAGTGCCTTGGGGGGCCATGTTGAAGATCTGTTTAGTGCCTAGTATTCATGGTAAGCTTGTATAGTCCAACCCGAGATTTCGAGGCCACGAACTTGCAAAAGTCTTAATTTGTTCTCGAACAACATCAATACCACGATCATCACTTGCATTCAGCTCCAACACCATTTGTCGCATGTTTTTGGTACCGTAGATCCGCCGCGCCAGAGCCAGGATGGTGGAGGTTTTTCCGGTTCCTGGAGGTCCGTAGAGGAGGAGATGGGGCAGTCGCTGTATGACAGTGTTAATCAGAGGCCATTGTACATCCATAGGAATTTGTTACATTTGTCTCCACGAACCGATTGATAGTCGCGAGAATGTCTTGATGGCCAGAGACATCATCCAGGCTACTTGGACGATATTTTTCGACCCTGACAAGGCTGTTAGTAATATAACATAATGGATATAGTTCTCAAACTCACCATGGCAAATTATCTTGAGCCTCGACTGGCAGATCAGCGACAGTTCTCTTTTTTCCACTGGCGTTCTCGGAGCTAAATTGCAAGTCCTTGGGCGCATCCACGTCCATTTCATCCTCGTAGTCTGACATGATGAATGCCTGGGTAGAGATAAATTAATCAATGTCAAAGGAAATCAGGTAAAGTAGGTCAATGAAAAGTGCCTGGTGGTTTGACGCGTTGAGCGCGTAAAGAGGCTCGGGGCGGAAAATCATATGGAGCTTGGGGGACTCCACAGATGACATCCCTCTGCCTAACCTCCGACTTGTCCCCTCCCGTCTGTTTGAACTTCCTACAATTTAATTCTTTGACGCATTCAGAATGCCTGTATGTTTTGATATCTAGTGTGTTCGAAGCCCCCTTATTGACCAATGCAGGCATATCACTCCATCTTCCTGGAGGACCGCGATGTCCCCGTGATAGGTATGAGAACACTTAGTCTAGCGCAGGAGTTCCTGAGCTATGAATCGAACATTTAAAAGGATCAAATTGATTGTCTTAATAGGAAACTTCCCCATTCTTCCCCTTCGAACCCGTACTCGTGGCCCCGCATACACATTGCCCCCGCTTCCCAACATCGACGACATCGATGTGTCCCCAGAAAGTGAATCATATGATTGCGTCGATGAAATCCTATCGCTCTTCCGTGCCAATGTCTTGTTCCGCAACTTCGAGATCAATGGCCCCGCGGATCGCATGCTCATTTATGGAACTCTGTTTATTAGCGACTGCCTAGGAAAGGTCAAGCCAACAATGACTGCCCGGGAGGCAGAGAAGGTAAGTTTCAATAGATATCAAAATCCCAATATAGGAGAACCAGAACTGATACTATTCCCAGGCCCTGACCAACGCCGCCCTCGATAGCTTTGCTATTCCCGGTGATGTGTCGTTCCCGCTTAACCAGGCCTTTGAGCCCCCGCGTGACCGCCAGGATGCCGAGACTCTTCGCCAGTGAGACCCTCACTGCGATATATTACATAGCCAATTTTAGCTGACCGGCTCTTGTGATTCTAGGTACATCTCGCAGGTGCGACAGGAGATCGCCATCCGCCTACACGCTAGATTATACCCTGGTGGAGTCGGACCATCAAAGGTAAGTGGGAGCAAAGAATGAAATCTTAATTTATACTGATTAATCTTAGTTTTGGCTGAGTTTCACGAAGAGGAAGTTCATGGGAAAGAGTCTCTAGATGACGAGCGTTGCTGTATATTTGTTTGATGAAATTCAGCGCATGAATGAATTTGATACTTGATTCAACCCCAGAAGGATCGCATTGCGTAGCGACCAGAGAGACTTGGATATGAATATCTGGGAGTCAAAACTCGACCCCAGACTAACCATAACTCGATATCCAGTATGACCAAACACGGGGTAGCAGGTAAAGTAAGTGGAATCACATGAAAAACAAGAAGTCGTTGTACTTGTACATTGAAATGCTATTTGATCTATTTTGAGGGCGTTTAGGGCGTTCATTCGTGAAACCTAGGTCATTTCCACATCTCGATCACTGACCGGGGTAGATGTTGTTTCCACTTTCCGTCTCTTGCGAACGTTGCCAGCAGCCTGGATATTCTGTGTGGTGGGGAACACGCGAACACCGTGGAAGAGATATCCCTCTGCGCCACCACGTCCAGTCATGAGGGGATGGGTGCGGCCAGGCAGAACTTGCCAAGGGCGCACACGCGACGTTTGCAAGGTAGGTGGAAGGAGAATTGTCGGATCGACCACAAATTCTTCATGAAGTGAGGACAAATCAACGGCCTCCCCATCGGAACTCTGCAACTCCAATTCTCGCTTTTTGTTGATAAATGCGGTCCTCCGAGCAGTGGAGTACATGTCTGCCAATTCCACCAGAGACTCGACTGTCGGAGAATACACGACAACAGGGGCTGACCCTGCAAGGAGCGGGACCATTGTCTTTAGAACGCTTGCTGGCTCTAGTAATGTGGACACGATCAGACCGTCAAAGTTACCTGCCCGAGCCTCATCCACAACTGCCTTAACTCGCCCCCATCGATTGCGCTTGTGGTAATACGCAGTGCGCTTGCTTTGTTTAAGCTCCGCCAATTCCTCTGCGGGTATGATAGGTGGTTCGTTGGCGTAGAGCGGATCGGAATTGGGGTCAGCCAACTGCATCCAGGAAATTGATTTGAGATGGGTGTGAAGGGGATGGGATTCATCGGGATTGTTGGTGTCATAACCAAAGAATTTCAGGAGTGACAGGTTTGGTTGTGCGTATGGGTGGATAACGGTGATGGTATTGGTAGTAGCGGACATTGGCTGAGGACGTATGCGCCGGGGCCTTGAGGGGCCATTAGGAGGTTGAGATTCTGCGGCATCGTGGGCTGGAGCATCTTGCTCTTCTGTTGGGTCTTCCTCGGCATCGTGGGGATACAAAATTCCCATGCGCTCAGCCATTGCAGCGACAACAAGTCCGCCAGTCTCATCAACGATGGCATAACGTCCATGCGGCTTCATCCCCTCGCCCACCTCAATGTTTCCGCTGTGATGTACATTACCCCAGCACCCGATGAGACCGATGTGTTCGTCTCGTAGCTCCATCGACTTTTGCGCATCTCGTTCTTCGATCAAATAATTGGCCAAAAGGCCAACGTCCAGTGGGAGGACAGTAAATCGCTTCAGATACTTCTTGCGCTTGCGCAGTGTGTATTTGGCAAGAGAAAATGCGGTCTTCTGGTCTATTGCGCTGTGCGACTCCAAGAGCTTTGCGACAATGTCTTTTCCTGCGCCACCGGCCTCTCTCTTCAATTCTTCAATTTCCTCCAAAGTCAATTTCTGGGAAGAGTTCTCGTCATTGATCTGACGATTCGTTCGCATCGGTATTCCATTTTCACCAGTCTCCACGTCGTCACCCTCCCCATCCCCCTCCCCGTCCGCAAGGAGTGTCTCCGCATGCAACTCGGTTGCTGATACGACACGTAGTTGGTTGCCAGCCTCATCAGCTGCGTCCAGTATTTCAAAGGTGAAGTAGAATGGTCGTCCAATAATTTGATTGGCGGTAAAGCTGCCAAATCTACCCAAATTGACGACTCTGATCCAATGTTAGTTCTTGTGATGGAATCTTTTCCCCGCATAGAGCAGAGCGTACTTACGTATCGGGGATGATCTGGATCAGTCTTAACTGATCCGACTGTAGCCGGATACCTACGAACTGGCCCGGGCGAATGTAGGAATGCATGATGACAATGGAAACAGCTATGCCTCGAGCTCTTCCACAAAATTGTTCTGGGAACTTTTATGGCTGATAGGAATGATGGCCAATCAGAGGACGAGGATACTCACAGCCGGATGTATAGATAGTCCGGGAAATTTATGCATTACATTACTGGCCTCATTTCGTCATAGTTTTCAGAATACCATACCGTACATAGTATGTAATATCATCACCCTCCTCTCCTTACCCATATCACTCTTGCATGTGAATAATACGGTAAATACGAATACTGGCGTTCGAGCTTCCCCCAGGTTAGCAGCACTGAGTGGATCTGCGGAATCCGGGTGCCTTGCGAGAGACACTCTTTAAGATCATCCACCTTCGTCATTGCTTTTAATGCTTTCTCTTCATTTGGGGCTATTTCCGAGCAGCTAAAGGCTAAGCTGTTACCCTGTTGCCCATTATTACCTATCCGGGGCAGCTCAGCCCCTGCAGCCCCAGCGCAAGGCGTTTTCCTTATACCTAATGGCTTATTGTTATTATTTTGAGCCTACGTTCTGAATCCCTCAAATCGAAAATACAAATCTCTGTGTTTTTGATGTTAAATGCTTTATTAGCCTTTCCATCTCTAGAACTATACGCGAACTCAAACCTTCACTCTCCCTCCGTCTCCCAAGAAGGTTACGGACGTCTTCATGGGCCTGCGAAAACAGCCCCCGCCGCGTCTGGAGAACATTAGCAAGTCAAATCCTCGATCGGACGCACGCTCACCTAAATTACCCAACTCTGCATCCTCCCACCGCACTCGTTTGAACCGATTTCCTTCTGAGGACTCTATCTACTCCCCCGATCTCAACACTTCACCTGCATTTGACCTGATGCCACTTGAGGAGGCACAACGGTCGCCGATGGGGTCTCCAACCAACCAGCCGCCGAACCCATGGCCAAATAATAACGGAACGCCGGATGATAGCCGCTCCGGTCAGTGCAATCAGTATGAGAGCGCATACCGGGAACCTGAAATTATCAACGGGCACTGGGCTTCACCTACGTTGATAACAGGGCAACAACAAGGAGCGGCCGAGAATGTCTGGCGGGCAACGTCCGACGCTGGTCAGGCTACGACTGGGGAGTTACCAGTACAGCTACAGTCAAACAACCCGTTCTTGAAGCCAAGGCCGGCAGATCGTACTCAAGAACTTTTAGATTCTAATGAATGGGGCCGTGATTCACATGGAACTTTAAATAGTGATTCCTTGAGCCTAAGTATGACATTACCTGCTTCTGAAAGCTCTCTCAAAAAATGATATTTCTTACTAACAACTTACAGCCGAGGGGTATATTCCGATGACTGCACGGCTCTCTCTTTTAGATGAGCCCAACCAAGAATCCCCTTGGGCTGATACCCCTCGTGCTCATCCTAATTCTGAACAACGCGCCGTGCTAGGCGGCCAGCAACTCGATGATAACTCACCGTGGGGGTCTCAACAGTCCATCAAGGTCTCAGCCCCGCCGGAGATATACCTGCAAGGAATGCAATCTAATCCATATGCCCCGGCTGTTTCCATGCAACCTTCTGACCCGTCTGATGCCGATAACCATTCCCGCGCACATGTTAAACCTTCATACAGTTCAGGGAGACTGGGATCGGATGCTGAAATCAATACTTCATCTGTTGCTCTCTCTAGTGGGACCCCCGCTACATCCCGTGAATCGAGTGATTTGGGTGTGCTGGGTGCCACTGGCAATTCGGAGGTCAAAAAAGGATCTCATGTTGCGTCTTCGTTGTACTCAGAACCAGCCGTGAACGGAGCAAGATCTTTGTCGGATAAACAAAAACTCCCATCTTCCATAGTGCAACAGCCACAACCCCAAACAACCCCCATACTATCTGCCGCAGATGCTGCAAAGCAAAAGGAGCAGAGATCAGAAACTTATACTATTCGACACGTCCGATGGACCGATCAAAGTGGTCAGCTGGTGGAGTCTCCGGTTTTGGTCCAAAATCAAAACGGGCCCTGTCCACTGCTGGCCCTTATAAATGCATTGGTGCTGCGAGCGAAACCCAACACTCACCCGCCGATTGTGAGAGCTTTGTCCACCCGCGAGCAAATTTCTCTGGGCCTGCTAATCGAGGCGATGTTTGAAGAACTGACAATCTGCCTGGGTCCTGATGAGGAATTTCCGGACATCGAGGCGCTCGCTCAATTCCTGACAATGCTGCACACGGGAATGAATGTCAACCCACGCTTGATAATGGTGAGTACATGTGATGTTTATGTCAAGGGGCACCTATACTAACCTATTCTTAGGACTCTACTGAAGGATTTGGCACTTTCCTCGAAACTAGTGATCTTCGACTGTATAGCACGTTTGGTGTACCATTGATTCATGCCTGGTTAGCCCCTTGGTCTAGTTCTACCCATGCTGCAATGTCACGCACTGCTCAGTATTACGAGGACATTCAAATGCTGCCTTTTCGCAGACAAGAGTTTGAGGACCGAGTGGCTCGAGGCGATACTCTTCAAGCCGAGGAAGAGAATACCATGGCGGATATCCAAACCATCCAACGATTTGTGGAAATTGAGAATCCGACGCAATTAAGTCCGTTTGGCTTAACGCAACTCTCGACTAAACTTGCTCCTGGATCTTTCTCCATTCTTTTCCGCAATGACCACTTCTCGACTCTATATAAACACCCGCAATCCCATCAACTCTACACCTTAGTTACCGATGCCGGCTATGCGGGTCATGCCGAGGTAGTTTGGGAATCTCTTGTCGATGTGACAGGCTTCAACACAGAATATTACTCTGGCGACTTTCGCCCCGTGGGCGCTGGCCCTTCGACCCCCTCTGTTCCTGGCCCCGCGTCCCGAGCACCAAATGAGCGCACTCAGTCTCCAAATGCGAATGAAGTATCGAAATCTCCCGAGCCAACTCAAGAACAGAGTGATGCAGACTATGCGTATGCGCTCTCGCTACAGTTCCAAGAAGAAGAGCAACGCGAAAATGCCAGGACCGAGCAGGCTCGCGATCGTCGCACGTCTGCCCCGAGTAATCCATTCAATCGACCATCTCCTTCACCTCGCTTGAGCAATGTACCTGCTCGATCTTCAAGCATTGCAGTGGGTTCTCAACCTAGACCTCCACAACATGGGCCCGACCCCGAGGACCCAAATGCACCACCCCCTCCCTATGAACAAGCTACTGGTGGGCCACGCTATTCACCACCTGACAGAAGGTCATACGGTGGTACTCCAAGTAATCGCCCAGTAAATCAGTACCCTGGAAACCGGAATTCGCGCAATCGAAATCAGTATTCTCACCGACCCCGCCCTGTTGGTGCAGGGATAATGGAGACAGAAAAGAAAGACTGCATAGTGATGTGAATGCCTGAAATGACGAAAGGCCTTTCCGATACGAATGAATATGATGTGATGCACCTATACTGAGTACTATAGAGAAACAATATGTGTATTCCATAAGTACCTAGTTTCTTCCTCATTCTCCACGGGTTATGAAAACCAACACGGACGTACTCCGCGCTTTCTACAGGAGCGGGGCTAATAAACAGATACATACTAGTATAGAAAAATGTCTAACTATTTTCGGGGATATGCCGAATGAATCCTAGTTTGTCCTAAAAGGGAAATTAAAGGTCTCACCTTGTATCAGGGAAGGCTTTTCATTGGAGGAGTTACTTTCCTTTTAATCTTCTAAAGTTCTTCAGAAGAAAGATAAAAAATATACAATTCATAACAATCTATTGCCGAGCTATGCCGACCATAAGCACTACTCATCTTTAGGTCAAGGGTGGCGTTTTGGTATCTAAATATTGATGAAGAAAACAACGCAGATGAACGACTAAGCGGCATAGTATAAATTATAACTTGAATACTATAAATATCCTTGATATTCCCGTACTAGTCCTGTCCATCCAGCTTTATAACGGAATCAGGATCTGTAGATTCCGATAGTAGACCTTACGATGCAGATTCTCCTTTCCGGTGCCGTCCTAGCCCTCGTTGGAATAGCCCAGGCTCAGGTTCCAGGCTACGGACAATGTAGGGATCAATTTCCCTCTGGTTTAAGACTTGCCCTTGAACTAACTGGTGATATTTAGGCGGAGGCAGTGGATATACAGGAAGCACCACTTGCACGTCGGGCTTCGTCTGTACCTCGCAGAATGACTGTATGTGGAACAGCAGTTATCTTAGAACATAATTGATTTCATGCTAACTTCTCCCCAGGGTACTCTCAATGCCTTCCAGGAACACCAACTAGCAGTGTCACTACAGCAGTGACCACCTCCAAGGCCACCACTACCACGTTGACAACAACGACTAAGTCAACAACGCAGGAAGCTACTACTACCTCGAAGGGTGCTGTTTGTACTGGAACATTTAGTGCAATCTCAGCTTCCGACTTTGTGTCCAAACTTCATCCCGGTTGGAACCTGGGAAACACTCTTGATGCTGTGCCCGATGAGGGATCTTGGAATAACCCACCGGTTGTGGCGTCGACCTTTAATACCGTGAAGACTGCCGGATTCAAGAGTGTCCGACTTCCAGTCACATATGCTGACCATTTTACCGGAAGCTCACCAGATTGGACTGTTGATCCAGCATGGTTGCAGCGAGTCTCTGATGTGGTTGATATGATTGTCGCCCGTGGACTCTACGCCATCGTTGATGTGCATCATGGTATGATATATGCCCTTGTAATAATGAAATTTACTGACAAGAAACAGATTCATGGGTTTGGGCTGATGTTAGCAAGGCTGGAGCCAACATCACTATGATCGAAGAGAAATTCTACAAACTGTGGTATCAAATCGGAACCAAGTTGGCCTGCAAATCCAATCTTGTTGCTTTTGAACCTATCAATGAGCCCCCGTGCAATACTGCGGCCGATGGTGCTGAGATCAACAAATTGAACAAGATCTTCCTCCAGGCTATCAACGATGCTGGCGGGTTCAACTCGCAAAGAGTTGTTACTCTAGTCGGAGGTGGTCAGGATAGCATCAAGACTTCAGACTGGTTTGTTGCACCTTCTGGATTTTCGAATCCATATGCTATTCAGTTCCACTACTATAGCCCTTGTGAGTCATTAATGAGTTTATCCATGGATATTGTTGGGTTGAACTGACCCGGGTTGCTTTTAGACGACTTTATTTTCAGCGCTTGGTAAGAGTAATAGACCCTGCATGTTGACGCTATTTACTAACTCCAAACAGGGGAAAGACTATTTGGGGCTCTGACAGTGACAAAACTACTGTAAAGACCGACTTCCAGAACCTGCGCAACGCCTTCCCCGACGTACCTCTACTTTTGGGTGAATATGATGCTTCACCCACCAATACCGAGCCCGCTGCTCGATGGAAGTACGTTGACTTCTTGATCAAGACTGCTTCCAGTCTCGATATCTCCTGCGTGCTGTGGGATAACGGATTGGACCACTTGGATCGAACCACCGGAGTCTGGCGTGACACCAACTCGCTCTCGATCATCACAAAATCAACCGAGTCTACTGCAAATAGTTTGCCAGATAGTACTGAGGACGGTTCTACAACCACGCAGTCATCGTCAGCGTATATTTTCCATCAGTACGGAACAGCTGTGACCGCACAGACTCTTCCATTTATCTTCAACGGCAACACCCTCTCGTCAATCAGTGACTCTACTGGCGCGAAATTGGCATCAGGGACAGACTATTCTGTCTCAGGTGCAAATATAATCTTCACAGCTTCGTACTTATCCAAGCATCTTTCGTCCACCGCAGTACCAGGTGTTGTTGCCACTCTAACTCTGAAGTTCTCGGGAGGAGACTCGTCCCCTGTTATCCAAATTGTTCAATGGAAGACCCCGACTCTAGCATCCACATCAGCAGGGGCCTCGTCTGTCTCTGGCTCTGACCTATCAATTCCAATCACCTGGGGTGGACTGCCAACTATCGCTGCAGTAAAGGCTTTGACCAAGAGTGGAACATACCTGGTCGATGACTGGACGGTATATCTGGGTCCTCTCCAGCAAGCAAGAGCTGTAAGCTGAGCCCCATTTCTCTTTGTGTGCCATTTGTCAAATCCTAATATATCGATTTAGACTTACTCCAACCACTATAACTGGGACGCCTCCCATGTGATACTCACTTCATCTGTTATTAACTCTGTCATCTCCGCTGGCCAATCGACGGTGTTCACCTTTGAGTTTTTCCCGCGGGATAATGGTGCTGTGAATGCGGTCAATTTCACTTTGACTGTCTGATGAAATTTTATATCAATGATGGTGGTTTTAGTGAGGACATGGGTTGACTATATAAATATGTGAACGTTTTTTAATGGGGAATTAACAACCTCGGTATCAAATATCATATTGCCCATCAAATAGCATATGTACAAAAAAATAAAAAAAAATCAAGAAAGAAAGAAAAAACCAACCCATCGCTTTCATCAAGTCATTAAATTCCATGATAGCCAAGATCAATATAGGGTCTTCAATTCTCGTAAAGGAAGATGGGGATCATATTTATCCCATACGATCTTGTTCTTCTCATTCAAGTGCGCACCCTCATCCGTGATGCTGATTATTGAATCAGTCTCCAGAACCTCATGGTTGCTAAATCCCCATTTGTCTCGTGGAATCCACAAAGTCGGTGGCGGTGATGCTACACATGGCTCGAAATATGCTGTACGCATCTCTTCTGGGGTGTACGAAACCTCCTCGAGATTCCGGCGAACCTTTTGACGCAATGCCGCATAATCTTTGTATACGTTCGGATGGAACCATCTCCAGAAGGCCATTGCGCGTGGGCGACGCTCTTCGTTGATCGCTGCCACTTCATCTTCTTTTTCTTGGAGCATTTCCTCTTCGGCATCAAGGGATCGTGGTAAGAATGTATTCAATGGGCTGAGTGCTTCGTTGAGCGACATGTGGGCCAGGATGTTACCGACCAGGAACAGGGCCATGATGATGACTGGCCCGATAGCGCCCTTGATGGCGCAAAGTCCTATCAAACATATCTCGGCCAGGTAGAGACCCGTTAACAAATGTTGCAGGGCTCGTGGGTAGACTAACCCCTTTGTATCGACGCTGATGTCATATACGAAGAGGAAGTTGTAACGGTAGGCTTGGTATACAAGATAAAGTCCGAGGAAGGCAAATCCCAGAATCAGAGGTGCGATGCATGAATAGGTCAATGCTAAAGAATCGAGTCAGTTGATCCTCGTTAGAGCACCGAGTAGGGCATCTCTTACCAATCACAGCCATGTTGGTGAAAATGGGAAAGACATTGCCCCAGCTAAGACTGGCAAGTTCGGCCCATCCTTGAAACAGACGGCGAGGGGAATATGCAAAGAATGTTGTCACGAATTTGAACACCAAGGCGCTGACAATTTGAACCAGGGCCAAGGAACTCATGCTCAGTCCCTGCAGCATGAAGTAAGAAATGTAGAAATTCGTAGCCTTGGGTAAGTTCTGCGCCAGCAGATCTTTGACCGAGAGAGGATCTTTGATGATTTGTGCAGTAGCAGCCGAGGCAGCCGATGTCAATGTCGTGACCAAGAAGACCTGTACCACTTGAAAGACGAAGTGAGCGCTTTGTGTGAATAGCTCAACTCGTGCGGTTGATGGAACTCCAGCATGTCTAGCACATACTACGTAAAAGTCAGCATGGGTTCGAAAAACAAAGCGACCTTGGGGGAGCATACTGCGACATATGATCGGCACTAGCGACATCAACGCGGCTAGCGCTGCAGCAGGCAGAAGACCCTCAATCGCTCCTTTAATGAAATCGGGCAAGTGAAGAATGAAATTGAGGAAGGGAATGAGCGTGCAGATGTATGTGATGTTCGAGATTGCACCAACTATTGCCGCGGGGAATGACCAAAAGATGACCATCGCTGCCAGGAAACCCTGAACTGCGAATCTCCTAACAATCCTTTGCCACCAGCTAAGGTTGAGTGCCGACCATACAACCTCGTGAGGTGCAACTCCAATGAAGCGAGGGGTCATATGAAACGGCTGGTGATGCGATAGGGTTTGTAGGGCGACTTGTGCATCAGTTTGGCTATTGAATTCGACAAAGATTGCACTGAGCATTTTTGCTTGACCATTTTGGTGTTTGAATTGTAGATTTGATACTTGTTCGGTTTTCTTTGCGAGCTCAGCCCGATACCAGTGGATAGAGTCGACTCTTTCACCAAAGAGCTTCAGTCGATGCATGGGACGTTCAACCTTGTGGGACCATGCCGGGTTGCTTGACTCGCAGTCCAGACACGTATCGATATTCACTTCACCTTTTTTGATTGCTTGGATGTGGATCTTATTTGCTCGTCGAATGAGTTTGGTCTCTGCGGTTTCCAACTTCTCGGCTAATCGATCTCGTTCATTAACCATCTTTTCCAATTTTGAGCATTCGGAGGTAATCCAGGTTCGGCGAATTGATTCTCCAAATACTTGTCGTAGTTTATTCTCATTCTTGTATGCATCCGGAACTGACATGAAGAGGACTGTACGGGATGACATTCGAGATGCATAGGCCGGTGAGTTGAGGTAGGCCTGGCGGAGGTTTGCATAGTACAGGCTTTCTCTGACCACGACATAAAACACAAACGCTGTAGTTGTCAGTGGGCTATTTCTATTTCTTTTTCTCTTCTCTTTTTTCTTTTTTCTTTCTTTCTTTTTTTTTTTTTGGGGCAAGTGGATACTGAGGACTCACTGAAGTAAATACATGCCACTATAACATTGGCATAGTATCTGGTAGGATTCTTGACATTACTGAAACTGAGGATGTCGAGCTCAGTATTGCCGTTACCTCCAGTGGCATGAATAGGTAGCAGAATGGGCCATGTAATCACACAGCCCGTCAGACATGTTGCAGCCAGGACGCGCAAAAATCGCAGAAAAAGATAACCATCTAGCGATGAGTGATGGAGTACATGATTATCTTCGATTTTGAAAAATGTCCCAAGCCAGTTCACCCAGCCAGACGGCAATTCGGGAGTCCGTTGATGTTCATGTATATCGGGCAAATATGATCTTGGAGCATACCATCTGCGTTGAGTTCGCCGAAATATCAGAAATAAACTGAACCAAAACAAAGCGTATGCAAGTGCAGGCAATAAAGTCATCATCAAGGCCGAACCTGACGAACCCCCTCCGCCGGTGAGACTGCTAGCGATATCACCAGAGGTGGTCGACGCGTCGCCTCGCGACGATCCAATGTTCGAGTCATTACTCTAGAACACATTAGCAAGGAGTTTTTTTTTCTTTTTTTCTATGGAATAGGAGGGTGATTATACCGTTATACTCTCCATTGTATCTTGAAAAAAAAAACAAAGAGATATACCAAAGAAATGACAGGGAAGAGGGGACTATGAATAAACTAGAAAAGCAAAGAAAAAGGTGCCTTCACATCCCCCGTTTTCGACCTGTCACCCACAATTGGGAATAGATAATTTGGTGAATGCAAAAGCTGATAGGCTCGATGAATAGGATTTTAATTATGTCGATCCGATAGTTTGTGGGTCTACCCTTGGCGATATGTAGAGTACAAAGTACGGGGGAGTACGAAGTACAACATCTGGGATATTTAGAGAAGTAAATGTAAATGTTGAAGAAGAATAGAAAATATAGAAAAGGGAAAAAAAAAAAAGAAAAAGAAAAAAAAAAAGAAAGAGAGAGAGAGAGATCAGAATACTAAAATTCCCCGATTTACGGGTTCCAAAGAAAAATTCCAATTTGGTCGATCCTCGCTAGTTCAAAGCCCCTGAGAGAACTTTTGACTTCAAGTTCATCTCTACTTTGTCATATTAATCTTATATATAATGATTGTAGTACATCTATACAGATATCTATACAGAGTACATCTAAAAACTTTTTAGGCTTTTACCCTTAATAGGTTTCAAGGCTGAACGCAAGGGGGGAGGGGAGGGGTTTACCGGTGAAAACTTGGGGTTACAGCACAGGAATGTTAAGTCTGACCTATGAAGTATCAAGATATAGAGAAACCGGTATACAGAGTACTCCTATTTCTGTATAAATTGCGTAGGAATCTATGATCTATCAGGTTTCTACAACATATATTAAATGGTATAGAGTATACCTATAAGATGACCACCTTGAAAGAGTAGTTGTACAACGTTTATACTGCAGACTGTAGGGAGTACGACATATAAACGTGCAGCCTTGGCATCTCTGTGTAATCCATAAGGTTTCATTGTTTCAAGTTTTTCTCATTCTCCTTACTTGACTTTTGAAAAGTATATGTTGTACACTCTTTGATCTATTAAGAACTAGACGGGAATATCAACCGCAATGACAGGTGAAGCGTGTACGTCAGATATCCCGCTACAACGAAGTTTGGAATTCTCAGATGGATCTCTGTTTTTTTTTTTTTATGTGCCGTATCGATGGCAGTGGTACAATGGTGCAGTAAGCGTCATCAGCATCGCCGGCTTGAGGTACATTGGATAGGATACGCCACCATGAAGGCTACCATCATTCAGTTGACACTCAGTACACAAAATGTATGATATCCAGATATGTGGATGATCAACCGGAAATAGACATGGAAACGCGTCATGTGTAGGTTCCGATAGGGAAAAATGACCGACGCCTAGGGTGTGGCCAATGCTACACTTTTCCCGGTGACGAGGCGCACTATATCACTGAGAAGTCAAAATCATCGTCATCCTCCACCGGGAGAACATGATTGGAAATAAAAAGGAAGTATTGAACAGAAGCGCTGAAGAATCGGAACAATGCCCATGTCTATATACGGAGTACAAACGAAATGACGCTTCAGCTCTTAGGTTCACGATTTTCCTTAGAGACAGGCAGGAACTTAGTGTGTGAACCCTTTGAAACCAACGGACCGACTTCATTGTCCACAACTCGGGAGATTTTGACGGTTGTGAAGGCCATTGACTTCCCCACCCGATCAGCAACGGCAGAGATATCTAAAGTATCTCCAATCGTGGCAGTTGACAGATACGAAACGTGGATATCAATGCTTGCGCCTGTTCTCTCATATCCATGTGTAGCTATCGACATGCCCCCCGCCCAATCAATGATCGTTGCAGAGACAGCTCCATGAATAGTGCCCCGGGAATTCACATGCTCCGCTGTGAGCTTAAGTCGGGCTTGCATTTGGCCACGGGTTGCACTAATAATATCGACATCAGAGAGAAGAAGGCGATAGATGGGGCTTTCATTCTTGGTTCGTTCCCAAACCCCGCGGACATGCTCCAATTCAGGGACATTCATAGTGGGTGATCACAGGGAAGGAAATTGGGAGATTGAGGATATGGTCAAAACAAGATGCAGGGGAAAGGGACTTTGGGGATTTTGAAGTCCAAGAGGGGCCGAGACCGGAGTGTGCCGCCTTTACAACGGAGTCGATCCGAGAGGGACTAGGAGACATACAATATAGTTGGGGAACATATTTGGATATCTGTGTCAACTGAAGAACTACAACATGACCTCACAAAAGATTCAATTCTAGCCAAGATAAATCACAGAATTCATTATTGAGGATATGGTAGATATAAGAAAACCAATCGATCAATATGAATCTCAATAGTCCAAGTCCAAATGTAGGCGGTGAATCTGGTGATGGTTGCAGAAAAAGGGGAAGAGATACCATCAACAATTCTTTGTCATTTCGCAAAATGGAGAACTCGGCAAGGACGTTCAATTCGTTTGAGGCCAAGCAGCCATTCCCACCACTGCTAACTGAAGACCCTGTATCCCCGGACGAACCGCAAGAGAGTTATGAAGACGAGAGTATCACCTCCCCCGACTATGAGATTGAGGTGGAGGACGATGCGGATTTCCAGTCGCACTACTCGTTAGAGCATCAATCATTCTCCGATACAGACTCCGATGATTCTTCTAATATTGACCGAAATCATCCATTTCGCCAATCCTCCGGCTCTCTCCATGGTCCCAATGCATTTGCGCCTCCATTCTACAATCGTCCACCTACCCCTCTACCGCCGTCTCCCTCCCTCACTTCTCTTCTTCGGCCGCCCTTCTCCACTACTACATCACGTCCAACTACTCCAGACAGTTCAGATGTAGAGACTCCCAATGATACCGAGGCGGCAGTCGCCAAGTCAGCTCGTCGCGCAACCACCGTTCCGCGCGCCAGTCCTAAGGTTCCTACCTATGAATACTATGGATTCGTGTTATACCTAGCTTCATCATTGGCTTTTCGTAAGTCTCTTGGAAGATTGCTGATGCATTCTCTCGTACTCTCCCGCATACTGACCGAACCAACTCAAGTGTTTTATCTCCTATGGTCTTATCTCCCATCGCCATTCCTCCATCAGCTAGGCATTTACTATTATCCCAACCGTTGGTGGTCGCTGGCGATCCCCGCGTGGTTGGTGATGTTACTTATCTACATTTATGCCGCGCTCGCCACGTATAATACAGGCTACCTTACTCTACCCATGCACAGCATCGAGAACATTGTCGATGAGGTCGCAAATGTATCAGTGATTGATGGAAAGGCGCGGAGACGTCCCGGTGGTGCTACCAAGATGAAACCCGGTGCCACCTCCTATCAGATCATGGGCCCCCAAAATCGCAAGGTCAATTGGCGAGAAATTTGGAGTGAAGGAACCGACGCCGTTATGGACGTGCCGGTAGGAGGTGTATGTGAGGTTTTGTATGGCCAGGATCGAGAGGAAGACTTCGATTATGCAGCTGCAGACTCATAGCTTCTCGGTTTGATTTCCTTGTCAATTCAGGCTGATCACTTCATATTTATTGATTTGAGTGTTGCTGTTTACTTGATGGGATCGGCCAATGACGTCGCGTTATGAATATGAATATCACGTGATTGGTCTGGTCGCCTTCCGCCTTCCGCCTTGCTGATCATCTCACTCAAGTTGTCGACAACGAAAACAACCATTACTGTTGAGAGCCCTTGAGGATAATTTCGAAATGGCAACAGAACGGTCCTCAACCCCACCTTCGCAGCCCAAGATCTCAGGGGCAGGGCAACTTCCCCGCGCTCCTCTCACTCCCGAACAACAACGGAAGATGGTACGTTCCCCCAGGTTTGCGACATGGTCAGCCAAAACTAACCAGTCTTGCTGATAGGAAATCAATCGCATGAAAGCTAAAGCTCTTCGGGAGAAGCGTGAAGCCGAAATATCCCAAGCTGCTCCAAATACCTCTCAGCCCGCTCCAGGCACCAAGCGCTCATTCACCTCGATGGCGGTATCCAGTCAGCCTGCTAATATGCGCGATGCCTCTTCCTCAAATCGTCCCCTGGACTCGATCAAGCCAGCCCGCAACTTCACACGCTATGTCGACTATGATTTTAGCAAGATGACCGATACGAAGGGTGGATTTTTGACTCAGGAGGACGACCCATTCAATAAACAACTACACGTGCCGGATGATCAAGAAGTTCAAAAGCCAGCACATATGACGCAGAAGGAGTGGGAACGCCATCAGATAGTCCAATCACTAAAACGAAATCGGGAGGGACCCTTTGAACCAGGTCTAAGTGTTCTAGATGATAAAAGCAAGCAGAAAACATGCCGTGAATGTGGCAGTCTCGAAATAGATTGGAAATGGGAGGAAGAACTGAAGTGTTGCATCTGTCATGCTTGCAAGGAGAAGCACCCAGAGAAATACAGTTTGTTAACCAAAACGGAAGCCAAAGAAGACTATCTCTTGACAGATCGTGTGTACCTACTTGTCGCCTTTGAAAAGAGAGATGTGCTAACCAGCCTGGGAATAGCTGAACTCCGAGACGAAGAGCTCCTTCCACGTCTCGAGCGTCCGAATCCACACAAGTCTACATGGAACAGCATGATGTTGTATTTACGATATCAAGTCGAAGAATATGCGTTTTCTGAAAAGAAATGGGGCTCAACAGAGGCGCTGGATGCCGAGTTTGAGCGGCGAGAAAATGATAAGAAACGGCGGCGAGAGGCCAAATTTAAAACGAAGCTGCAGGAGCTGAAGAAACGCACACGTGTGGAGGCCTACCGACGAAATCGACAAGGTGCTTCGGGCGGAGAATTTGGCGACGATCTCGGTTCTGGGCGGAAGCATGTTCATCAATGGGGGCGATCCATTGAGAATCCAGAAACTGGAATTGGTGTCAAGACGTGTATAGAATGTGGAATGGAAGTGGAAGAGCTCGAGTTCTAGATGTACCAAGTGTATGATTGAGATTTGACACTTCCAGGGTTGAACCTATTCACTTATATAACATTATCTCCAATATTGATAGAATCAATAGAATAACGGAATAAATATTTGTGAAACTTTTGTTGAGCTGTTCAAGTATATATATAATGTTAGATATACATCTAGAGCTAAATGGATATTGTTGTATTTTCACTGACAAAAGCTGTCTAACTCGACACATACATATGTATATTCTAAATCAAGTGTTCATACACGTCAAACAATTATAATATTTTGATTTACGACGTATCTATGCTGTAACTCTTGAAGTTATACACTCAACTACCTGGAGGTAACGGCCAATCTTCTCCATCTAGGAAGGCGGTCAGAAGCCCCCAGGGCCAAGCCATCTTTACCATAACAAAAAGGTCATTGAAGGCACTTTCTCATAACTTTCCTATCATTGTCCGACCTTGCTCCTTTCCTTTGGATCTTCCTCCTTAGGACCCCTCATACACAGGCTGACTTGGCGTGGGACGTGGTTCCTTGCCATCGCCATTAGGGGACTTGGTTCGCTTACTGCGGATACGATTTACCGGGGTCAGGAGAAACTGAAGCTCGCACCCTACACCTCACTTGATTTATTTCCGGCCTGATTTCACTCTTGATACCTTTCACAGTGCCCCTGACCCCTCCGAGCCTCGACCCGTCCTGTGTTTGTTCATGTCCTGGCAATCTCCATCAGCCATGGCTGGGATCGGAGGAATGCCCGGCGGCATGGATGGTTCGAATGGCCCACAGGGGACGGAATACACATTACAGGGTGAGCATCCATCCACTTGATCTCTTGAATGCCATTGACTGATCTCTGTCTACAGGTGTAATGCGCTTCCTACAAACAGAATGGCACCGACATGAGCGCGACCGCAATGCATGGGAGATTGAACGGGCAGAGATGAAGTCTCGCATTGGTCGATTAGAAGGTGATCTACGTACAAGTAAGCGCCTGCATGAGTCTCTCGGGAAGCATGTTCGGATGATGGAGACCGCTCTGAAGAGAGAGAGGGAGAAGGTCAAGAAGCTTTCGAACAACGAAAAGCCCCAAGACTCCGAGGACCCCAAAGATGCTGCGCGTGAAAGTGTAAACTTCCTGAAAGGTATGTGGCTCGAAACCGTATGCTAGCACGCAACGTGAGAATACTAACTGGGTTATTTCAACAGCGCATCGTCCCAAGCCGAGTACCGACCATGAGAAAGACGAAGATCCCGACAACGAAAACCAGCATGGAGGTCTGATTGAAGACATGGACAAAGTCCGAGGATACCTGTCCAAAGCCTCCCACGAGATTGCGTACCATGTTATACCCGCCTCCCACCCGGCACCTGACATAAACGACTCCGACATGTCAGGCCAGATCTATGGTAATTCGCAGCTGTCGCAACAGAACCTAGAGGAGGCTTATCTTCAGCAGCAACGTCAGAAAACGAATCATATTATGGCGCGTGAAATGGCCTTACAGAATCACCAACCGATGTCCAATCACTACTCCGACAATGCCATGGCTCGTGCTCAAAACCAGTATCTTCCCCGGGATGCCATCGATCGACGGTCAATGGACCTGCAGCAAGCCCCCGTCGCACCAGTCCAAAGTCGAAACCAATCAAATGAACAGGGCACAGTGGACGATCGGCCAAACCAGGCATACGAGGGCCAAGGCCCTCGGGTGGTCGTTAAGGAGGATGTGAATCTGCCAAAATTGACCGAGGGAAGAACAGAGGATGTGGATGGGTGGAACTTTGACGAGCCGCCGGAGCAGGAACTCGTGGCCACCGATTCCATCCCGCCTCATCGCCCGGATACCGATGCTTTCCCAAATGCCAATTTTATGCCCTCCGAGTTGACCAAGAGCGGGCCCCTGTCCAATCACGGCAAGAGTTTGATATCAACACAAAAGAGCGATGGTACAATTGACACCCGGGAAGCCGTCACGACCTCCGGAAAGCACGAAGATTTCTGGCTTCAGCTTTCGCTGCGTGGCCATTTAGATGTGATCCGATCTGTCATTTTCACCGGTGGTGGTAGCCCAACATATCCCGAGATCTGCACTTGCAGCGACGACGGAACGATCAAGCGATGGATCATCCCGCCTACTTCTGGTAACTCTGGAGCTGGTTCTGGCCAGATCCCGGACATCACGAGCTCCTTTACTCACCGCGGACACGAAGGCGCTGTGATTTCTCTCGCCGCCTGCTCACCGTCTCAAAATATCTCTAGTAGCGGCCGTAGCTTGGGTGATGGATGGGTGTTTTCAGGTGGCCAAGATGCTAGCGTGCGTGTGTGGGAACGTGGGCGGGTTGACCCCAAGGCCACTTTGCAAGGAGGTCATACAGATGCAGTCTGGGGACTCTGTGTTCTTCCCGGGAACGTGGGATCTGTCTTTGGTGACTCAAGCAGCCGCTATGGTGGATCTGATCGAATCCTTCTGGCTTCCGGCGCAGCAGATGGCTACGTCCTCATTTGGGCTATCAGCGACGTTTCTCAACCATCCTCACCCCCGGTTGTAAAAACCCGTCAGCGGGCGAACTCAAAGTCAATGTCTTCCGGTTCCAACATCCAAACCGTTCCTCAACCCAATGTCGCTACAGGTACAACTCTTCAGTATACCATTGTTCATCGCATCCCCCGCATCAATTCTCCTTCCCCAACATGCATTAGCCCCTTGTCACTTGCAGGCGTCAACTTTGTCGTCTCCTACTCGGATGCCTCTATTATTGTGTACGACACGCGGACCGGCGAAGAAATTGCGGGTATGGCCAGTCTCGAGACATATGATGGCACGCCAGCTACTGGGGTGAACTCGGTCGTCGCTACCACTATCGGATTTGATGGAACAATTAATCTTGATCCCAACCGCGCGATAGCCGAAGAGGAAGCAATGGTCCACGGAGCTACTGGGTCAAGCAGCGTAGAGGGTGTGATCATCAGTGGTTACGAGGACCGATACATCCGCTTCTTTGATGCGAATAGTGGTAAGTGGCAAAAGGATCTTGCAATCCCTCATAACACGCTAACATTTACAGGTCAATGTACATACACAATGCTCGCTCACCCTGCTGCAATAGCCTCCTTGTCATTATCTCCAGACGGGCGTCAGCTCGTTTCGGCCGGCCATGATGCAAGCTTGCGAGTCTGGGACCTTGAGAAGCGCAGCTGTACCCAGGAGCTGACAAGCCACCGGATGATGCGTGATGAAGGAGTTTGTGCCGTGGCATGGAGCCCTGATGGTAAATGGGTTATTGGCGGTGGTGGAGACGGTGTGGCTAAAGCCTTTTCCCGATGATTAAACGACGGAATGAAAACCCCGTGTATGATTCTTCTTGCGTTATACCTGTGTGTGTGTATCTTTTCGCGTTTGTCCGTTTTCTGTATGATCCAATGAACTGGACGATTGGCCGGACTAGTTCGAACATTTGCAACGGTGTTCACCGACAGTCGATTATGCTCTACGCTTTGTATTGTTTTTTTGTTTTTTCTCTCTTTTTCTTTCCACATGTGTACTTTTTTTACTTCGCTGATAACATGTTCGACAAAGATTCCCTGGCGTGCGTGGATGCTTTTTCTTTCAACTGTTTCGGTGCATGCTCGACTTTCTATGGGAACTAGAACATATGTTCGAATACTGTTCCATTTGCTCTTGTGATAGGGTCTTGGATGTCAACCTGATAGGTTTTCGAATGATCTCTATATTTGTCGTATTGTTTGTTCTGATAGCTTGTGTATATCATTCATTGAGGCAAACTTGGCCTTCGATCATTGACTCGAGATGTGAAAGATTTGAAATTAGAACAAATACAGGTATCATTCAATATTGACATTATTTCGCTGTGTAGATAGAATCTACTTGGTTGAACTCCATGCCTCCTTAAACACCAATCTCAACCTTTTTGCTTCTTCCTCGTCCTTCAATCGCTGCTCGAGATAGCCTTGCAGGTCATCCCAGAAAGCATCTGTATGCAAAACCTCCTCACCACTCGGACCTATAGCAGCCTTCGGTGGTGATTCATCCCGCTTCTCTGTAATCTCAGGTTGGGCCACAGCAGACTCAACCACCTGGGCGCCACCGATGATCATCACCCCAACCTCGACCTCTTTGCCTCCCGCCAAAATTGCGGGCTCATCTGCCAATACCTCGGCCAATGTCTTCATGGTTCCAGTCACTGGCTTGCGCTTGTATAAAATCTTGATCTTGTCTAGCGGAACTTGACCTCCCTGCGAATCGGTGACGCGCATTCGCACAGCATCCCGGATGTCCTGGACCGAGGTGGTCGAGAGAGCGGCATTGGAAATCAAAAATTCCAGAGTAGGATTGCGGGCAGATTTGACGCGGACAGTGATTGATTTGGATGAGCCTGGTGCCTGTGCTGACCTCACCTTTTTGGGCATCGGAGGATGCGGGGCTGAAAGGCGGGGGAGGGTGTACTATTATCGTTTTGAAAACACATTAGAAGGATATTCAACGGTAAATAAAGCCAGGAAAATGTTGGAATTAGGACTCACGGGAACTCGTAGGCCAATTTGCTCTGGGTCAAAGACATGATCAGCGCGAAGCTTGATAGGTCGCGAGTCCAGCATGGACAGGAATGATTTGGTAAAGGTTAGCTCCGACATGATGAGCTGTTTTAATTGAATGGTAGAGATTTGTAAAGTAAAAGAAAGAGAGTAAGCAAATCTAAAGGTGGTTGGAGTACGGAGAGTAGTGGATATCTGGATAGCTATGGCTGGCACTTGATGGACAATAGACACCTGAATTATGAGGCACCAATGTAAATAAGTACACCGCCTTTTATTCTTTTGTACTGCTGACAGTCACCGCCCGAAGAAAAAAAAAAGATGGAAAGAAATTACAAGCTCCCCAGAAAGCAAACACCATTAACGTCCCCATACACACCACTTTTTCACAAAATGGGTGTTGGTCGCCGTATGAAGAAGCAGGGCCCTCCGGCCCCGCTCGATGAATCAAAAATCACAATGCTCAAGAAACGCAAGGCTGGCGGGGCTGAGGCACCTCCGAAACCTGCACCGGCAAAGCGTCGCAGATCTGATGCCGATGAGGTTGTCTCAAAGAAGGAAGCCCCCAAGAAGAAGAAGGTCAACGGTGCTGCTCCCAAGGCCGATTCTAAGGAACCGAAGAAGCAGCCTGCAGTCACAAAGAAGGCGGTCCCAGTGCCTATGTCTGATGATGATGAGGATATGGAGGATGATGATGAGTTTGGTGACCTCGATGGGGTCAGTGAAGGCTCAATGGATAGTGACGATCAGATTGAAGGACTGTCGGACCTAGAGGATGATAACTCTGTTGTCGATTCTGACGACGAGGGCCATGCCCGTGGAGCCATGTTCTCTGATGACGAGGATTCCGATGCCGAAGAGAGATTGACCGCCGCAAACATCGAGGGTCTGTCGCGGAAGTTGGACGCTGAACAACAAGAGGAAGAGGAAGCTGCTGAGCAGGAAATGCAGGAAGCCGCCATGCAGACTAATATCGCTGCGCCCGACGTGTTCACCGACCAAGCCCAGCAAGGACTGGCCCCCGATCTGCAGCTGCTTCGCCAGCGCATCACAGATACTATTCGAATCCTGGGTGACCTGAAGACCCTCGGCCTGCCCGGTAAATCGCGTACCGACTATATTGATCTCCTTCTCGACGATATCTGCACATACTACGGTTACACTCGATTCCTGGCCGAGAAGTTGTTCAACCTGTTCACTCCTAGGGAGGCATTTGCCTTCTTCGAAGCTAACGAGACTCCTCGCCCTGTCGTTATCCGTACCAACACTCTGCGAACCAATCGCCGATCCCTCGCCCAGGCCCTCATCAACCGTGGTGTTGTCCTCGAGCCCGTTGGCAAATGGTCCAAGGTTGGCCTACAAGTCTTCGAGTCTCCGGTTCCTCTGGGTGCCACCCCCGAGTACCTGGCCGGTCACTATATTCTCCAAGCTGCCTCTTCTTTCCTTCCTGTCATGGCTCTCGCTCCTCAGCCGAATGAGCGTGTCCTCGATATGGCCTCTGCCCCCGGTGGTAAGACGACATACATGTCAGCCCTGATGCGCAACACCGGCTGTGTTGTCGCAAACGATGCTAGCAAGCCTCGTGCCAAGGGTTTGATTGGTAACATCCACCGCCTCGGCTGCAAGAACACCATTGTGACGAACATGGATGCCCGCACTGCTTTCCCCAAGGCCATGGGTGGTTTCGATCGCGTTTTGCTCGATGCTCCCTGCACCGGTACTGGTGTTATCTCCAAGGATCCTAGTGTCAAGACATCCAAGAACGAACGTGATTTCCTGGCCATTCCCCACATGCAGCGCCAGCTTCTTTTGGCAGCAATTGATTCCGTTGACCACTCCTCCAAGACCGGTGGATACATTGTCTACTCTACCTGCAGTGTGACAGTCGAAGAGAACGAGGCCGTTGTGCAGTATGTTCTTCGCAAGCGCCCCAATGTCAAGATCGTGGACACCGGTCTCGGTGGCTTTGGTAGCCCTGGATTCCTCAGCTACATGGGCAAGACTTTCGATCCCAAGATGGCGCTCACCCGCCGTTACTTCCCTCACCGCGAAAACGTTGACGGTTTCTATGTCTGCAAACTTAAGAAGACTGCCGTGACCCCCCAGACCAAGTCGGACGACACTGAACCCCGTTCCAAGGGCCCCAAGAAGGCTCGTAGTGTTTCCTCGGCTGCCTCCACAGACGACGAGTCCATTGACAGAACCCCAATTGTTGACGAGAACGGACACGCCGCTGATTTCGAGGGTGGTGCTTTCAGCTCATTCGAGGATCCCGAGGACGCCGAGCGTATTGCTCGCGCTGAGCGCAACCGTATCCGTCGCAAGGGTCTCAACCCTAAGGGTGTGCTGAACAAGCCGAAGAGGACCAAGGCAGAGGTGTCAGAGAAGACAAGCGAAACGGCTACACTAAGCCAGGAAGAAGAGGCCAAGGCCGATGCCCCAAAGAAGTCTACCAACGAGCCAAAGGGCGAAAAGAAGACCGTGGTTAAGGAAGATAAGAAGCCCGCCACCAAGGCTAAGGAAGAGACGAAGTTGGTGACTACGGAAAAGGAAGAGAAGAAGACCGCAGCCAAGGGCAAGGTCGAGAAGAAGGATAAGAAGTCGGCCAAGAAGGCCAGCAAATGATCAATTTGGATCATCCCTTGTGTATAATTCTTCGTTTTTCTTTGGGCAAGTCAAAAGCATCATGTATTAGGTCCGGGACCCGGCGCATTGGATATACCTTTTGTTCAATCAAGATCAAACTGTGTTTCAAAAAATATAAAAAAATAAAAAAGCAACTTGATGATCAAAGACGTCTAAGAATATCATGTATAGGTCAAGTATAGAGGCCGTATAAGGACTGTTGATCAATCTATATCCACCAGGGTGGTATGCGTATATATAACCAAAAATGACGAGTACATAAAACCCCAATCGCACCACTCCCCATATCCCAAATCACCGCTAAATGAATGTAAGTGCTCAAAAAGTTGAAAATCAAGGGAAAATCCCGTCTATAGTCCAAGAGATACCAGATGTTAGTCTATGCACGATAAATTTTGATCACCTTCTTGACCTCTTTGCGGCACATCGGACACAGGCTCACGAGGTTCGCACAAGTCACACAGGAACAAAGGTGACCACACTCGGCGAAAACTGCATCCATTTCCTCGGTGTAGCAGATTTGGCATAGATCTAACTCTGCATCGGCCACCTCCCAGTAGCTGATACCCTTGCCATGGCGTTTACCATCCTTGAAGCCGCCGACATACTTGTTGCCTGTCGTCTTCTCAACGTAAGTACCTTGTCCATGGCATACATCCTCGACCCAATCACCGTCGTATGAGTCGCCAGTGGGGTAATTTAGCTTGCCTTGGCCGTGACGTCGGCCAAAGATAAAGTCGCCTTCGTAGATCATGCCTGTGCTCGAGATGTGTTTCCCTCTACCATGGCGATAGCCCTTGAGGAAGGAACCACTGTAGTAGTCTTGTGTGAAGGTGGCCTCGATGGTCTTAATGCCGGTGAAACCTTGGATTGGATGGCCGCGAGAATCGGCCCATAGGTACTGAACCAGACGGTCGGGACTAGTGAAACATCCGGATGAAGCAAGTTGAGTACGCCTGGGTGTATGTGTTAGAATCAAAGAGCTAACCTTGAAATCCATATACCTTTGTGTACTTACTTGTCCTTGGTCAACTTATCCCCGACGATGAAACTCGCTCCGTGCGGAGCGACAACATCGTCGAAGGTATCAGCAGGCGACACCGTGGTAACGGCAGCACCATCGACTCGTTTCCACATGAGGAAGTCTTGGCGAAGAGGCCGCTTTAAATGGCGTCGGATGCACGTTTTGACGTTGGCGTCAAGCTTGGAAAAGAATGACCCCACGGTACGAAGCACTTGACTGTCCGCATCGAACATTTGAATAAAATAGTATGTATGGCCAACAGGTAACTTGACCTCAGATTGGGTTTGTGCTTGAGGTGCAACTTCTGGTGCAGAAGACTCAGTTTCGGAAGGCGATACGGGAGAAGAGCTTGTGGCTTCTGTTGATGGGGTTGCCGTAATAGCCGCCGTGGCTTGTTGATCATGGGCGGCGACAGCAGCTAGCACCACGTCCTGTTCTTGCCTTTCAGCAGCAAAAGTAACATTCTCTGGAGCCAATGTGGCCAATGGAGGCAGTGATCCGTCATCGACGATAGAGTTCGTGATATCTGAAGTAACAGGTCCCTCATAGGAAGCATTTCCTGATGAGCTAGCCACGGCATCTCCTTCGGTCACAGATGCCACATTTTCAGAAGCTTCGTGTATCGACTCCTCGACGACAAGTTCATCCGGCTTATCCTCCGAGGTGGTAACCGCAGGAGGGTCTGGAATGGCGAAGAATCGAGCATCCTCTGCTGGGGATTAGCGGCTGATGATGGTTAGAAACAAAGATCAATGAAATTACGTACCCTCCGAGATGGTTTCCATCCAGAACCGTATGGTGTTCAATGAAGGATCTAGCGGAACATTTAGATCTGTAGTGCGATCAAACGCCAGCGATGATCCAGATTGAGCAAACGAGTTACCAATCTGCCAGAAACGAATCCGCTCGGGACCAACGGGCTCAGAGCCTGAGGACTTCCATATAGCAATTCTTTTGCGGAGTTCTACCAAACGTGATGAGCGGGGCAGTGTCATGTACATGACACTGCTTGCCGCTCTGGCCTGCGCCATGAGATCGTAGGAGTCAAACAGGCTCGGCAGCTGGTCATACTGGGGAAGCGAATAAACCTCAACTTGGACATCATCCGTAGGCTTGCCACCCGTGTGATACACGCCTGTTTCATGGTATTGCTTCAGGCTCTCAGGAACTTCCCAAGGTCCTTGCGGACCAGGCAAAAGCTCTGATACCATATCGCCACGGATATACATTACCACGACAGGTACATCATGGCCCTTCTTATGATCCACAGTTTGGGAAGGATCAAGACCAAGGTGTGGGCCCATGGCTGTTTTCTGGGTCAAGCACTCCACGCGGTTGTCACTGCCATCGTCAAAAGCTAGCCATGTGGTACCCGGACCCGCTGGGCGAAGGATGCTAAAGAACTTGCCCGAGGTGCGGCGGCCACGATGAACAATATAGCCATAAAGCACATACTTGCTACCCTGGCCATCAACCACCCACGGAGCCAGATCTACCTCCTCGTCTAGCTCCACCTTGTCATACCGCAGCTGCCAGCGATTGGCCTTGTCCAGAGTATGGCGACCAAACTCAACATGAAGCAGCGATGGAAGTGACCAACGACCGGGCTTAGCACTCAAGTATCCACTAATGGCTTCGGAAGTAGACTTGGCTTGACCAACTGGCACGTAGAGACGCGAATTGAACTCAGTCGGCAGCATGTTCACTGTGGCTTCGCCACCAGAGGACAGATTATATACAACCGGACTGTCAAAAAGATGAGCGAACTGCTTGCCGGCCTCCGTTCCTTTCAGCTCTAGTTCCAAGTTGCGACGCAGGCGTTCCCAAAATTCGGACACATCGCTCGAAAACTCGTGTAGATTGCGCAAAGTGGTAGTTACGGCGTCGGTATCGACATAGCTTGGGGACAGCGTCCGGCGGCGTAGCTGCCACATAAGCCTTTGAAGAGCGTCACATAGAGGCTTCGGCCTAGCATCGGAATTGGTGAGATGTTCAAGCACGTCAATACTCTGAATAATCTTGCAAAATGGAGCAATGTGCAGCCACGATGCAAGCCCAGCTACCTCTGGGCTATGATTGATGATCGAGTCACCCAGAGGTCGATAACCGGTCAAGGCCATGCTGTCCCAAGTTGGCTCAGAATCACTTGGGTGCCACCAGAGGGACTTGGTGGGGTCGTTTACTACACGAATGTATGCGTCAAACGAGAGCGTGTCGTTGTTTAAGAGGGCACGATGTTGACCCCGCCGGCGTGAATGGATTTGGTCCCAAGGGCCGTGGAAATATGTCCACCCCCAGTCCAGGTTGTGAGTGTTGAATTGATGACAGGAAGACTGCATCCACCCAGTGCGTGGCTCTTGCGGGTTGTATACAATGACACCGACCTGTGCCGGCACACGCCAAGAATCCGAGGTTCCATGATCAGATTGGGGGTTATTCCTGGTCGCAGGATATTGAGACTTGTAGTTCTCAAACCATGCTACCGCGTCATCTGCGGCAGTAGTCTTTATCTGAATATCCGGGATGCTATCATCCAGTGAGGCATCGGCTGCGCCTCGACGGACTGTAAATTCCGTCTCAGGTAGTTTGCCCTCTGGAACAGGCATTGTGGTAGAGCATTCGAGGTAGACGCTCAATGCATTGACATTGTTCCCCCGGGGGTAGAACTTGATGCGCCACCAATATCCTCCAACAAATGCTGGCGGGGAGCGAATGATTTTATCACGATTGGGGTTCTCGGGGGTGCCCCGAACACCTTTGAATGTCCACGTAAGACGGGCCTTTTCGGTGGGAATGTATTCAGGATCTCCCAAATCCCGGAAGAAGTTATTTTCCCAATACTTGTCTATCATGAGGTCAGTAAACATTGGATGTTCTCTGAGTGCTTGTAAGGTTGACACCTACGATCACTGGCACTGTAATCAGAATCACCGCTGTCGATCTCTTTCATCTCGTCCTCATCTGGGATGGTCGTGTCCTCCTCGTATTCTGCCCAATATGCATGTTCCAGCTCTTCAAAGGGCAGGATTGGTACAGGCTGAGGAGTTGAACGTGATGATTCGGGGGATTGGTTCTCGGTCTCTGTATTCGGTCTCACCGTATCCTCCACTTCAGTCTCTGGGACTGTTGAATTAGGTAAGGGGTCCATGGTAATTCCAAGTGAAAGCCCCCAATAGCCCCAATATGTTTAATATATAAAGCACCGGTTCCCAACCTTGGAAGGATCGCTGTATAAAGATTGATAAGGGCTTATCGGATAAGAAAGTTGCGGCCCCAGATGTGGAGGGACTCGACCTAAGGGGTCCGGGAGATTGAGAAGATAAAAAGAATGAATAGAATGTAGATACCTACTAAGGTAGGTAAGGGAAGAAGAAGAAGGGAAGAAGAGAAGAAGGTAGAGAAAAAAGAAAAAGAAAAAGAAAAACACAAAAAAAGGAAAAAAAAAAGAAAAAAGATAAGAAAAAGGGCGAATCCGGGGGGGAAAAGTGAGTGGGTCGGTATACCTAGGTAGACTAGACTGAACTGTATGGAAATTATATGGAGTGTACGGAGTGTATATGGACATATCTCGGTAGGGCTGGTACCCTTATATCAGCTGATATCTAATATTTGACCTATACAATTGTTATACAAAGTCGGTGTGTGTTGATCGACCCCCACTCAGGGGAATATCAATTTGGGAGTGGCGAACTCGGTTTATCGAATTTTTCCCCTTTCCCTTTTGCCACTGGACTTTTCAATCCCTGGCTCGGAAACTGTTCGGTTTCAGGCACGGCACATTTGTTACCCGTGGACCATTTGGTATAGACAGATTGTATGGGAATCCAATCCTGAAACAATTGAAACAATTGAAACAATTCAAACCCAAAATGGACCACTTTTTGATGTTGATGCTGATTGGCTCTTTGAAAAAGAAACCATTTCTAGACCGCGGGTTCCCGCGTTGCTTGGCAATAAGTCCCGATACCGAGACTCGAGAGTGAAATTAATTTTGGGATTCGGCACGAGCAAAGGAAGCCGCCACAATCATGGGGAATACTGCTGTAGCCTCAGCATAGACCTGATTTTTTTTTTTTTCAAGTTAGCTCGGCCCCAAATAAGACAATAGACTAACTCACCTTGACAGACTTGGCATCCGCCTTGATTTTGCCCCAGCTCACCGCTTCATCCGGCCGTGCACCCGCATCACTACCGTCGAACTCCTGTGCAGTATTCACATACACTGCGTGTTCAGCCCCATTGCGCATTAGGCATGCATTGGCAATGTGGTGCTTAACCAGCCCACCGCCCAAGATTATCATACCGGCACGTGTCGCCCGGACGGCCATGGTGTTAATACGGCGTACATCGTCCACGATATCCACCCGGAGTCGTTGCGGGGAAGACTTGAAGGTGTGAAAGTAAAGCATGTCACCCAGAGATCCATCTGTCAGGGCAGGACAGAACACGGGGATTCCGTTCCGGGCCGCCCAGTACAGAACTGAATCCTCGTGGTTGATCTCACGACCCAGTCGCTCGGTGATGAGGCTTGGCGTCCAGTGAAGCTCGTCTTCCTCCTCGCCAGTCTCCCGAGCCTTAACCTTAGCAGCCTCCTGCTCCTCCAACATCTTGTCCAAAATGGGCACTACCCAATCCTCAAAGGCACAGTAGTTATTATTGGGCACGAGAAGGTTGCCAATGCGATTGAGACCCTTAGCGCGAAGTCCAGCACCGGGAGTTGAGAACGATCCGAGATATGTTGGGGCCAGACATTTGATCAAATCCTCCTCCACACCGCCAGCAGTGGTCACGATTGCGGAAACATGATTGTGTTTCACCAAATAACGTAAGGTGTCACGAAGACCGGACGAAATCAAGTTCGATGTATAGCCGAGGAAGATGGTAGTTTTGTTTCCAGTTTCGGGATCACGGAAGGCGCGCTAAGGAGATCATTAGAATTTCAAGGATTCAAAGATTGCAATCATCTTTAGATGTACCATTTCATTAATGATTTGAGCAGCCTCCGCGACTGCACTGCCCTGGAAACCGGTATGGGCCATGCTGTCCACCATCTCCGCGACAGTGATATTTCGGCCCTGAAACTTATCGAAATCCACCCCGCTCACGACATGAGAGCCCTCTGGAACTGGTTGCGAACTTTGGAGAACGGAGTCGGTAACTGAGGAGGGGACTGCTGAAGGTTGCTGGGCGCCCATATTTGCGAGGGATTGGAATAGGGAAGGAAGGGAAAGAAAAGAAAGGGAATATGTAGTTATAGAAGGTGTAAACAAATAAATTCGCTGAAATGGGTTAGTGAGATGAGAAGATAGGAAAACAGTTCTAAATAGAAAGTAGCTTGGTTCGGAGAAGAGAGGGGCAGTTGATCAATTTTCTTTTTTTCTTTTTCTTTTTTTTTTTTTTTTGGCGGGGAACTGCATGAGTCTGGGCCTCGATGCCTTGGTGCCTTGGCACCCTAATGCCTAAGGTGTCTATCTAGATGTTAATCTACAATTTGACCTCGGGAGATTCCATGGAGATACCTAGGTAGCTTTGAATAATTGAAGCATGTGCCATAATATTGAAGCGTCAGTATTACTCTAGCACTCTATATTCTACATAGTAATTTATCTATTTTAATACATTATTCCTACATACTATAACTACATAGAGTTAGGAAGCACACCTGGGCATCCACCACACTAACATTAAATCGGGTTAGTGCCTAATACTATCCAATAGAGACTAACCCGGACCAGGTCACGGGACGTACCTTCTACCATTAATACATCATTCTTGTCACTTTCCTACTACTTGTACCAGATATCCTCTCATAATTGATTTCTCCATATTTAGTGCCAGACTCCTACAAAATGACTGAGCCCGCCCTTTGCTCTCCCGATCATAAAAATGGCTGCCTGGAGGGTCTACCTCTTAGAAAGTACCAATATCAAGGAAGGCATCATTTCTATCGTATACTAGATGATGAAATTGGCAGGCGCGAACGAGCAGTTGAAGAACCTGAACATGTACTTTTTTCTATTGACCCTGTAGACTTACAGCACGACTTCCTCGATCCAAGCAGTAGCTGCTTTTCAAAAGTTCGTTTTTCGTACGATATAGAGCACAGCTTAGTACTCGTGAAAATGCCTTCCAAAGAGCATGGGGCTGCCACAGGGACTCTTGCCAGTGAAGTGTCAAAACAACTGGGACGGATGGGACCCAACGTGGAGAACGAGATCGTGGCCTTTTCCGGATCTGGGATTCGAGCTGAGGGTAGGGGGAAGGAAGCCGACTTCGCATGGGGACCTCAAGTCCCCCCAGATGCTGTCGATGATTCAGGATCGGTGACGGTCGCTGTCGAAGTGGCTGTTTCTCAAAAACCCACCATGCTCAAACGGGACATTGACTATTGGTTGAGTCCCACAGCTGGGAACGCGAATCTAGTCATTGCCGTCAAAGTGGGAAGATCAGACCCTGAAGTCAGCATTGAATTATGGCGACAGGCCGACAGAGGCGCTCACCGCACCCAGCACACCATCATCAAAAAAGTGAACAGCAGGGTGATCATTTTGGGGGATGAGGTGACTATTCCATTCAAGGATTTGCTTGGAAGAGAAAGGTCGGCCCCAGGAGAGATCGATGTGACAATCACGAAAGAGCAATTGGAAAGGGTGGCGAGAGCAATTTGGAGTCAACAGCGCTTCTAGTGTGACAACTGATTCCAACACAACCTTCCTTCAGAGCTCCTTGAAGTCTCACGAACTCATCTTCTTACATCTTCCAACATATTACTCGGTTCTCTCCTCGGTTTCCTTCTCGGTTTCCTTCTCCATTCTTCCATATTGCATTTGTGTTGCATAACATCCGGCGCAAGGAGCTCGCATGATTTTGCCGATCTTCTAACGTGCCAGTGTTTTCTGTTTTCCACGTTAAATCCCCTTATCTCGAACCTGTCAACCTGTCAACTTGAATTATCCATTTGGAATTTAGCACTCCAATCCCACAAAAAAAACAAAAAACAAAACAAAAACACGACGTGATATTGGGTTTCCTTGAAACAGATTACACCTTACCCGATCGGGTACCCTTTAACCTTTTGTCCATAGGGTCCGTGCATTGCTTGTCACGTGCAGACCCTCCCGAGCGTTCTCCATCTCTGGGTAGGTGATGGATTCTGCATTCCAACCGCCTTGGGCTGATTTGCACTGTACATTGAACGTGCTGGAGCGCTAACCCAGACTATAGCTTCATGATAGCATGACGCAATAATGTCCTCCCGATTCCCCCCATCGTCCGGGTTCAATTCCCGTGACCGTTCTCCGCAGCGATTTGGAGACCGTCGCCCCCCGGTCGGTCCTCGTGGTCCTGACGACGGACCTGCACACTTTGGCAGAGACCCACCGCGTGGTCCAAGGGCCCTTGTTGACTCCCCTCGTGGGGGCCATTTTGGTGGTCGTGGCAGAGGTTATGGCCGTGGTGACTTTCGTGACCGCGACCCACGAGACCGTGACCGAGATCGCGACTTTCGAGATAACCGCGATGGCCCACCATTTCGCCGAGATATGGACCGGGACTGGGTTCGTCGCGACCGCGATTTCGATCCTCGGGACAACCGGATTGGTTTTGGCCGAGGCCGCTCAAGATCTCCGACACGCGACTTTCGGGACATAAGGGAGCCCCTAGGGCGCGATTTTGATCTGGTTCGGATGCGACGCAACTCGAGGGATAGTATCATGTCTGCATCTTCAGGAGGGCCAGAGGGTCCCCCTCCTAATGGTGGCCATATACACCGAGGAGGCATGCGAGGGCGTGGTCGCGGAGATTGGGAAGGAGGCCGCGGCCGTGGTCGTCCACCCTTCCTCGATGATCGTGATCTTTTCCGTCGCCGCAGTCGATCCCGCGAACAGTGGCGTGGACGTGATCGGATGGTGGATCGCGATAGAGATCGAGACATGGACCGGGATCGTGCATTAGATCGCGATCGGATGATGGACCGAGATCGTGACCGAGATCTTCCACGTCCGAGAGATCGAGATCGAGAATTAGATCGCGATTTGGACCGTCGAGATCGTTTTGACCGGCGTGAAGATTGGGACAACCGACGACCTGATCGCGAGGACCATCGCGCAGCGGACTTCTGGAAACGAGACCGCCCTCCAAGCCGTGCAGATAGCCGGGCAGCTAGCGGCTCAACCACTTCCTCGCATCCTCCTATAGCACCTGGCCCTGGACCAAGCCTAGTAGATCGCCTGCCTGACCATCCCCAAGTGGATCATGGTCGGAAACCTTCAACCGTTCCTAGCATTCCGAACCTGGAACCTACACGAGACTCCGAACGAGACGATCCTGTCGCTGTTAGAGCTAGTGCTGGTCGACCTGACGCCATCAGGCTCGATGTTATTCGCCCCGATGCTCCTCGACCGGATGTCGTTCGACCGGATACTGTTCGCCCCGATGCTCTTCGACCGGATGCTCCTCGACAGGATGATCCTCGACCGGATGCTCTTCGCCCTGATGCTCCCCGAATGGATGCAGTTCGATCCGATGCTACGAAGAACCTACCTCTCATTCGGAACTCACCACCTCCAGCCGCCCCCCAGGTGCCCGCCTTTGGCTCGGTAGCCGCACCCATCACAAGTGCTCCAAACAGAGATTCTTCAGACCAGCGCACGGCACCCAATTCTGCTTTTCCCACAGAGAGAGACCGAAGTGAAGTCCCGCAACGCCAACCAGCCCAACCTCCTACAGGGCCCAAGGCAGAAAGAACCGACATCACACAGCCTGTTGAGTCTCGCAGCCGCTTTGAAGGCCCCTGGGAGGCTGGCAAGCAGCAAGCAGCGTCTCCTCGCCCCTTTAAACCAACTACCAATCTCCCTGATGTAACACCACCCACCGGTCCAGCTGCCATGACTCGGCAAGATTCGAGTGTAGGGCCCAACGAAGCATTTGGGGCCGGGAGGTCGAACTCGCTCACCTCTTCCCCTACTTTTACAAGAATTCCACCGCCTGCCCCACGCGCATTATCCCGTGAGCCCTCCATGTCGCCTAGAATGCAATCGTCTGGCATTCCAACCGGCCCTCGAGCATTGCAATGGAATCCCTCCCCGCGTGGCCGTAAAGGCAGCAAGCAATGGGTGCGACCTGGCTATGGTCGAACACCTTCGATTCCCAATGCACTACCGAAACAAGAGCCAGTCGATGAGAGCGAAGGTGTTTCCCCTGCCAGTGAAGCCACACGGTCTCTATTACCACCTCATATAGATGAGCCTGAGAGTGGCGAGATTCTTCCCCATAAACCTGCGAGGGAACCCTCGCCTGTTTCCCCGTCATTGAACCTCCCATCACGGCGTAGTTTATCAGCCGTTGACATTCAAACAATTGATGTCAATGAACCCTCCGAGAAGCGCGGTACCGAAAAACCCTCCTTGATACCGGATTTTGAGGGTTCAAGTGACGAGGACGATGGAGAGAAGATCATTTTTACTCAGGAGTATCTTGATGAAAGGAAGCGGATCTTTGAAAAGGATATGGAGTCACTCCGAGCAGAATTGCCTCCACCACCTTTGGAAGATTCGGCTGTCGTCGCTCTGTTGCTTAAAATCCAACTACTTGGCATGGTAGCCGACGAGCAGACAATTGAACGTCCCCTCGCAGCACTCGCCGAACGAGTGTTAGAACGACCAGTGGATCCTTTGCCCTCAGTAGAGGATGAAGAGGCAACAGATCACCCAAGCACTGAGCGAGTAGTCTCTTTTGTTTCTACCCTACCCGAGCGCGAGCCAGAGCCAATTACGGAAACGATCATTCCCCCTGTGGTACGTCCGGGTGAGGTTACTGTCGAAAGCCTTCCATTCTTGCACTCAGGTCCCCCAACACCGATTTCAGATATGGTTGTATACCATGAGAACATTGCGACCCAAAATCGTCTCAGGGACGCGTTCAGCAAACAACTTTCACAGTGGCAAGCGGAAACTTTTAGGAAAAACGCAATCCTTAGGGACGAATACGTGTCTCACTATAAGCACTGGCGAATGGCTATTTGGGAGCTCGATCGTATGAAGGACAAGAAGTCTGTGACCCCTGGTCCAGCCTCTCCTCAAGTTTCCACCGTTCCAACTACACCGGCGCCCATGCCTGAAGGTCGCGAAGGACGTCGGTACAAAGGGAACAGTGAGCTCGATTTTCTCAATGCTTTGAAAGCTTCTGAAATCTCCGCGCAAGAAGAGCTTGAGCGTCGACGAATCAAGATGGCTACTGCTCGGCCCGATTTGGGCCGTGAAGCGATCATCCCCAACATGCTCGAACCGCGGGAGGTAAAGGCTCGCATCTATAAAGATGTGAACAACACCATTGAGTGCAACAGGGCTCTGGATGTTTTCGGCTTCGTGCCACCCCCCAATGACTTCACCCCGGAGGAGCATATGATTTTCACGGACGCCTTTATGGCACATCCAAAACAGTGGGGCAAGATTGCTGAATCTTTGCCCGGTCGAAATTTCCAGCAATGTATCGTACATTATTATCTCACCAAGGAAGAGATTAAGTACAAGGCCAAGCTCAGCAAGCGCTGGAGTAAGCGGAAGGGAACTAAAAAGGGCCCACGACCAAAGTCAAACGCCCTCATCGCAGACTTAAGTGTGGTGAAACCTGACTTTGTTGGCGAGGAGGAGCCACCCGCTGTCACAGACACCGGTCGTCCACGTCGTGCAGCTGCACCCACGTTTGGCGAGTCCGCCGAGGCAGAAAGCGCGCCAGTTGGCCGTCGGGCTCAGCTTGGCAAGGACGGCGAACCGGTGGAAAGACCGTCTCGGCGTGGCGGACGAGGCGGAGCTGCTCGGGCTGCACGGCGCGTGAAGACCGCTACTCAACCGGATCCGAAAGCTCAAGTGGTAGCCTCACAGGGAAATCTGCCTCCAATTGTACCCCCAGCGCCAGTTCATCCTGGAAGCGAGGTGGAATTGCCCCCTGATCAGATCTTGGAAGGGTACGAGTCCCGGGAACGAGAGCGTGCCGAGAAAGAATCTTCAACACCAATCCCGCGAGGTAGGGTGGGACGAGGAAAGGGAAAAGAAGGAGTATATATATTTGAGTCTACTGAAGTTGACCCGTCTCTGACAAGCAAACAGCTTGAGACGGGCTATGGCTCCTTGCAACCAACGAGTTATTGGTCTGTACCGGAGCAGCGCGATTTCCCTGCCTTGTTGGGACATTTTGGCCGTGATTTCGAGGGTATCTCGGGCTGGATGAAGACCAAAACAACGGTGATGGTATGTATTCGGCCCTTTCGCCCTTTGTTTGTGTTTGTCGCCTAGCCGGCTAACTTGCATGATGTAGGTCAAAAACTTCTATCAACGCCGCCTGGACTCTGGTCAGAAAGACTTCGAGTTGATTTTAACAGACGCAGAGGAGAAGAAGGCGCGCGGCGAGCCCACAGGACCGCTTCCTACTCCAAGTGTTGCGCCAAAGCGACGATACGAGGCGACTCCGTCTTCTATTATTCCTCGTCCACTTGCCCCTCATGGGGACCCTATGGCTGAGGCCGATGAAATACGATTCCCTAAAGGCAAGGCTGTTGGTCTCTCACCGCAGCCAATGTCTCTGCATGGGCGACCTCCACCCGATAAGGAGCGAAATGTCGGTCGCTACCAGCCACTCGCACAAGCTTCCGCTGCTTCACCAGTGCCCTCTACTGCAACTTTGATTGAAGAGTCGACTCGGGCCATTCGCGCGCAGGGAGGGCCATCCCACCGCATTCAGGGCCCACGCCTTGGGTATTTTACAGAGGATAGACGAGACTCTTCGGTATTGCCCCATGTCACTTCCCGGACGCAAGAACTACCAATGTCCACGCGCCACTCTGGCTCTATGCCATCAGATATGCCACGAATGGAACCTTTGTCTGCGCAAGGCTACATGCCCGCACAGCAGCAAACTTCTCTCCTTTCATCGGCCCACTCACGTCACCCCAGCCTAACACAACCCCCCGGCTCGCCAACCCAACAGCTTAGACCAGAACTCGACGTTTCGTCTGTTCACCGCGATCCTTTTGCACAAAGACCCTACTACTCACTCGCAGGGCAACCCATGGGTCTAGCCCAGTCACCACGCCCTGTGTTGTCGCCAGTGAAGGATGTCCCTCGCCCGAGTGCTACCCCTGCCCCCGACGCAACTCGTCAGGTGCCTGCTAAACGGTCTAACATTATGAGCATCCTTAATGATGAACCCGAAGAGCCTCAGCCGCGCAAACGATTTGCCAGCGAGCAGGCTCCAACTGCCCCTGGCGTAACCACAGGCTTAAACACACGGCCTGTATACCAGGCTGGCGCAACCCCTCGTCATGAAGACACTATCATGTCAGGTATGTCGCAAAAGCCCCCTGGTTATGCCCAGCAAAGCCAATATCAGCCATCTTCTCGCGGATACGAGTATCCTGGCTATGGAACCCCTCATGGCGGCTCAGGCACGTCGGCGAATAACGACTGGATGGCACGTTTTGATCCACGGGCGCAACAAACACCACCGCAGCCTCAGGCTCAATCACTTCCATCACAGCAGCAGCAAAGCGGCCGCCAGGGCTCCTATTCATCTTACACGGCAACTCCAAGCCAATCTTCGGTGCCTTTGACGAATCTTCCTGCCCCGTCCCCAGCGCCGACTCCCCCGCCAACAAATGCCTCTCAACGATCGGCTTATCCCAATGTTTTTTCGCAAGCCTCCTCCGCTCAAGCACCTATGCCCTCTGGATCCCGAGATATGACCTCGCAACCGACTTCATATCGACAAGGGTCACCTGGCCCACGTTCTAGTATTCCATATGGATCGCGACAAGATCCACCAACGCCAGGACAGTCTTCCGCTAGCTTGTATGGTATGCATTCGCGCCAGTCCGCAACGCCAACTGCAGTACAGTCACATAGCTATCAACAGCATGTGCAAACAATGGTCAGTGGGTCGCATCAGCCGCAATCCCACCGGTCCACCCCTGTCAACTTACCCGGTGCATCTTCACAGTACGGACACAATACCCCTCCTCCCCAGTCCCAGGCTGGCCGGTCAATGGCATCGCTGGCGAGCCTCGGTCGTTCATATACTCCTCCGTCGGCTCTACATCCCTCTATGAGCGGAGGCACCATGAGTAGCTATGCTCCCCCTCAGTCATCCGGGCCTGGATCGATACCGCCACTCCACCAACGACCTTCAGGATCGCTTGGTGACACTGTGTCCACCCCAACACATCACCGTGTCTACAGTCATGGGTCAGCTCAAGGTGGACTGCCCCCTTCACAACCTCGCTAGGGTACGATTGATTTGAATGAACTTCATGTGGAGTGTAAGACCGTAATGGGATCGGTTGTACATTAATTTGTGTTTTGTTTTTTTCTTTTAGCGTTCTGGTGCCAAGGATATTCATTCGATGGTTTAAATGTATAACTAGATGAATGATTTTATGTGTCAAATCTTGATCTAATGAATTCGTACTTGAATATCTAAATACCGATGGGATGAATGGATCCATGGATATGTACATAGTACAATGCTTAGTAAGGAACAGCTTCCGTGGGGAACCTTGGAAGTGCGGAATGAACATTCCGTCACTGCGCTGTGGATACAATTACCCTGTGGTGTTGATGGCCTATGAGAGACTACTTTGGATTTTGTCACTTATGACTGGCTGCCATGTCATCTTCTTGCCGATAATAGCCATGAGAGAGACACGGAAATATGCCGATCAAGGGCTATAAGAGATGCATGCGTTCTCTTTCTCTCACAGAAGCCTGCATCTCAACACCATGGCAATCCAAACAGTTGCAGTCGCCGTTATCACGGTAATTTATTTTGTCATTCGCTATTTCAACCGCACCGATATCCCTAAGATCAAAGGTATCCCGGAGATCCCTGGAGTACCTATCTTTGGCAACCTACTACAATTAGGAGATCAGCATGCAACAGTTACGGGGAAATGGGCGAAGAAATTCGGTCCAGTTTTCCAAGTCCGCATGGGAAACAAGGTCAGTGTACAAAATACTTTGATTTCGAGTTGGATTTTCTGATTTAATGCCTCTGATAGCGTATCGTGTTCGCCAACAGCTTTGAATCTGTCCGTCAATTGTGGATCAAGGACTCGTCTGCTCTGATCTCCCGCCCGACATTCCACACCTTCCACAGCGTCGTGTCTAGCTCACAAGGGTTCACTGTCGGAACCTCCCCGTGGGATGATTCCTGCAAGAAACGCCGTAAGGCAGCTGCCACTGCTTTGAATCGACCAGCGGTACAATCCTATATGCCCATCATCGACCTCGAATCCAACTCCAGTATTAAAGAGTTATACCGGGATAGCCAGAACGGCAAGCATGATGTGAATCCCACTGCATACTTCCAGCGATATGCCCTCAACACCAGTTTGACTCTGAACTATGGGTTCCGTATCGAGGGGAACGTGGATGATACACTCCTGCACGAGATTGTGGACGTGGAGCGTGGCGTGTCCAACTTCCGCAGCACTTCCAACAACTGGCAGGATTACATTCCCCTATTGCGCATCTTCCCCAAGATGAACAATGAGGCCGCCGACTTCCGGGGTCGCCGTGATAAATATCTGACCTACTTGCTTGATATGCTCAAAGATCGCATCGCTAAGGGAACTGATAAGCCTTGCATTACTGGTAATATCTTGAAGGATCCCGAAGCTAAACTGAATGACGGTGAGTTACAAAAATGATTTCGTGAATGTTCAAGTGAGTACTGATCTATCCTCTAGCTGAGGTAAAATCGATCTGTTTGACTATGGTCTCGGCAGGTCTTGACACTGTTCCGGGTAACTTGATTATGGGAATTGCTTATCTGGCATCCGAAGACGGCCAAAGAATTCAGAAAAAGGCATACGATGCGATTATGGAGGTCTACCCGGATGGGGATGCTTGGGAGAAATGTTTAGTGGAAGAGAAGGTCCCGTATGTGACTGCACTGGTCAAGGAGATCTTGCGGTTCTGGACAGTTATTCCCATTTGTCTGCCACGCGAGAGCACCAAGGATATCCAGTGGAATGGAGCCACCATTCCGGCCGGCACGACTTTCTTCATGGTATGTTGCTCTTTTCTTTCACTCTTCGGACTATGCTGACAGGGGCCTATAGAATGCTTGGGCTGCCGATTACGACGAAGACCACTTTAAGGATGCTGATAAATTTATTCCGGAGCGTTATATGGAGATCAATGAGGGTGCAGGCACTCCCCACTACGCATATGGAGCGGGATCACGTATGTGTGCAGGCTCACATCTCGCCAATCGTGAGCTGTTTACTGCTTTTATCCGTCTCATCACTGCTTTCCACATGGACACGGCAAAGGAGGTCGCCGACCGACCAATTCTTAATGCAATTGAATGCAATTCGATTGCGACAGCCTTGACAACTGAGCCAAAGCCATTCAAGGTCGGCTTTACTGCACGCGACCCTAAGAAGCTTGAGCAGTGGATTGCTGAGAGCGATGAGCGCACCAAGGATCTATAAGAGAAGAGCGTTGTCTTTCTATTTGATATGATTCCCTCTTCGTACTAAAGACAAAAAGACAAAATATAGATATATTGACTATATGTATTAATCGACCTTTTCGGGCTTTTTCGTATATTGTAGGCTTTGGAAACAGAGACTTGAGTGATTTTTGAGAAAGTCAGTGATTCAGAGATGTAGAGATACTAATTTATTGTTAAATCTTCGAACATTGTCTAACTTATTAGCCATTTCCCCATCTCTTGCTGTTTTTATATGTGCCATTGTAAATGTTCCACAACGGAATCTCCCCGCATCTTCTCCACACTCTTCTTCCTCTTCCCCTTCACATCACCCTGAAACGAATTCCGATATTTGAAATCATTTTCAGATGAATACCCCGCAGATATATCCTACCAACCACTGGGATAACCCCTCGGTGGATGAGGCGAACGATGGTCGACCGCGGAAGAAACGCCGTAAATACATCGCCAAAGCCTGGTCGGTTTGGAAATGACTGTGTTCGAGATCTGTGGCTGACAACATGAAGCACTGAATGTAAGCGCCGCAAAATTAAATGCAATGGACAATCACCATGCCAGCGTTGCGGACGCCAGCACATTGACTGCATTTACGCTGAGAACTCTCGAGACAGTCCCGGCGAACAAGAGTATGCCCACCCCAGTTCGGTGTGGTTGGAACACTACTGATCTTGCATCGAAAAGGAACTTCAAGCAGCTGTTTGACCAAATGAGAGCCATGCAGGACCATATAACCCAGTTGTCTGCTAGTATTCGGTCAATGGCCGGCAGCGAACATTCTCCTGCAGGTATTTCTGCTACCGGCACTTATCAACTTTCTACCCAACGTTCACTCAGGCACTTATCCTCAGCAAAAGAGGCGTCATTCCAAGGCCCGACAACATCTGCATTTAGTTTTGACCTTGCAAAATCTAGCTTGCAGCAGCGCGGAATTGTGGAACGTGCCGAGGCTGACGATGAGGGAGATATGACTCGAGAACCTTCACCGCTGGCATCGCCATCGGCCCCAAATGAAGAACTTGGGACGCGCCAGACCCTAGATCCACTTTGGATGATCCCTAAAGCTGAGGCACTTCGCCTTTGCCGAGTCTATGAGGAGGAAATGGGCATCATGTACCCGATTCTGGAGCTTTCGGAGCTTTTGGACCAGGTTCACCTTCTCTACAACCCGATGGACCGCGCGCTTGGACAGATCCGCCAGTCTCATGGGCACAATGAACTGGTTCAAGAAGATGTTCATATTCTGCGCGTAGTGTTTGCCTGCGCATTGACAGCCGAAGCCAGTGGCCGAAGTGAACAGGCCATTGCTCTTTTTGACAGTGTACGAGAAGTTCAGGACAATTGTGTTTGGGGTGCGCCCGACATTAAGAACATCATATTTTTGACTCTTGTAGTTCGTCATGCCCAACCAACCATGAATGTCCGACATGCTAATTTCAATAGTCGATGTTCTATTTTCAAATGGACGAGGAAATCTTGGCGTGGCGCACCGTTGGTATCGTTGAGCGCATGTGTCTCGAGAAAGGTCTTCACCGACGGGAGACTCTGAAACAACCGGCTATCATAGCTGAGGGGAAGGATCGCGTTCTGCGACTTTTCTGGTCTATATACATTCTGGATATGCGCTGGAGCTTTGGGACTGGCATGCCGTTTGCGCTAGAGGAGACAGATATCGATCCATGGCTGCCAGAGCCTGACGATAAAACACCTTACCTGCGCGTGATGATCAGATATAGCCGGATTGCAGCGAAGGTGTGGAAGTTCATATCGGCTTTTAACAACACGAACGAAATCAAAAAGGAAGAGATGAACTATTTGGATTGGCAAGTGCTGCGTTGGGTGCATGCCATTCCAGACTCGTTGCGGCTCGATCACCCGATTTCTGTGGAGTCTGAAACTGCCATGGAAGGCTCACGGAGCTTGCGCAGACTACGTGCCCTCCTTTATCTTCGGGGCAATCAGCTACGCATGCTCATACATCGTCCTGTCCTTCATACGTCAGTACATGTGATGCGGTACCCTGGCGAATCAGAGACCGTGGTGGAAATCGCAAAAGATACAATCCGCTTCATTACTCGCTTGAACGATACATCGGACATCTATCAATTACAGCAAGTGGCATTTAATTGGTTCCTCGTCTCGGCTCTTGCTGCCCTATTCCTGGCAGTAGCCCAAGCCCCAACACAATTCAGTGGGTCATGTAAGGAGGAATTTTACTGGGCTTTGGAGCTGGTCAAAGGTGTCTCAGCCCAGTCTTATATCTCTCGCCGACTATGGAAGTCTATTCGAAGCCTCCGTAAGCTTGGTCCTCAATTGGGGTTAGGGGTCCAGAAAAGGCCCATCGAACCTGGGGTTGACCATTTAGATGCCCATGGCTCTCCTGCGTTGCCCCAGTCCGCCAGTACGGAGAGTCATACACCGCAGGATGGGGTGCAAATGACACAGGAGTTGATGGAGTGGTTTGAAGCAGTAGGAAATCTGGAGGATCAAATCATGGGGATGGGAACAGGCCCTGTACCAGATGGAGGACCTTACCAGCAGATGCCCGATGGGGGCTTCGTATTTGACTACGGCGAAGAATTGTCAAGTGTGATGAAAGATTTCTTTTGATGTACATATATCGACCATACAGATATGCCACCAAGTCAATGCGCATTCTAAGGCTTCTTCGGATTTGTGGCTTCATCAAAAGGTTTGTGCTTTTTGATATCACGATGGAATGTGTAGTATATTGGGGAGAATATCCAATGGCTGGAGACAAGTAAAAAGAATTAAAACAAAACGAATGTATGTAGGAGGAGCTGAAATCCTCCCGAGGTCCTGGCATTCATCCTTGAAACGCAATCAGAATACCTCAGGAACGTTCTAGTAGATATATTTGAACTCCAATTCTGCATCACCCGTCTGGACTCGTCGAGTGTCTTCTTTTTCACCACTTATAATTTGCTCCTTCACCTTGTTCTCCCGCCGCAGGTAGAGACCATATCCAGTCACCGTGAGTTGCGCCACCACAAGGGAACCTAAGGAGAAGGAATTACCCAACACATAGGGTGATGTACGATACACTTGGCCGGCAACAATACCAGCACAGTTGCCTAGTGTCTGCTGGAGGCCAATCGCAAGAGCGCGACGGTATTGTGGGGCGATATTCACGTTCAGCCAGGCGACGTTAAGACCAACGGAGGTATATGTGGTGATGCCAATGAGGAAAGTGGCAAAGTATAGGACGGCGGTATTATCTACTGTGAGAAGTATGATATAACCGACAAGGCCGAAGACATTCGCTGTAAAAATGTACTGTGAAAAGGTTAGCGAGGAACGATGTGGGAGATAAGGGGCTATACGCACCGATGCAAATTTTGAGTATCGGTCTGAGCACCAAGCAATTGCGATGAAGATCAAGGCAGCCCAGACATAGACAGGGACAGTCAAGACGTTACTCATCAGGGAATCATAGCCCATGCCACCCAAGATAGTGGGGAGGAAAGTGCTGAACCCATACAAAAGAATATCCTGACAGAATTGGATGACACTGCTGAACATCAACTTGGGATCTCTGATTGCGATACGCATCTCTTCCCAGCTAAACTCTTCACTTCCCATGTACTTGCGACGCTGCTCATTGCGCACCCGCATCATCCATTTCTCCTCTTCGGTGAGGAAGTAGGCCTCCGCCGGGTTATTTGGTAGACCGAACCAGATGAGAACGGCACAGATGATGCTGAATAGACCTTCAATGATATAGACCCATCTGAATCATTGTAAGCAATGACCTTTTGAGTGGAAGAAAAGAAAACATACCTCCATCCTGCTTTGCCACCAATTCCATCCATCTGCAAGAGCCCGTAGGCCAAGAGACCACCTACAGCCCCTGAGATGGCAGCACAACTCATCAGGTAGGAAACACGCTTTGCTTGTTCCTCTCGACGATAGACTGTAGTCAGGTAGAGATTGAGACAAGGGAACAGGCCAGCTTCGCAAGCACCTAAGATAAGACGAGTCGCGTAAAGAGCGCCCACGGACTGGATAAATCCAGTGAAAATGGTAGTCAGGGACCAAACGATGCAGAGGCCCGTCAGGATGTTGCGAGGTGTCAACTTCTTCATCATGACCGCCCATGGTGCTTCAAAAAGAACATATGTGACATAGAAGATGGAGACAGCGGTGGAAAACTGGCCTGGTGAAGCATTGATATCCTCGGGCATATTGGCAACCTTGACATTTCCTTATTTTTGTGAGCTAGTGTTCATTTTTTTTTTTTTTTTCCCGCAACGCCAGATTCAATCAAACTCACCGATACTTGATCTATCCAGGAAACAAGTCAGATAGGTCAACATGATGATGGGTACAAAGGCTGCATCCAGTTTGGCCAGGAGCTTTGCCTCTTTCTTTGGATCGAGTACCACATCTGAAGACTCGCCAGCGGCATAGTTTACTTCAGCATCCTCCTTCATGGAATCCTTCAACTCCAAGTTATTATGTGACATGGCTGGATCAAAATGGTTTAGCAAAAACAATCAAATCCAGGATTTAAAGAACATATATCCACGTGCTGAGTGGATCATGAGATTTCCAAGATTTGGGGAGACTCCTATCTTCGGATATAAGCCAAGACCTCGCAAAGATGTAAGTGGGGAAGATATCGGGCCGATGATAAGAGGGAGATTTGAGTAGTTTGGGGCCAAAAGAGGTAAGGGGCCAATTAGGAAAGTGATGAAACGATATAGTTTCCACTTCAAGCCAATCCGATGATCCGAATAGATTCTAACCCTGAAGAGGAAAGTCAATAAACGGCAATTTAGGCGCCAAAAAGGCGTAAAAAGGGACCGTAGAAGGCAAATTACGGGGTTCCCCAACATTTTCCCCAGACCATCGGTATGTGGATCCCGAACATGATAACCGAGGCTAATATATTGTAGTCAGAACATTATGATATGATATTAATATGTTGATATGGGGGTTTAATTACCTGTGGCATCCTTTTTTTCCCTTTCTCAAAAATGGCCAATATAGAAATGGCTCAAGAGGCAAGACTGCACTGTCGCCAAAATCAACTCACCAACACCGCGGGGGTTGCACCGGGATACTTACAAGCAAATCTTCTGGTACTTCCATCAAAATATGCTGCCGATTTCCATGATTTGTGTTTGCGAAACCCAGTTCCTTGTCCCTTACTAGGGATGACTGCTGTTCCTGGGGATCCAAACTCCATTCAACCGGCCGAGTGTATTCGATCCGAAGATTTTGATATTCGGACGGATTTCCCCAAATATCGAGTATATTCAGCCGGAAAATGCATCGAGAGCCGTCGTGACTTGTTAGATGTATGGGCCAAGGATCATGTGGGATTTTTGATAGGGTGCTCGTTCTCATTTGAGGATGCCCTAACAGCGGCAGGGTTGCCACCTCGTCACCAAAGAACTGGTACGATAGTTGCAATGTACCGATCGAACATTCCTTTATTACCTGCCGGAATATTCACTGGCGGTTACTGTATTGTATCCATGAGACCGTATCGTCCGGAACACATCGAGAGAGTGAGGGGGATCACTCGGGCGTATCTATCAACGCATGGAGAGCCTGTCGCCTGGGGATGGGATGGTGCAAAGCAATTAGGGATTCTTGATGTGACAAAGCCAGACTTTGGAGAACCACAAACATTTGAGGAGGGTGAAGTTCCAGTGTTCTGGGTAAGTTCGAACATATATAATCACATCATGTGATTCACATGATCACCGTCTAACCTTTATAGGCCTGTGGTGTTACACCTCAAATTGCCGTTGAAACAGCAAGCAATAGAATTGAAGGCCTAGTCTTTTCTCATGAGCCTGGACACATGCTAGTCACCGATTGGACAGCAGAAGATTTGCAGAAACTAAAGCCAGGAAGCATTTAGAAAACCATACCCTAAGTTCAACATTCTAAGAGTATTCAACTTCGAGGCTAGTTCTTAGTTATACTCTCTTAACCCTACAGAGCATCAATCTCAAAGTCTCTAAATCCCACCTCGGTATCATCCCCAATGGCAAAAATCCCAATGACCGGACCAGTGAAGTCGTGATCTGTTAGGATTGAGGTGTCAAGGGTCGCCAAGTCATGCCAGCCTGTTTCATCTACCTGGAAGTAGAATTGCAAAGCAGTCTCCGTGTAGCCAATTTTAAAAGATATGACATCTTGGAATTCGACAGTTTGGGTCTCACTTTGCGAGAATGACTTTGCTTGATTTAGTCCGTTGAAGATGACTTGTTGTAAGTGGAAGTCGTATCCGATTGTCAAGAACCGGTGCTCGTCTTTGTAGTAAGCCAATCCTGCTCGGACTGATGGGGAATGTTGTGGCTTGTACACAGTAACTCTGGCAGCGCCTTCAAGTTTTCGTTGTCGTTGACCAACAAAAGTAGTTGACTCGTATGCACTGGTGAACTCCGCGGGATCTGCCTGTAAGGTAATGCGGTTGTCATGCATATGGTATCGATCTAGTTTGGCGTCTCTCAAATAGACCCAAGGGGCAGCCGAAAGTGAGTCTTGACCTTCATCCTTGAAATTTCCCTCAAGATTTCCATCGCATGTTATCGGTTGAATTGTCGGCCACCCATCATATGGCCAATCAACCGATGTCAGGAATGTCTCCCGTCCCATGATAGATCGTCCCTCCTTCATGCGAACCCCTAGCATGATTACCCACCATGTTCCGTTTTGATCTTGGAAAAGATCACCGTGTCCAGTGTTTTGGACATATTGATCGGTACCCCCAGCAGTATACAACGGATTCATCTCATAGGATTCGTATGGGCCCCATATGTTTCTTGATCGCGCCATGCTTAACATGTGGTATTCAAATGTGCCCCCTTCGGCACATAGAAGGTAGTACCAGCCATCCTTTTTATATATATGTGGACCCTCTGTATAGCCCTTCTTCCATCCTGTCCAGATGAGAGCGGGTTCCACAATTCTCGCCCCGGTTGTAATATCGATTTCGCTGTTGTAGATCTGGAACTCGGGCCCTGTTTTGCACAATTGGATGTACACCCGTCCATCGTCATCAAATAGCAGAGATGGATCAATCCCAGGAAATATAAAGACTATTGGGTCGGACCATTTCCCCGAGCGAATATCAGCTGTGTGGATGATAAACTGTTCACTATGCTCATCCCCCAGTACATTGGAAGTGCCGTGAATGACATTGGTACAGATTATGTAGGTGACACCGTTGTGATGCCGAATGGTTGGCGCATACAGGCCACCAGTAGCAACTAGTTCTATACCATCGTCCAACGGGCCAATAAATGTCGTAGCTCGGGACAATGACAGTTGAGACGGTCTGTTTATAGCATTCCCTAGAACATGTTAGCCTTAATATAGATTCAACTCGAAGAGAAGCATCTTACCAATATGTTTCCATGAGATAAGGTCATTCGACATATAAATAGGCAGCCCGGGATAGAGATGGAAGCTCGAGTTCACGAGATAGAATGTACCATCGATCAGGCAGATAGACGGATCAGCAGCAAATCCTGGGATAATTGGGTTATGGTGAGGAATAGCCATGTTGAGAGATATCTTGGGGATCTGAAAGATAGAAAGTCTTCGCATCGGATTATATGTGGCACCAGAATTTAGCCTGTTGGGACGAGGCATCTCACCAACACCCCGCATTTGATTTTCGTATTAGGCTGAAAGGTGCAAAATAAGCCGCTGCCTTTGTGGCTGGAGGCTTCTTGAAAAAAGAAAAACAAAAACCGACCAGACCGGTCATACGCGCCTTGTAGAGATATGGAAGATTTTCGATGGGGAAGTATTGAAACAGCGACAGATTTTATGACGGCAAAGATCAACGAGAATAGAAAAGGGATGAGGACGGTCATTCATTACGAGAAGACAAGTGCTTGAGTGAATAGAAAGTTGCGGAATGAACAGAGAGGTGGCTCGTGTGATTGTCTATATAATAGTGGAAGAAGAGTAGCTTGAAGCAGGAAGATTCCGATCACCCCAGAATGGAAATCATTCATTGTTTCTCCACTATTTTGATGTGATCCCTAAAAGTCTCAATACTCATGTCACAAGCCATCCTCTTCATCAAACACCTTCTTTCCCTTGTACCAGGTTTGGCACACTCGCGCTTCTAAAAGCGATTCTATGTCCCAGACCATGTCAAGGACGACAAAATTGGCCTTGTATCCCGGACGCAGAGTCCCTGTCCATGAGTCCGAAAAAGACGCATATGCAGCCTCCGCAGTAGCTGCTGAGATGGCGGTTGCGAGGGAAACCCCGAACTCGGGATTGACGGTATCTTGTGAAGAGGGGTTGATGGACGACCGCCGAGTAGTAGCCACGTAGAGATTGGGCAGTGCGTAATGTTCTGCAGTGGGAGCATCGGTCCCAAAGGCCAAATGAGCCCCTCCATCGATGAACTCCTGGTAAGCAAAAGCCCGCTTACAACGCTTAATCCCAAGCATCTCTGGCCAGGCGTCAAAAGTCGCCGGGTCTAGGTGAACGGGCTGGACTGAGGCCACGATTCCAAGTTGGCCAAGCCTTTTTGCATCTTCGGGGGTTGTTATCTCTAAATGTTCAATGCGATGACGGCATGCTGGCAGGTCTTCGATTTGGGATAAACAGTCAATGGCCTGCCCTACTGTTCGATCCCCAATTGCGTGAATGGCGCACTGTAGGCCCGCTTCAGTAGCACGGCGAATAGCCACTACAAGGGTATTAGCAGGCCAGATGGGATCGACAATATCGGAAAGTCCGCCATACGGCTGGTGTAATCCAGCTGTACACCCATCCACAGTTCCGTCACAAATTAGCTTGACGCCATTGACGCAAAACTCCGGGGAGATTTTACGGTTGAAGTTTTGGTGAAGTGCAATGACACGATCAATTTGACTGAAGATATCGGTATCGCATTTTGAGTAAGGCACCAACCAGTGTACTGCCACATGCATCGGAAGCTCACCACGCTGGGCTCTGTATGCATTTAATGCCACCCACTCACTCTCCTCCATAGCCATATCCACAAGCCCAGTATATCCAGCACGTCGATGTGCACTGATCGCAGCATCAATCGCAGCCAGCTTCTTCTCCATGGAGGTGACCCGACCCAGAAATGGCCAAACAATGTCGAATTGCGCCGCCTCCTCGAGCAAACCAGAGGGGGTGCCGTCAGAGTAGCGATGAATCTTTCCACCTGGAGGGTCGGGCTTTGAGTGAACTTCAAGCTCTTTGAGGGCTGAATTATTGCACCAGGTTGAGTGGAGATCCAATGCCTCGATGTAGATAGGTCGCGGATCTAGGTCGTCTAAAGCGGTTGCAAGAGCTTTACTATCGGTAACTGACTGAACCCAGCCTCGGCACAAAATTCGTGGATCCGAGGGGTGAGTTGCTGCGTAGAAAGTGATGGCATCTTGGATATCTCCGAGGGTCTTGCAAGGTAGAAGGTCGAGCTTCTGCAGTGACATACCAAAATTAAGTATGTGCACATGGCCGTCAATAAATCCCGGTAGGACCATTCGATTCTTCAAATCCACCGTTGATGCTATTGCTTGAACTTGGATAACCGCGTCGTCGTTCTCCCAGCCGATGTGTGCGACATGATCGTCCTCGATTACCAGAGTGGAGGCAAAAAGACCCGATGAGCCGCAGAAGATACGGCCATTAATGAAGACTGTTGTAACCATGATGGTATGTTGAGAAATGGGGTAAAGGGAGCGAACTATTGAAGGTGAGGGATATGGGAGTTGAAATTGGTAGAGTAAAAGTGAAGGGTAAGTGAAGAAAGATGAGGGGGGGGGGATTGTCAAAAGTTGAAGTTAACAGGGATATACCCTTTAGGAAGTTTGGACACTCCAAATACTATCCGCAATATCCTTCAGTTCTTCTATACCAATTATAATATCATTCTCGGGTGAAGACCTGGGTCGCATCATCAATTGTTCGATGGATATAACTAATGGGTTTGAAGTCGCAATCTCTCCCTCAGTGATCTGGATGCGCTGTACCATTTTGATGAATTCGTTGTCCCCGTCCCATTCATATTTGTCGAGAGTCATCTGGTGTTTTTTTAGATTCAATTTTACGATTAAGGCTATGTTAGCCTTGCCTCTCTCTGGATCTAACAAAAATGTTGCGTCGCGCTCGAGTTTTGGCTGCGATTCCGCCAGCCCAACTTCAACAACAATGGTCGCCCTACGGTCATGATCTGGTGGTCTCATTGGGCCCCATCCATTATCAGGGTGTTTTCCTTGGGCGCCAGCTCGGATTAAGGGGAATGGTTTTACGTCGGTTCGAAGCCCCATATGCAGGAGCTTTTCCATAATTGAAAAACCAATTTGTTGGGTTGCCTGCGCATGCTCGTCGGATTTCATCTTGATTAGAAGAAGATTTCTCTCTGTATCGAAAGAGTCGAAAGTAAAGGAACAATCGATATTTGGATCGAGGAAATCCTTTTCGAGGGTATCAGCGTCGATATCGAATAGGATGTACTCTGATGTGTCATGTTTTGAACGCTTGAAAAGATCTAGTTCAAGATAATAAGTGTGAAGGAAGTGTTCCTTTCCTTGATATTGATACCTCTTAATTGATAGGGGTAGGCCCTCGAGCAAGCTGCGCCCATAATCTTTGGAGTAAGGATAGTCAGCCATTATATGTGAAGGGATTGATCTGTAGAAAGGGCTTATGGTCGATATGACCATGTGCATGTAGTCCACTTATACGGTGTCTTATCTCATTATGAGCGCATTGTGCCGTGTAGTGTTCATCGGGGCTGTTTTTCAGTCGCCTTTTCAGTCAGTCACCTTTCCAGTCGTCTTTCCAGTCATCTTTCCAGTCATCTTTTCGGTGGTTCTTTCAGTAATCTTTTCTAAACCCTTTGATATTGAGAAACGGTCTAAACTCTTTTGTGCCCTGGATATCCGTTGTTTCGGATTGCTTTGTTGGCCTATATATGAACCTTAGACCCCCTATTGCATGTCGCAAGTTGCCTTTGTAGACAATTACTTATTGTTTTGATGAATGAAAATGAGCCTTAGGGTTCTGGCGTATTTGTCTTTCCTTGACAATAGCGTGAACGTTTCAGACCCCAAACCATATCAATCTTCTTTATATTGGCATGAGATCTCAAAGATTGGTGGTCTTTGATAACTCACCCTTGCTGTGACTATCCACGCAAGAACACCCTTATAACAGCCAGGTCCTGGCATTGGGGTATCCCCTGGTCAAGTCCAAGAGGTATTTATGAGATCAAGGGTGAATGCAACTTGTGGTGAGTCAAATAATATCTAACAAGACATACTCATATCCTTAACAATGGTTTATAGATGTGTCTATTAGAAGTCCTCGATCATACAGGTCCCTACGGCTGTGGCCATTTTTGGATTCTCGACCTCGATAGATGTTTTACGGCTCAATCCCTCGGGGAATTTTCCGGTTGTATTCATCCATTGGACAAAAGTATTGTTCCTCATTCAAAAGAATGGCGGAAATATGTCAATTGCTTTCGACCAGGTTATGCTAGGATTCCGGGACTTTGCAAAGGATGTCAAAATGGAAACGGTAGTTGGCAAGGTCCATATTAAAATTCCTATATACGTTCATCACTCGCATAGTGGAAATATACTAGCGAATTAAGAGACGCTGAGTAACTACAACCAGAAATAAACTGCTTGCGTTGATCACTTGAAATCTCAACTTGTTGCATTGGCTAGTCTCGGCTGCCTCATGGTTCGCAATGTAAAATTCTGGCCCATAATGGCAGTATTACATGGATATCTAGGCTATAATTTTGCTGTTGGAGGTCATCTTAGGCCTCCCAACTGTCATCAATTGAGCCACTGCGAAGGGTGGAAATCCCCGAGGTCGGCTGTTCGGCATTGTCTCCGAGGGGCACTTGAGCAATATACGTGAATTTGTCAGCCGGTGGGTTAGGTACCTACCTAGGTACCCCAAGGATATTTATATAAATGGACATTCCTACGTCCCCCAATTCCCAAATAAATCAATCAAATTTTAAATAAAAATGGAATCTAATTCCTTTCGTTTACCGTCAATCCAGCAGGCTAAGGATCTGCCCTATTTCACTCCCGCCAACAATGCCGGAGCAGCTATAAACCCCCACCTCAACACTCCAACACTTTTCCAGCCTTTACGAATTCGAGATCTCATACTCAAGAACCGCGTAATAGTGGCGCCCATGTGCACATACTCCGCCGAGTCAAACCCAACCTCTCCAGCTGTAGGCGCGCTCACCGACTTTCACATAGCGCACTTGGGTCATTTGGCCACAAAGGGTGTCGGTCTGATATTGATTGAAGCAACATCAGTTCAACCCAATGGTCGCATCTCACCCAATGATTCTGGTCTTTGGCAGAACGGGACGGAGTCTGAACAGTTCAAAGGTCTCCGCCGCGTGGTGAATTTCGCACATAGTCAAGGGGCCAAAATCGGGGTGCAGCTCGCTCACGCTGGCCGGAAGGCGAGCACGGTGGCGCCATGGCTCGCAGCCCAGGCAAAGCAACGCGGCATCAAAGCCGATGAAAGTGTTGGTGGCTGGCCATCAAATGTGGTTGGCCCCTCTGGCGGAGAAGAGCAAATTTGGGCTCCTGGTGATCAATTCTGGGCCCCTCGCGAGCTTGAAACCGCCGAAGTAGAAGAACTCGTTCAGGCTTTTGGACGAAGTGCAAAGCTCGCCGTACAAGCAGGAGTGGATGTAATTGAGATCCATGCTGCTCATGGATACCTGCTTCATCAATTCCTCAGCCCTGTCACAAATCGACGAACCGACAAATATGGTGGCAGTTTTGAGAACCGAACTCGGGTCTTGTGCGAGGTTGCCGCTGCAATCCGTGCCGTTATTCCGAATGGAATGCCCTTATTCCTTCGTATCAGTGCGACAGATTGGCTCGAGAATCAAAGCGTGGCAGAAGGTACTGGAAGCTGGGACATGCCATCCTCAATCCAACTTGCCAAAATGTTACCAGACCTAGGGATCGATTTTCTAGATGTTAGCTCAGGTGGTAATCACAAAAGCCAGCGCATTGAGCCTCATACAAACTATCAGATTGACCTTGCTGGCCAGATTCGTCAAGAAATTCACGCCGTCAACCATACGACGCTGGTCGGAGCTGTTGGCTTTATCACCGAGCCCGAGTCCGCTCGAGATATTGTTCAGGGCGCAGAAAAAGAGGCACAGGTGGCCGAAGCAATGTTGTCTGGACCAAAGCCTCAAGCTGATGCTGTGTTAATGGCCCGACAATTTTTGCGCGAGCCCGAATGGGTGCTCACGGCGGCCAAGGAACTGGATGTGAAGATATCTCTCCCGTGGCAGTTTGCCCGAGGCTTATTGTAAAGTTGATACATATATCATAGATTAATGTTTCTTATTGTAACCCTTTGATTTCCCTGTCCTCGAGTCATAGTACAGACAGTTGTACAATGCCATAATCTGCATCGCATGGCCCGAAAAGGGGGAAGATCCTCGGCGATCATTTCCTTATTGGGCTTCACCCTCACCTTTCACGGCAGATTTTGTGTTTCAACTTTTCTCCCCTAGGACTCTCCTCCGGGCCTTGTCCGGCCTTAGCGACTTTTCGTATATGAATATTGGACGAATGGTGCATCTGTTATCAGCAACGACTCCCGCACTTCCCGCCCTGTCCAGTTACAGGCCAATAGTTCATCAACGTGCAACGCCAAGTACCGGGCCAAGCCTCGGGAGCCGATGTTACAATGCATATATGTTGATCGGTACTGGATTAGCATTATTTATACGGAGAGGGGGGGGGGGGGGATGATTCGGCATAGTAGAAAAAGCCGGGGTATAAAATCCACAGGTCCAACTTGTATCGATTAGATATTTTGTATCCTACATTCTTGAATAACTGGATAACATTGGTTACTCAAGCATTCCAGTCGAAATTTTGAGGTGACAGAGAAGCATCGATCTTTTACGGAGTACAAAGCAAACAATTATGGGCATTTCACGCACAGCTTTGATTCTGGCCATCGCCTTTCAGCCTTTCTTAGGCGGAGCATTGCCTACCCCATCACCACCTGGAATTCCGTCTACATCTGATGCCAGGACTCAGCTGGCAGGGTTGACCGTCGCTCCACAGGGGTCGCAGGATGGATATGACCGTGAAAAATTTCCGCACTGGATTACTATCAGCGGGTGAGTAAATCAAGTCGCTGTCGTTCTCGAATATTGACTAAACTTGTGGACAGAAATTGTAATACACGCGAAACAGTCCTTGAACGGGATGGAACCGACGTGGTCCAAAGCGATAGCTGCGCCGCTACTAGTGGAACCTGGGTTTCTCCATACGACGGCGAGACCTGGACCGCTTCAAGTGATGTCGACATTGACCATGTTGTCCCGCTATCAAACGCATGGAAGGTGAGTGAGAACTATCCAAAAACCATGATAGCTTTAGGTACTGATAAATATTGGTAGTCTGGTGCGTCTGAGTGGACCACAGATCAGCGTGAGGCGCTCGCCAATGACCTTGAGAATCCTCAGCTCCTAGCAGTCACCGACAACCTGAACGCCTCAAAGGGTGACAAAGGCCCGGAAGATTGGAAGCCTCCACTGGGTACGTCCTCAACCGTGTATCTTATCTAATCTACTAATAGCTGACGACGAAACAGCTTCATATTACTGCACATATGCCAAAATGTGGGTGAAGGTGAAATCCGTGTATGATCTTACGATTACTTCGGATGAGAAGGCTGCTCTTGATGAGATGCTGGATACTTGTTGAAATTTGATTACAATTCCTTGAATCGCGGGCCTCGGCACGCAATGTTACTACCAGCATAGCTAGAGGTTGCGGAATTGTACGCGTAGTGAAAATGAACATGAACAGTTGACTGAAGATTGGAGACATTGCAATATCAGGGGGTTTCAGCTGTGTGATAAACTATTTGATAAACGCGGCGCAATTATACAGTAGATATCTCACTGAAACATAGACTTACACAGCCTGACTAGGATGGGTTGATAACGGCAACAAAGGTCTATTGACAGCATGTCTCCTATGGGAAAAGAACGAAAGTTCTGGGAATAGAATAGAAAAGAATCCATCCACATCATTATATAACGAGTCAAGGAATCGAAATCTGTCAATGCTGCTGGGGTCGTCTCCTGATATCGATCAACTGAATCAGAAGAACAGGAGTTAGAGAAACTATTGCGATGATACCACACATCACACCAGCAGCGCCGCTTAGCCCAAGTTTGGCATACATATCAGGGAAGTAAAATGGCCCGCACTAAAGGAGTATTCTAGTCAGCCTTCATGTTGAGCCAAAGTCAAAGCTTTTGTTGAATACTCACGAATCCATATATTTGGCGACAGAGGTTGATAAAAACACCGATGCTAGCAGAGTGTCCCTTGTGGCTATCGACTGCGAAGGATATGAGGATAGTAGTGAGTACCTGGTTTCCAAAAGCAGCGATAGCCATGCCGATGCATGGTGTAACGTTCCAACTGGTTGCCTTTTCCAACTGGAAGCCCCACACAAGCAGGCCAGCGAAGACAGTGCCATACCCGATATATGACAGCCACAAACGATCCGCGGGAATAGTGTGGCCCTTCCGACGCTGGAGGAACCTTAGGAACCAATCTGACATTGGCCCACTAACTTGTTCACCAATAACGGAGCCAATGATGACGGAGACAAACTGATAACCCACTTGCTGGGCATTGAAGTGGAATTTCTCGCCAAAGATTAGTGGGGTTTCGACGATAATGGCAATATTAGCGTAGGCAAACTCAACGCCATATGCAATTCCTGGAATTAGAATGCGAGGAAACTTTGCTAGAAAAAGAGGGGCGATAAAGTCTTGTAGCTCGAAGGGGCGAGGGTCGAGGCGACAAGGCACGAGCGGACTCCAACCATTGCTTGAGTTCTGAGAGACGTAGATATCCTTCACGTACAGAGTCTCGTCACCAAGCAGGAGGTAGGCAATAAATTGAGTTCCGTTAATGATCGCAAATATCCAGAATATCCAGGCCACTCCAAGGTGCTGCACAACAAAGCCGTTTATGAATGCACCACCCGGGATTCCGATAGTAATTAGCAAGGTCCACCATCCTAGTTTCCGGGCACGCTCTTCCGGATAGCACAACTCCGTCACCACGCCGCTACCAATTCCGAGCGGAGGTGAGATGAGCCAAGCTGCAATAGCACGTGTAGCCATCTGCGCACCGAATGTTTTGCAGAAGACGCCTCCGATGTTGCACAGCATAGTACCCAGCACCGAGAACATGAAGATGTGGTAACGGCCATAGCGCATCGTGATAGGAATCCAAAAGAATGGGGCAATCCCCAAGATGAGGATCTACGACGGATAAAGATGTGTTAGCTTATACCTGGATGCAATAATGGAAGGATACATACCTGAACAGACGTTAGATAGGTAGCCTGAGGCACTGTAATGTTGTACTCCTCCGCCATTGATTCATATCCAGGAATGAGCCCAGCAGCCATGAAAACGCATACCATCGAGTGGATGGCCACCATCAAGATTTGAGCATTTCGTTTCCATGTGGGCCAGTTGATCGGTGCCTCCAACTCTTGCGCGTTCGAACTTGCAACGGAGATGTCTTCCAAATGGGCTGGGGCTTCGAATTGATCCTTCCTTGTGGTGTCGAGGGCCATGCCGTCTGATCGGACGGCTCTCATAGGAGACAGGTCTTCGCTCATCTTTTGTTCAGATTGTGGGAGTCAATCTTGGACGAAATGGAATTTTTGATAGTCCTGAGTCGGCTGGCCCTGATAATGCAATGATTGAAGGACGAAAACCAATTAACCCAATATAAAGGGCACAGAAGGAATGGACAAATAAGTTCCTTCATATGTCTTGGGAATAACATGAAATGGGTTCTACTACGTAAAGCTTGCGGGGCCCCATGGGGAATACTTCACTGGAATAATTCCGCGCCAAGATGCTAACGCATACGTAGTATAGTGACTCCGTTTTAAAGGAATGTTGATCCTCCACATACTTAGGCACCGATGTAGACCCCGGAATTCATCCCGGCTCTAGGGTTCTGGAGCCGAGGTTCGGATGGAGATCCACCCGCAGACTCGGGATCAATTCCGGTTTCGAACCTAAAACGTTAATATGGAGGATATCTGTGTGTATATGTCCCGTTAGGGAAATAGATAACATATTCATATGCCGAGGGGCAATGCCGACACCGACTGGTCCGAAACATTTAAGCGGAAGTCTGCGTTATGTCAATGCCAAGTGTATGAAATAAAAGATCTTTACGTACTCAGTAGGAGAGAAAAGAGTTACGAAAATCATCTGCCCGGGGGAAGGCGACAGACTTGGAGGCCTCAGGCAATCACGCAACCACATCAACCCTACAGTGAGCGGACTCTTACCGTATTCCTTTCTTCCCAAAGATAATTCCAAATGACTCTAAAACAATTGTGTTAGATGGCCACGTTTAGAGATACTGCTACAAACAGATAGTTTGATAGTCCCAGAAACCTAGCCAGGAACAAATCAAACCAAACAGATCAGGATCTCCTCCCATCTAACTCTTGAATTCTAAGGAAAGCCCGGTTTTCATGTCATTTATAAAGATCTCTACCCTGTCCTAGGCTGGTCTTCAGAATTACCTGTGATGCTGATCATCCCCGTCGAGGATGGATTTCGCTAGTTCGGTATAATGATGCCACCATTTTCTCCTATCTGCTCAACATTCACCGAATACCGCGTATATTCCAGGAAGAGGAAAGATTAACGTTAAGTTGAGGTAGAGGATATTGATTCGATCTAATGGGTGGACCTTTAATTGTTTCCAGTCTAGAAGAAGGCAGTCTGAGATAGAGAAAACGCCATCGGCGAATCGGTGTTTGGTCGTAGAGGGCAAATGTTTCTGTTCAGTCTGACGTTTCGGAATCAAGTGTTTCCCGATATCTTGGGGGATTGTTTGATATTGTTTCTTTCAGATATTATTAAAATGATTTATGTCTCATTACAAGCTTTTCTATTATGAGAGGGGACAATAATACGTAGTATGTGGGTTGCTATTGTGCCGTAGTATACTACATGTGCCAGAACAAAAACCGCAAGATCTCTCAATTCTAAACCTGTAACACTACAGTTATCAATAAGGTGTCATGCCTTTTTTGATTCGAATTCAAAAAGTAAGGCAAGATAGTTTCGAAACATTCAAAATGCCTAGGAAATAATCCAGTCTATCCTACAAATACTCTTATAAGTATCATCAGGCTTTCGTTTCCATAAGTCCCAATTCTGATTCGCTGAGGTGGCAATAAAGTCATATCCAAATATCAATCACCGAGAGCACTTCTAGAATCGCGTTTCACTTCTTAGAAACAACTAGTTCTCACCGCTCTGGTTTTTGAAAACATATATAAAGCCTGAATTTTGCCTATTCAAGGTGATAATCTTTCAATCAGTTCGATTAGATTCAAATTACCCGATTAATTCCTCCAAGGTCCTCATTATCACGATGGTTTTTACTGGAGGCTGCATGTGTGGTGCCAATCGGTATCAGGCTGATGGTATGAAAAGCTAGAGCTGGTCGCCTTTAATTTTACACTTCGCAGATTCTGGCCTTGAGATATAGTTGAGCAGCCTGATGTTAAAGCGGTTTGCCATTGCCGGAATTGCCAGAGAGTATGTCTATTTATGGGGATGCAAGCTCATCGGGATAACTAACAGTTATGTAGTGGACAGGAGGATCATCCACAAAGAATGCGATCATTCCTCGAGAATCGTTCAAGCTGGTCAAAGGTAGAGTCCTGAAACTTACCCATACGAAGGCCGATGATCTAACAAATATCTTTTAATGGAGGCGAAGCTAAAACATACCCTTACACTGCGGACTCCAAAAAGACTTATCATACGTTCTTCTGCGGAACCTGTGGATCTGGCATATACGGTGAGCCTGATCTGATGCCTGACAAGCTCTCAATTAAGGCGGGTTCTTTGGACAATCCTGATTTGGGAGGGCAAATCGATTATGAACTGTATACGAAGCGTCGTGTCGCCTATCTAAAGCCTTTGGGGGGTGTCAAACAGCTCGAAGGCATGCTGATGCCCTAGCTTTGGTTTCCTAAGCCATTGTTATGCGGAAATGACTAGGTGGCTTTGATAGTCGAATGACAGCTGTCATGTGTAAAAGGTATCAAGCTACACGCACAATAACTTTGCTTTCATTTTATCTTGTTGTAGGGCATAAACCCTCCTTTTCTACTAGTCTACCAGTTAGGCCGTATTTCCAACTTGGTAAATCATCGTTCTACTGCTAGCTTGGCTACAAAAAGCCTACATTGGTTCTATGAGTATTTATACTCAATGGATAATCGCCAAATTTAGCCTCTACTTTGCGATTAATTCCGATATAGGTAGAAAGGAGGTAAACCTGACAGATCCGCTGCTTTGGAGATTACGAAGATACTGGATTTACATGAAAGTACACCAAATGGTGAGCTTGAATGGGCCAAAGCCGAGCCCAGACGAAACGCATGGAGTATATTGAATAAGACGGCATTAGCTATGTACTGACTGTTATGACAAATACTTTGACCAGGTCTAGGGAATTAACTAGAAGCCTATAGTGCGAAGGAACTGTTAACTTGGACATAAAGCGAGATATCCCTGCCTGTAAAACCAACAATGACAAGCCAGCATAAAAGGGAATTCCGGCCTTCTTCCAAATCACCTCAATCATCGAAAGTCACTTGTTGGCCGCAATCCCAACCCGCTCTTCTCATACGCCATGTCAATCATTTTCATCTGAACCCATGAATCTTGACCCCCAACCCAATATTGCGTGGAACGCCCCTTAACACGATTCACAAACTCTTCAAGCTGGTACCGATATGACATCCACCAGTCCTCACCTGGGAGGTTCTCAAACTTATCTCCGGCCTCCTTGTAACTATAAGCCTTGTGCGACTTGAACTCAGTCCAAGTGTTGACCAGTATGCGATCACGCTTGTTACGAATGGAGAAAGTATCCTTAACATCAATGCGGTGCCAGATAAAGGCGTGTATAAAACCATGCAGAGTCACAACCCGGGTGCGTAGCTTCTCCTGTGTACCCGGAAGGGACTGGTCGTCCATAAGGACTTCCTTGTGGGTGACGCGGGCCTCGGACGGCTTCCATAAGATAGACCCACGCATAGTGGTGGACGCTTCCGCGATACCGCCGTTCGGGAACCGAAATGTGGCTTTAAAGTTAGTGTCGCATTGGTCGTGGATGCCGTCGCCAAAAATGCCAGGTTCGCAGGTTAGACATTCTACAGGGTCGTCGTCGAAGATCATGCGGATGATGCTGAAGTTGTATGTACCTAGCATCATCATACTCCCGCCGGCGAGTCTGTAGTTGAAGGCGATGTTATCCTTGTCGAGGATCAACCATGGGATCATAGAGTCTGTGTGAACGTGAACAACCTCGGCAGGGGTGATGAAGGTCCGGAACTTCTGGACTGCGGGATGGAATCGGTTGTGAAAGGCCTCTAGTAATACGGGGGGATTGGACTGTGACAGTTCAGGTAAGTTGAAGAGAATCTGGGCCTCAATGGCGTTAGAGGTGGATGGCTTCTCCAGAAGGACGTGCTTGCCGGCGCGAATGGCGCGCACGGCCCACTCATAATGCAAACTGTTGGGCAAAGGGATGAAGACTGCGTCTATCTTGGGGTCTTCGAGGATTTCTATTTACAGTGAGTCGCGAATGTCTAGTAAGGCTTTGAGACTTAACGCACCATCATAGGATGTGCGAACATCGGGGATGTTGTGCTTTTTGGCGAATGTTAAGGCCCGAGAATAGTCTCTAGCAGCGACCGCTTGTACAATAACCTCGGGATGTGAGAGGGCGGGTGTGATCAATGCAAGAGGTCTATTAAATATCAAGGTTAGCAAGGTGTGGAAATTACATGTAGGCATCAAGTCCGACGCACGCAATCTGGGCCGCCCCTAGGATGCCAAAATGGATAGCATCGTTTTTCTTTTCAACTTTCGGAGGGCCGAATGCCGTGAATAATCTCATAATCATCGCCATCTTTGCTCTTGTTTTGGGCTGTAAGTCAAGAGAGGTAAAAGAATTTGAATAATGTTAAGAGAGATCTACGGAGATGTCTTAGTGTACAGGGCAGTGCCGGGGTAATAATTGGACCGACTGATAAAATATATTTCAGCCTACAACCTTAACAGTCCGTAAATCCCCTGACCTGCTTTGAGCATGGAATTACTTCTTATGCTCATATTATGGCCTCTGCTCTAGTTCCAATATCATCGTGATGAGGGCTTAAAATCCCTTAACTAGCTTGGAGGGACATTTTACCATGAAAGCGTTCAACGATCGCAGATATGCCGAGTTTGATATAATAACAAATATACCATATGTAAGTATTTCCACGTTTTTCTTATTTTACCATTGTATATTAACAATTCGATAGACCTAGATCACCTGCGGGCGTCTCTACATCCCAGGATCAGAAAAAAAGCCAGTCCCTTGCCCCCCCGGTGCCCTCTTCGGCTTTCCCAGATAGAAAAACTACAGCAATCTCAAGGTGACAATGTCGATCTTGTCACAGTCCACTCTCCCAAAACCAAAAAGTTCTTGTTCACAAAACATGATAACCCTCTCAGTTATTCATACCCTTGCAGGCTTCGTTCACGAAGGATGTCTTTTTTCCTCGATATTTTTATTGGGGGGCCGCAGTATTTTGACCTTCTGTTTTCCGCCGACTGGTAAATGGGTCAAACAATTTCATGGTGTTTTTCAACGGAGCTACTTGAAGTTTGACCAATACCCCATCTCTAGGGCCATAATGTCTAGTATAAAGCATGACCCATAACTTAGGGCGACCGTTCACAATTTGAGCGGGATAGAACATGGCGGGTGCAATTCAAGAAGAAACTGTTCTTTATGAAAACATATAATTTTCTAGGGTCTGAGATTAGGTAGAATGATGGTAAATCTTTGTAAAGTGTTTGGACCCCCGCCTATTGAGGGAATTAAATAACAGACATGGAGAATAATACAGCATCGTAAAATGTTAGCTGCCAACACCAAAGATCAACGTCACGAGAATTTGACGCCAAGAACAGCGCGTTCGTATGTCCTTCAAAGCCTTTCGTTGGAACAATCAAGCGAAGGTTGTTCCTTTGGGTCGTGCATACACGGATAGACCGTAGGCCCTATTCAAATTTGCCTTGCAGATTATCGTCGAAGCCCAAGTCTTCGCTATTATGCTAGATCAGGCCGCGAGATAGCCCACCACGAAGACTTCCTGGACAATTTAGAGTGACTGTGGTAAGATGATCGAGCATTTGTGTCACTTTTATCATTAGATCAGGATTATCAAGACGTGTATTTTCTTGGTAGGTAGTGTTGCTGTTTAGTATGCATCCAGCAAAGCCTTAAAGATGAGATCACCAACCTCCTCAACACAATCATGCATTTCAAGTCAAACTCGGGAGACAACTACGATACAGAGGAGAACAATTATAAATCCATGAATTAGATCATCTCAACATTATCCCTGACATGAGCCTGTAGCGACCTTCACGATTACGAACTCCAACTCCAATTTGCAACTTGCACCGCTCTTGCTATACCCAGCTTTAAACAAACTTAAATCTGGTATATCTTCATCGACCGGCATTGAAAATATGTGTTGCTACAAGCTACATGTATGTACGGAAGAAGTACTGTACGACCTTGTCCTACCTGTACCTACCATCGCAATTAGTAGGTATAACATATCTTACATTGATTCTTTCTTCTCGACTTGATTTCCTTTTTCTGCGGTTGGGTCCTTACTCGGTCTTTTATGTATGCAGTGGGTCTAATTGAGACCTATGTTGAGGGTGTCGCCCACGGTCAGACTCATCGTATATTGACATGAATATCAACGACTCCCTGGCTAATGTAGTAGTAAACAGATAGCACCGCTTCGTTGATTCGGTCAAACTCGCACCTATTACACTTTCAACACTAGAAATCAATATTTTTCGCATAGACAACTGGTATTATTCGGAACTATATGCCTTACATTACACGAACAGATGGCCTCCCCGAAGCAGCTCTGAGGGGTGGTCTCGTTGATCCCCGAGCTAACCAACAGCCGTCTTTCGGCAAACGTATGATCTGCCGGGACCTCAGCGACTTCCTTTCCAGCGTAACCGAGCTCTCATCTCCAGGTTCGATCCACCAGATGGCTACCTCTTGGTCCACTACTCGGGATATGCATGCCATCAACCCAGACCGCGAGTATCAGGATAGGCTCAAGAAAATCCTTGCGCGCTGTCCAGAAATTGAGCCACCTTTAGGAGAAAAGATCTCCAGCCATCCATTATCCGACCTTGTTCCAGGGCTTACCATCAGTGGTGGTCTCAGCCGCTCCCCTGCCTTCGACTGCTTGCCTGTCGTCTCCCATTGGACTGACCGTACAGATGAGCCTTCAAGAAACGACCCTGCGGCTACTATCCGTCTTTCTTCGACGTGGAATACCGCTTATGTCATTGGAGAGGGAACTACCAAGGCCTATCCTCTTGGAGCCCCGTGCTGGTCGCTCAAAACTCACGGAGTCGGCCCAGTCGAAGCCGGTTCGAGTAAATTCTATCAGGAATACCACGCTGGTACCGGCACACTAACAACAACGGTCAATTTGGCACGCCGTTTTGACAGCCCTCGGACGGGAGGGGTGATAGCCGCTGCGGCAGATATCGCTTATATACGTAACGCCCGTGTCGCAGACGCCGTGGATTGCGCTGTTGGCCTACTTACCGATGCTGCAGCTCTGTTGGCGGCTCGTGATAAGGTAATCACGACTGGGGTGACCGAGCATCTAGGGTTTGCAGAGGTAAGAGCGGCCGATATGCCCTTGTGGTGCACCGCCCGCAAGCCGCTCCCACCAAAATTGAGCGGCGTTGCGCTCTCTCCTGACCCCGCCACTGTGAAGGTCCTGGCGGAAGAAGGTTGTGATGGGCCTCTGCTTAATACCAGCATCTTTTCAATGGCGGTAGGCTATAACCGGGGCGTCTATGGTGGTTCGATATCTGGTCTATGGGCCGTCATGGACTCGAGCTTTGTGCTTGAAAACTCCATTGGAGTGGCAAACAATGACATGGCAGACAGTCTGTCTTCTGCATTCGCGGATGTGGCTGCCATAGCTGAAGCCTCTTCCTCCGCTGGTCCGCACATCACCGACATCCGGATCATCAAGGGCTGTAATTATGGATGTTTACGCCAGAAGACCGTCATTGAAGATACCCACCCTGTTACATCCCACCCATGTGTAGTCATATGGAATGATGTTGCCCGGCTCGCTCGTTACAAACTCGCTGACGCTGTCTTCTGCCACGTGTACTACGACTCGGGTGGTGGTGAGCAGATGGCTGCCATTGCAGGCCTCGGATGTGTTGTACATGACTGGATTGATCTTGGAGCTGATTTAGCGTGCGGAGAGGTGAGCAACATTATTCCCTCCCTGACGCGGGGATCTTTGGACGAGGAACCACTGGCCGAAGTCTACTCCCGATTGACCGGTGCGATGATTTGGTATCGAAACAATGATCCCTTTAACCCAGCAGCACTATGCCTTCTCTTCACGCACTGGTGGCAGCTCGCCAACTGTCGACATAGACCGATTACTCTTCTCGGCAGGACAGACCTCAGGGTCGAGATGGCCATTGCTGCCATAATCCCAGAAGAGAGACCCTCTCTGGACCATTTCAGCGCATGTGGCACTCAGGTCGTCCGTGGAGATCGCCCTCTCGCCAACTCAGAGGCTCGTCTTCAATCGGTCCTTTCCTCGAACCCTTTGCCGGAGATTCGTGCGGTTATTGACGTCTTGATTAGCCCCGTCCTCGCGTACGTGAAAGGGGGTGACAGCCTACCTTCCGAATGTGAATATGTGGGTGCCGTTCTTGCTGCTGAGGTGGCTTATCCTCAGGATGAGAAGATAGTGCAGCTGTGGGACCTTGCTATTGTAATGTGGGAGTGCGGTGCATTTTGGGCGGCTGGAGTGGCAGGTCTTTGCTATACTCATACTGGCAACGCTAACTGTGACCGGGCTCGGGATGACTTGACTGATGATGCCTGGGCTTAATGATAGTATTGGGGAACCAGTAAAAATCTCGTTATGCAGTGTAGTCACGAGAATTTCGGGATTCGACAATGAAATTTCTGTTGAACTATACTGTTATATGACGGCTGAGAGATGGCTATGTAGTGTTAGGTCATTGATTGGGAAGGAGAGAAAGAGCGCCATCTATTTTAAGAACCAAGTGATTCTCCAAGGATCCAGTCCATTCAATCTTACTTTTGTACCTACCGCTCGGTGATATTTTATCTGATAGGCTATAAGGCTAGTACAGGTGGAATGTTACCAGTTGACTAAAGATGCATGGAAGATTAATTTCGCGCTGCTCCTCAGGGCAAACCAGGTTTCGGCAATCATAACGCTGATGTATCTTGACTAAATATTCTCATTCCTCACTGTTTCAGTAAACTCTGTTCAAACCACACTTTGGAACTATTAATAGCCATATGAAGTTGATGCTTATGTAGTGCTATGGTTAATTGTATACATTAGATATAGATATCTTGAAGGTACAGCACTGTCGGCATAGTGATTCCACTATTGCACAGTGGTCTAAACCCTTTTAGTGGTAATACTGCACCAATTTTTCAACAGTGCCATTTATTATAGTATCGCCATAGTACAAAACACAGCTTTCGGACTACTATGCTACTAACAAAATATAGATTCAGTGTCCTACGTTCCTCTTTAGGGCCTAGTGGGTTAGTGGGGCCATACGCTCGTCCGACAAATCTTATTCCGAGTCAATTGGGCAACCTTCCAAGGACAAAGGGGTGACTCAACAGTCCACTGTTCAATCGACATAGTACTATGTATCGATATACGGGGTCCAATCTAGTAAAAAGGAGGAGGCCACTATCGAAATTGGGTCATGTTTATAATCCTCCCTGCGATCCACAGAAAAAAAGCAAGAAAGGTCTAGCTAGCTGCAGCAAAAGGTGGAGAACGGGAATCGTCAACGGGCTCTTGGCTTCTTCTCTGGTTCAGTCGGGCGAACTGAGTCTCCGAGTCAAATAGAATTTTGGCCATGGAACAGCTCAATCCCGACCTTTATTCACAATAAGTTGACTGTCTCGCTCGGTATCGAGTACCTTCCACTGCTCTTGTAATAGACAAGGTGCTTTCTATTAATATTTTAAAGCATACTACGCCCGATCAATATGGATTGGGCGAAGTTCCTACGCTAGCTGTGGAACAACCCACCGATATCTTAATCAAAGTCCATGCCGCGAGTATCAACCCGATAGATATCAAGAAAGCCTCCGGTATAACCAAGATGGTCCTTAAGGACAGCTGAGAAGAGTCTGATATCTCTAGACTTATCCCCTATCTAACCTATGTAGGATCTTTTCCGTATAAAATTGGTTATGATTGTACGTAAACGGTTGTCAATATCGGGTCCTAGATAACGCGTTTTAAGGCCGGTAATAAGGTCTTTGTTCGATTACCTAAATGTTATAGGGGATTATAGAGTGAGCTTGTAAGGTTGACTAAAGAATTCGTTATATTAAAACCGAAGGGTCTTTTAATTAAAGACGCTGCCTCTATTCCTTTAGCGGCTATAACGTCACCATAGGCGCTTTAGGGTTATAAAGGGGATCTCGAAGCAAAAACTGTTTTTATACCTACTAGGCGTAGGTTCTTTTTAAATTTTACTATTACCGATTTTGGATACTTACCTTGTTATAGTAGGTAGAACCGGCCTTTTCGCCTGTTAGCTAGTAAAGAATGTCTTCAAAGCTAGTAAAGTGATCACCAGGTTTCGACCGCTAAAGTGCCTAAGGCACAGGAGTTCTTAGGTGGGAGCGTTGTGGACTAAAGTTAGTATATTTTATTCTAAAGTCAAACTACTTGGTAAACTTAAATCTACTGTATTAGTTATCGACTATAAAAAGTCTGATCCTAGGACTGTAATTCCTCTGTAATCCGTTAATTTTATTTTCGATACTATAGGAAGTGCTATAGAGTATTTGCTACTTATGCGACCTAAAGGAGCTATCGTTATAGTGAGGATACTTACCTTAGGGGATGTTCTCTAAAATTCTAGTGTTAAGCGACGATCGCTAGACAAAGAAGGTAAGGTAACTGTGCTATTCGCTATCCGTATTGACTTGAACGTGATAGATCGGATCCGAGTGGCTCATATATCTCGCTATGGGGTAAAGTACTCACCTATCTTCTTAGAACCAAACGCGATCGATATGGGATTTGATTCGGTAATAGGTGGATGCCGGAAAGTTGAAAACCATTGTGGCAATAAAGGCAGACGTCAAGAATATTAAGGCAGTTCCTAATGCATGTGAAGTGGTCTTTGATGGGAAAGGGGGCGTTGGAAAGTCCGTAATTGTGTCTGTCTAGATATATTCTGCTGGATGAGTAGGTGTTACCCGCATATTTATATTTCATATGCTTTAATTCTGGCCGTCTTAAATTAGAGATTTCAACTTATTGTGTATATTAGCAATCTATTGTCATATACTTGCGAGTTTTGTCTAAATTTTAAAAGCAGTAGAAATTGTCACAACCTTGGCACTAGGAATGTTGTCGGATAATATGTTCACCCGCTCCGTGTAAGGAAGGTTTATGACAATACAATACAAGCCAGTCTTGAGGAACCTTTCAATGTTTGGTTTTTGTTATGGTCTAGTGGTAAAATACTGTGACAGTGTTGCCGGCTTCGAAAACAATTCCCTAAACAGGGCCAGGACAACTACTGCAGAAGAAGTATACCTATACTAGTATTTATGGTAAAGACTTGGAAAAACTCTCATCATTCATAATTCCAAAGGAGTGGAAGTGAATGAGGGGCATGGAGTAATCTATACCCCATGGGATTCTGCCGGGAATCCCCGCCCAGACCCGGACAAAATGATAGCACGGAAACCGGGCGGTACAACAGTGTATTCCTTCCGAGAGGTTGATTTGCGCCAAGACAGAGCTTAATTTGTGGGCCCCCACGTACAAAGTAGAAGAGCATATGAGGGAACATCACTTTGAGAACCATTATTCCACTTTAGAAAATTATCGTCGGGCGAACAATTGGCCCAGATTATTAGCTGGAATTGCAAGTAGGCTGCGTCACCATCTACAAAATCTGTAGATATTTCATACCCAAATCCGTAGTTCATAGATGTAGTATATGAATTCCCATCCGCATCCGCAATGAGAACATTTGTGGACGGTAAAGTCCTCTTTATAAGATATCCGCGGATGTTTTGAGGATTTGTAAACTGTGAAAATTTGCCTATCCTTGTAATTGTACTAGAGTGCAACAATTTTGCAATTTTTGATTATACTTTTGGGGTATTGAAAAAGTAAGCGCTGAATCCCTAACCAACAGAGCCTGCACATAGCACGACGTTCATGGACTTGGTAACAGCTCCTGATGATTAGCTTTTGAAATATCAGACATTATGTCGTAACAATCATCCGTAGAATGCTTCACTTTACTGTCACCGGTGGAAACAAGCTTGGAAAGTATCATCTATGAAGATCTATATTTGTTCTATGCTAACCATTGCACAACAGTGGGGTATAGACTACATTCAATGGTATAGAATAGAAATGAATCTATTATTCCCATATTTCTACTACGATCATCTGTTTGGGCCGATCTCATTTGAATTTGAAAGCACCATTCATGTATTACCATCTTGGTCTAGAGCGTAGACGACTGAACACCTTGCCAATAGATGGTCTGTTTGCTAACTTTTCCCACGACAACTAGACCCCAACCTTGTGGTCTCGCTGGACCGGTGATGCACAACCATATATCAGATGGAACACTTTAGATCAATGTTTGTCCGGAGGCAAGCGCGTCGTCGAGGCCCTTCCTGTTTACACTTGTCTACTTGACTATACAACTTCCCCTCAGCAATTTGCTTTGTTTACTTCTTTCTTCATCTTCTTTACCATTTCACCAACCATCTATCTTTACAATCTCCATATTCCATCCTCATTTGAATTCATCAACATATCTCAGCTTCATAGTAGACCAGAATCAATCATGGTATTCCGACCCTATTTCAGTGGGCTTGTTGCTTCTAAAGACCGGGTACTAACGCTGAATATGCTATATAGGCTGACCAATACGCGCACCTCCTTGCGCGTAAACAATTTGACTGGTGGGATGATGTAGAAAACGATATCCCCTTGACGAAGACATCGGTCCATACACCTATTGTCCCTAGTAAAGCCACAAACCCGGTATTTATCCCCGCTTCCATCTAACACACTGTGTACCTGAGATATTATTACTGACATTTGACACGCTATCTAGGATGAATATGCTTTCCTTCTTGTGAGGGAACAGTTTGATTGGTGTGAAGATGTGGAGAACGATATCGCGATGAAAGATAAATCCATCGCTATGGATACTAACGTCCCTATTGTCGATGCTCAAAACCTCGCTGCCAGTTCTGCTGGTTATACAACGACTATAGAACCGGTATGTCTCCCCACTCTACCTCGCTTATCTCTTTCAGACTTCATAGGCTGACAACCGCTATACTATAGGATGGCGAGTACCCTCAATTTCCCGTTGATTATTACTTCCAGGAGAATACCGAGGATGATGTCGCTGTCACCTTCTCTACTAATGTGAGAAAAGTATATATCCCCACTTCCAGGGAACTAATTGCTGATTCCACTGTGTAGGAAGATACATGTCTTGACCTCCCACACCACGAGTTCTTCGATTCGGCCGATACTAGAACTAATGGCCCTGTAACAGCCGTTGAACTGGTATTTATCCTTAGGCTTAGCTCCCCTGCATTTTTGAGACATAGAAAACTAATCCTGATTTCGTGTAGGGGGATTCACATACCCACATTCCGTACCCCAATGAATTCGACTTGGTCGACGATGATGTGAATGATATCTACATGGACGTTGAGGATCTCAAGATTGACTATGAACGTCACATCACAAGTGATGACCCTGGCACAGCCAGTGAATTGGTATTTACCCCCGCTCCCAGGTACCCTACCTCTTCGTCTTATATATTAACTATTGTTTTGCCATTTAGGAACATGAAACCGCTCAGCCTATTTACCCTGAGACACTTTATTTCGCCGAAGACACTGAAATGACCGATTATTTGAACCACAAGCCTGATACGAGTATCAATATGAAGTCTGCCCACGACATCAGCGACCTCACACAGTCAGTCGAGGGAAGCCAAGACCGTCACATCCAAGCTCCCGCTTTTCTCCCCGAGTCAGACCAAGACTCAGAGACAGATAATCCACCCTTTTCAGAAGAATTTGTGAGCGAGTGTGAGTACAGATTGATCGGTGGCATTCATGATGACATTGTGAATCATTGGGATTGGCTCGGATACCCCGTCTACAATCGAAGCATGTCCCCACCTGTGCTTTCCGTGGCGTTCATGCAGGCTATCCCTAAAGTCCCAAAAGACAGGGATCAGCTAGGAGTACGGTCAATAATGAGGAGGGCATCTCAATACATCGACCCTGTGTTGGTAGAGCTGGAGGCCGGCGAATTCGAGTGGATACAGTGGCAAGGTGAATTAGTTGCTACCAGCCAGGACCCTGCTGGCTTGCCCCGGAAGTTGACATGTAAGCCGACCCCGTCGAAGTTGAAGATTAAGACCATGGAATCCAAGGATCTATGCGCAGAAAACCGCCCCGACGCCAGGTACTCTTCTGTCCCCCTTGGAATTGTGAGCAAGACCACCATTACGGATTGGCTTGCTTCGAATCAAACTGCTCATACAGCCATTTCTCTCTCCGTTGGTATCATGGGCACCGTGATCAAGAAGGCTTGGCCTGGACCCAAGGTTGTTCCTATGACAACGTCCTCTTCTCGAGCTAGTATAACTCACTATCTAGTCAAAAGCGCGTGGGCTACTACCAGCACCCTTTACAGATTCTTTGCTTTCTCCCTTGAGAAAATGAAGGCAGTGACCAGGAAGGTAACTATCCTATGAAAGCTATCATTACCCCTCCCCGACTCTTACCGGAGGCGGAGGGTCTTTCTTTGGCTCTTAGCAAGATAACCCCATGTTTCGTTGCGGATCGAGTATGTCTATATGCTACTTTGGTATGGGGCAGGTGAATGTGGAAATGCTGACAAAGTGTGGAAGTGTGGTTTGCCTGAAATTTGTTTTACAATCGGCTCACTTTCAGATATGATTTCATTCACTTCCCGGAGTTTATTTGTTGTTATTTCTTTTTTTTATTTCTTTATTTCTTTTTTGGTCCTTTGTATTCGTAAATATTCTGATTTCTAGCGAGATACGTGTTGTTCTTAGAGAACCCTATCCCATAGGAGTAGTCCCATGGAACTGGACGGAATAATTACGATGGACGCTGGAATCCGTCGACTGCAACGGTGTAGACATTTCACGATATCTTGCTATGCTCGAAGGCAGTTTCATTTTAGAATTGCCTTATTTATGAGTTGCTTAACACATGTACGAATATCCTTATATATTTAATGATAGTCTAGGTTTTCTGCTCTCAAATGCTCCCCAAGCTCTGTAGCTTGACCAATTCAAAGTATCTTCCACCCAGCGCCATTAACTCCTGGTGCGTCCCTTGTTCCACGACATTTCCTTCGTGCAACACTAAGCCAAGTTAGTCCAGTTATCAATATTGGATTGAGATCTGTTCTCACCATAAATACAATCGGCCTTCTGTACCGTACTTATGCGATGCGCAACAGCGACTGTCGTTCGGCCTTGAGCTGCGGCATTCAGTGCATCCTGGACGACCTTTTCCGACTCCGAGTCGAGCGCGGAAGTGGCCTCGTCCAGGAGGAGTATGCGTGGATCACGGAGAAGCGCTCGCGCTATAGCTATGCGCTGTTGCTGCCCGCCAGAGAGCATACCGCCTCTCGCGCCTATAACCGTCGAGAAGCCATCACTAAACGGAACGTCAGTATACCTCCGTTTAAATCTAACAGATAGTAAAGGCTGTAAGGGAAGAGGTGGCTTACGGTAGCGAGAGGATGAAGTCGTAGATATTAGCATCCTTACATGCTTGGACGACTCTCTCTTCGCAAAGATTATCGTCATCAGTCCCGATGATGATATTCTCCCTAATTGTTCCTTGGTATAGTGTCGGCTCTTGACTAACTAGAGCAAGATGGCTCCTGTAGCTCTTGATGTTCAACTTTGAAATGTCTTTCCCATCCACCAAGATCGTTCCGGCTTCTGGATCGAAGAACCGCTCCAATAAGGAAATAATGGTGCTCTTCCCACATCCACTTGCTCCGACAAGACCTATATATTGTCCCGTTTGTACACTTAAGCTGAGGCCATTCAGAACCACACTCTCTGGTCGGCTAGAGTATCGGAAATAAATATTTCGTATCTCTAAACTGCCATCCATTTTATGTAACTGCTCACCAGTCTCCTGACGGGTGTCAATAGCGACAGGTTGACTTAGCAGCGTTTTGATGTCTTGGGCTGCTTGACGGGATTTGCTCATATCTGGCGCAAAGGAGAAAATCGCTCCGGCGCTGAATGCGCCGGCGATAACCGCAGCGTAAGCAATAAAGAACTGCACCATTGAATAGTCTTCGTGGATAATCAGACTTCCTCCATACCAAAAGGCTAGCGCGATGCAGAGAAAGTTGGCCGACTGGGAAGCCGCATAAAACATGGATGACTTCAGCGTTGCAATAACTGACTTTTTTCGTTGCGTTTCCAATATGGTGTGATACTCCTTTTGCACATGGGTCTCGAGATTTAGCGATGCAACCGTCTTGATAGCAGAGCTTGCCTCACAAGCATAGGCTGCTGAGGCGGCATATGCAGCCTTTGACTGTTGAGCAATTTCCCCAAGGAGCTTCAGTCTGACCAGACCACAAGTAAGAACGATGGGAATAGTTGCGGTACAGACGAGCCCCAGCTTCCAACCTATAGCAATCGACACAGCCACTCCAGCAATCAATGTCGTCGAGACAATAAATATAGAGCCCAGTGTGACACCACTTATCCCAGCAAGGTTGGTAGCATCCGTGGATAATGCCGCCGTAAGCGAACCGGCCGAGAATCCTGGTTTGTCGAACATGGAGATATCCTGATGGAGAATTGCGCGGAAAGAAGAATCTCTGGCACGGTGAACCAAGCGCTCGGAGCAGTAGGCAAAACAGAGACCTGATGCTCCCCACCCCAGAAATGCAGTACATCCCAGCATCAGGTACATCAGGCTCCAGAAGTTGACATCGTGGCGGAGCTGTCCATACATATTCGGAGGCAGCGATAATGCCGCGATAGCTTTGCCGTAGAATACAGCCTGCCTGGTGAGATAGTCAGCATCAATACTCAGCACGCCGCATGATGAAGTCTTACGTGGGGTTTCCTGCACCTGTAATAACCGAAAAGATCAGACCCCAAAGCATTGTGAATGTCTCTTGTTTGTTGAAGTTGGCGACGAACTTGATCAACTCCCATAAGGAGTATCTGCCGTCAGCCTTGCCGTACAAATCTCCGTCCTGGCCTTCAGAAATTGAGTCCTGCCCAATTTGGTACGTGTGCTTGTTGGATTCATCACCCTCATCTTTCAAACCGGGGAGTTCCACATCTATACCAAACGTGGAGTTTTCTTCACTGGGGCTAACCTCTCTCTCCGTGGACATGCGCTGCTTCTCCACCAACTCATAATACACTGATCGTTTCTCGAGTAGGTCGCTGTGGGTTCCTTGCTCGACAACACCCCCGTGAGACATAACAACGATGTTTTCTGCCGCAGTGATAGTAGATAGTCTAAAAGTAATCAGCGTGTGTCGTCAAGATTAAATGAAAAACGCATACCGATGACTGATTGTGATCGTTGTCCGACCTTTAGCAGCAACATCGAGCGCCGCCTGTACTAGCCTCTCGGCCTGGGCATCGAGAGCTGAAGTAGCCTCGTCTAGTAGCAAGACTTTTGGATTGCTAATAATAGCCCGCGCGATGGCGACTCGTTGTTTTTGTCCCCCCGAAAGCAAGGATCCTCTTTCTCCGACGCTGGTGTGGAAGCCCTTCGGCAAGTTGGCGATGAAATCAAAGCAGTTCGCTGTCTTGGCGGCATCAAAGACAAGGCTTTCTATCACCTCAGGAGGGGAATTTTCGTGCTCGGTGCCGATCAGACCAAATCTGATATTTTGGAATACAGTTGTGGCGAAGAGTGTGGGCTGCTGTGTCACGATTGCAATTTGTTGGCGATACCACTGCAAATTAAGAGATGCGATATCGTGGCCATCAAGTACTATTGTGTCAATATTAGCATGGTTCATCGCGCATAGGAAAGAACTCTCACAAATTTCGCCGTTTAATGGTTCATAAAACCTTTCAACCAAGCCTGCTAATGTACTTTTCCCACAACCAGAGGCACCAACAATGGCTGTCGTCTTGCCAGCCGGAAATCGAAGATTTACATCATCTAAAATTAGGACATCCGGTCTCGAGGGGTAAACATAGCGAATTCTCTTAAGCTCAATCGTCCCGGACACAGCTTCCAGTCTTCTTCCTGTAGTTGAGGATGGATCCAGTGGTGATTCCCTAGACACTGTTGCAAGAATCTTTCCTGTGGCTGCTATACCGGTTGAAAACGCTTGGAAGTTGGGTGCTATGTTACCGAATGTGAACGCCCCGGTCAAGGTAGCAAGGAGGATAGTGATCAGTGCCCCCAGCTCCACGTCTCCAACAACCAGATAACGAGATCCTTGCCAAAATGTTAGTCCATAGGTCCAGAAGATGACACCATTCATGACGGCCATCATGGCTGCAAGAGCAATGCGACCTCTAAGACTATATTTCTCGGCCTGGATGAGAAACTTTTGGTACCGATCGGCCAACTTGTCTTGAATCCCAAACGCAGTTACGTGCCTGATTGAACTAATAGCTTCCTCGGCAGCTGTCGATCCGTCTGCATATGCCGCCAGTGACTTGTGGGTATACTTGACCATAAATGAAGAGAAGAAAGCCATTGATCCAGTTTCTGCGATATAGGCCGATATCAGAATAAACGCCATTCGCCAACTTTCTACGAAACTGATAATGAGCGCTGCTCCAAAGTTGGAACAGGAGTATAAAGTCAGAGATAGCTTGCCGGTCAACGAATCTTGGATCAGATTCATGTCCGAGGTGATTCTGGCTGTAATCTCTCCAGCTCCTAGAACATCGAAGAATGCGATGTTTTGACGAAGGATAGCGGCGAGGTATTTCTCTCGAAGTCTTTGGGTGATTTTTTCTCCTCCGATCATGAATCCGGCTGTCGAGATGTAGACCGAAACAAATTGTCCGATGGCGATATATACATAGTAAAGGGCGAATTTCGCGACCAGGGATGAAAGGTGCGATCCTGAAGACGTTCCGATGAAGAACTCTTTGAATGCTTGAGCCAAGCCCCCCAGAAGGAGCTATATGAGGGATATCAGCTTCGGGGACAGAGTACCGGCGGAGAGCAGCTCACAAAAGACACAGGTTGAAGAGCTCCCCCTATTATGGCTGCAATTGAGCTGATGACCAGAAGAAGTATTTCATAAAATGTTGTGCATGTGTACAAAAGAGCCAACCGGCTCATCTGCGACTCTGAGGTGTCGATTTGTCGCCTAAGGACCTCTTTTTCATCGTCCTTTAACTCCAGACGGAGCGTCCCGGGAGAAAGAGACCCGCCTTTTTCTGACATACTAATTTCGTCTTCGAAAGTGGGTTTGTCAACAAACGCTTGACAGAGGAATTGCGAGAAGCAAGTGGTTAAGATGAAGTATTGATTCCAATGCAATCTCTTGATATATTGGACCAATCAAGAGCAGCCATCACTGGTCACTCATCATGACTCATATCACACTATCATGCACTTAATTGTGCCATCAGAGAAATCAGCAAATAGCTATTGGATCACAAGCTACCAAGGGAAAGGAATGGGAAATACGTCCTTTGATAATGAAGACGCTTGAGTTGTTAGTTTATGATTTTGGCTATTCTACAGACGCTCT